TTTTTTTTTAATTTTAATAATTAATATACTTTATAATATAGTTTAGTATTTTAATTAATAGGCAAGTTATTAGTAGCTAAGTTATTATTATAAAGTATTACCTTATTATATTTTAATTATTTAATAGATAGATAACCTAATTATTAATATAATAAGTCTATTAGTATAGTAAGCATGATTATTATCTTATTTAGAACTAAAAATAAAATATTATTATTTAAGATAATATATCTAATTATCTTATCTATTACTATCTTATAAATATATTAATTTTTTAAGTTAAAATAGATTCCTAATTCTATCTTTATTCTTTCTACTAGTATTAGGTTATATAGTATATTTAGATTCTAAAGATATTCTATTTAGTATGATATTAAAGTACTATTATCTAATTTAAATTAAATTATTATTTTTCTATAACCTTAGGGATATACTACCTTATTATTAGAGGTAATAAAACTATAATTTTTAAAGCTATTTAGTTCTTTAATTAGATTATTAAAGAAATTATAATTATTATATACTATATAGCCTACTCTAGAGTTATATAGCTACCTATTCTTAAAGATAGTTAATATTAAAATTATTAGTATATTAATTTTAGATAGCATGAAATTATTAATATCTAGAATAATATTAGCTTATATAGCTAGGATAATAGCTTAGTTTTAGGTTAAATTATTCCTATTCTTTAACTTATATAACTTAAAGTACTAAAGTATTAAAATTAGTTTCTACCTTTTCTTCTACTTATTAATTACTAAATATAAATAGTCCTTAATATTATATTTTTTCTCCTTATAAAATAAATATAATATTCTAGGTTTCCTTAATTACTTTAACTAATAATTAATATAGCCTATAACTATTATATTCTATAATAATATATATTTCTATTATTACTACTATCTCCTTTTATTATTTATTATTAGTTAAGAATTTAATATATTTATAGCTAGTATTATAATATTAGATATAATATTAGATAATAGATTCTCTTAAATCTTATTCTTTATTATATTATATATAGTATAAAAATGCTTCTATATAATTATTTTAATAGGATTATTATTTAGATTATTTAAGATTAAATTTATAAAGCTTATATTATTCTTTTTAAGCTCCTAAAGTATTATAATAACTACTTAATAAAATATAATAATTATTTTTAACTTATTAGAAATATTTATTTTCTAGATAAAATTTAATATAAATTTATTAATAATTATATAATTTTTATACTTAATTTTAATAATTTCTTTCTATATTTAATATATATATCTTTAATTATTACTAATAATTATTCTTTATAATTTCTATATAAAATTATCTATAAAGATATATAAAATAGTATTTATTAATAATTTTTTTACTAATTTCTTACTTATTAAATATAATATTTAACTAGTTATTATTTATAAAAAAAGTTCCTATAATTTATACTTAAGATTATTAAATTATAGTCTAGAAATATTACTTTTAAGAAATTTATCTATCTTATAAAATTTTAGCTCTATTTATATAAATAAAGCCTAAATTTTAAATTTTAAATTATTTTCTAATACTATTATCAGGCTTAAGTTAAATATACTATTCTTTAGCTTTATTGCTTGATTTTAGCTATTAGTAAATGGGGTAGTAGTCATCAAAGGTAGGTATAGTAAGTTAGGGATGTCAGGATATCTACTAGGGGTAGATTTAGTTACTATTTTAGTTAAATTATAGAGATTTTCCACACACTATTACCCAGGTGGTGTAACATAATAGTAGTAGGTAATATTTCTGCCAGGATCTCTATCTAATCAGGGAGTAGATTACTGTATAGGGGTACAGAGGTATAATAAGAGTTTTAGAGGTCTATAAAGCATAAAATAGAACCTTAAGGAGGGCTCATAACCTGATAAGAGGTCGTCAAATGATAACAGTAGAAAGTTGACCGAAATGGATTCAATTGGGTCTAACTAGGAAATAGAGAGAAGGAGATGCTTGGAGGAAGCATGGAGATCTAGAAGGAAATGGTGGCCTTAAATACACATAGTAGTCACGTGTTGCTATCTTCTTCTTTATGGTGGTGCTGGTTGCATTCACTGAGTGCAGCACTCCAACATTTTCTACTTATAATAATGTTAGACTGTCTACAGTTTACCATGGGTAGAAAATTGTTGGCACTAGTTCTACCCATGTGGAGTTTTTTTCTACCCACGCCGAGCTGTATCCCCAATCCATTCCGGGGTTCTACCCACGCGGAGTTTTTTTCTACCCACGCCGAGCTGTAAGCCCCAGTAATACACAGCCCCTTTTACACGTGCTGCGGGGAGTGCCTGCAGGCGCATCCCCACTACCTACGCCTTGACCCACAAGGACTATGCTTGTCCTAAAGCTTACCAGGATATCATGGTTGACTAGGTGAAGAAGGGAGGAGTTATGCTATCGATAGAGGAGTTTGAGATAATGCCAAGTAAAGGGTATTTACTGTGCACTCCCATTCTCTCTTTTCAAACCCTGTCGGATGCAAGAAGTTCCTCGGCGGACTTACCCTGATAATACAAACAAAAGAAGAGGAAGCATAAATGAAGTGGGTGTAATTTCCCTGGCATTACGGAATACTCCGTACTGTATCTCGAATCAGGAAATAGAAGATGGTAAGCAAGCCACGTGGGGTGGGGGCAGCCTTGGAGACAAGGCCGGCCTAACCGGGCGGGTAATTAAATCCTCCATGAAATATTTGAGTTTTATAAGATTTCATTTGAAAATGCCATAGTAGACTTTATAGATATATCTGCCTAGATGCCTTTAGATTTCTCTGTTGTTGTAAATAGGTGTATTTACCTTCTTTTTGTTTGCTCTATCTCTCTATTACAGCTATAGCAATTTATATTTTTGGTTTTCTCCTGATGGCTTGCCATACTCTACCACTTGCTGACACCATGTGATTCTGACCAGATATCCTGATATAAAGAGCCCCGCTTAATAGCCGGATTGGAATATGATGCATTTGATGATGAATTCTGGAATTGCAGGCGCTCTTCCCCTTTCTCGTATGAAAGCCCGGAGATGCGCTGAACGTGTTGATTTATGCGGCCCACAATTTCCCCCATGGAACATAAAAAGAAAGGCACAAATAATTGGCTAAACAACTCTGGGTTTGGAATTTTGAAGTAGCATGCTGGTATGGCTCATGACTAGTAAATTCAGTACACACTCTGTTTTGGTATTTTTACTCGGGATCATGTCCATTAGTTTTACTTATCCTGTCTTACTACCTTAGCGACAACGAGGTACTTTCAACATACACGCAACCGTTCATAACGCAACCTGCTACACCAAGGAATCTGTCGCCGGTGCAGTAGTTCTCAAGGTCAAGGACGTTTTATGCGACCCGACATTATCACTAGGCAGTATACAGCGTCCGTTTCAGTTGGTACGGCGTAGACATTGGCTCCCTGGTCCTGCGAGTAGGACATAATTTCTATAAATGGATAAAGTGGTTCCACGGGGCTGCCTGATGCGGTTTATGGACGTTGTAGATACAGAGCCTTTGTAGTGAACGAGGCCTTCTTGGTTTCTGTGGTATTAGGATGTACAATCCATGTAGACGACGACTCACCAGAGGTGGTAACTGAACCATAGCGAGTACCATCATTAGGGTTTAGTAGTTAGTACATGAGATAGTGCTTTCAGTATATGGGCTCTGTAACTTTGGCCTTTGAGAGTGTAGGATCTCCAACTTGAGCCACGCCTATCAAGAATTACCAGAGCAATACCATGAGAAAACGATCTTAGAGACGGTGGCATTCGTACCATCAGCGTAGAAACCGACAATCCACTACTGTTATCACCATAGGCATACAGATAGAAAGTGTTTTCTATTCCTCAGCCTTTGGGGTTGTTGAAAGGGTGTGCGGTTGCGAGTTTCTCACTGCCACACCGAATCAGAAGCGGGAGAGTCAAGGAGAAAATCATATTTAGAAAAGAATTCGGCTCTTCAGCATTCATGATTGAACTGGCAGATACGGATTGATATGTCTCTGCGAAAATTTCTTGAGGCTATGGGATTTGGCTGCACTCTTCGCAATGGGAGAGTGGAAGCGATATATCAGGGAAATTTTGGTTCCTTGTAGCACATCGATTATTACAGCTCCCAAGTTGCCTCGGACTATCAATCCCTCCCGATCCCCTCCACCAGGTCGTCGCTGGGCCCACCCACCACGCCATTACACCGGACCTTTCTTATAACTAGCTGCTACCCGAATTGCTGATATCACACAAGCTTTTTTGAACATGTGTTTCCAGCCAATAAATGAAGCTTCCAATTCAACTGTTACTCTAGAGGCCTCTAGAATTAGGACCCCCCGACAGGAAACACGAGTAACGTATATCTCGAGAAGCCCCAGACTGAGACATAGTGGAGACATTGTCTGCTCGTCATCCAGCCGCGAGGGCCCACTTTAATTGGGCCACGAAGTAATTTCATGACCATATACCAATCCATAGCACTACCGAGTGGTATATTAGTTCATCTAAAACAGTCAGATGGGTGTTCTGAAGGTGGTGGTTGGACAGCCCTGTCGCCCATATCTCAATGGATGCGAGTAGCTGGAATCCATTCATTAGAAACTCCAGGTCGTGTATGGTACATGTTGTAGTTCCGGTATCCCCGATTTGGGGTTATTTTTGTGGCATGCAGGTCTAGGGTTAGCTTCTCGTGGTACGATATGTTCTCGCCGGTTTGGTATATTCCCCAAAAAGATTTTTTTTTTTTCCAGTGTGCGTTCGTTCTGATATAAGAGTCGAGTTGCACATGGTAACTTTCACTCATTCCAGGGCTGGGTGTATTCCAACCGTCCCCTTCTCTCTCCTTTATCCTTCATTATATTTCCTTATTTCTCCCATTGTCTTTGCTTCAGTGCAAAACTTAGGGCACTATGTTGCCTCGCGTTCTCCTGCTCTTGGTATATGTTGCGTTCGCCACTGCGGCTTATGTGAACTATTACCCTGGTATGAAAGGGGGTTATAGGCACGAAATATCTCCTCTTGACTCCAATGCTGGCTACAATTATACCTGCAGTGCAGATCCACATTCACACCATCCAGAAAAATCATGTAAGAAAGGGGACAGGCATTGTATCAACCACAATACTACCTCAATTACAAACACAACGATTCCTACCTCAACTCCTTGCCCCGGCAATACTCGCGAGGATAGATCACGTTGGTGTGACTTCAGTATAGATACTGATTACTACACTGACGCTCCCAACACAAATGTCATACGCGAGTATTGGTTGGAAGTTGATGATGTAATCGTCGCCCCCGATGGCTATCCACGACGAGCAATGGCTATCAATGGGTCAATTCCAGGACCAACGATATATGCAGACTGGGGAGATACGGTTGTGGTTCATGTTACAAATAACCTCCATGAGTCCAAGAACGGGACTAGCATCCATTGGCATGGTCTCCGTCAAAACTACACCAATCAAAATGATGGAGTGGTCTCAATTACTCAATGTCCCATAGCTCCTGGCTCGTCAACTACCTATAAGTGGCGGGCCACCCAATATGGCACAACTTGGTACCATTCGCACATTGGACTTCAGGCCTGGGAAGGTGTTGCAGGGGCGATCGTTATTAACGGCCCTGCAACTGCCAACTATGACGAAGATAAAGGCACAATACTTTTGTCGGACTGGACCCATCAAACGGTAGATGAGCTGTATCTTGTCGCTCAGACCACTGGCCCCCCAAAGCTACCCAATGGATTGATTAACGGGACCAACGTGTATGGGTCAGGTTGCAATGCTACTGGATCTCGGTTTACAATGAAGGTTAATGAAGGCACTTCGTATCGACTGCGGCTTATAAACGGGGCTATAAATTCGCATTTCAAGTTCATGATTGATAATCATACTCTAACTGTGATTGCCATGGATCTTGTGCCAATTCAGCCCTACACTACTGACTCTATTAGTATCGCTATGGGTTCGTTTTTAGACACCCCAATAAAAAAAGACTCCATGCTAATGATTTCACAGGTCAACGTTACGATGTCATCGTAACTGCTAACCAAGCTTCCACTGCCAGCTCATTTTGGCTCCGTGCTATCCCACAGGAGGCCTGTTCAGCGAACGAGAGCGTTGACAACATCAAGGGTATCTTCTATTATGGAGATGAGCCCACAATACCTGAGACAAATCCCTGGCCCTTTAATAATAGCTGTGCTGATGAGCCGATGAGCAGCTTAATCCCCCATCTTGATATGATAGTTCATTCCCCTGACTGGGAAGCCGTCACTGATCTTACTGTTGGGAGGAATAAAGCAAACCTCTTCAGATGGTACCTGAACAGCACAACTATGGAGGTATTTTGGGATAACCCGACACTGCTTCAAATTGCCAATAATGAGACTGTATTCCAAAAATCAAATGCAGTGATTTCCCTCCCTAACGAAAATGAATGGGTGTACCTTATTATCAATACCAATCACAAGGATCCCCATCCCATCCATTTGCATGGCCATGATTTCTTTGTTCTAGCCCAAGGCGCAAACCATTGGAATGGTTCTCTGGTGACACAGAACCCTCCACGCCGGGACACTGCAGTTCTGCCTGCGTATGGCTACTTGGTGATTGCATTTGAGACGAACAATCCGGGAGCCTGGCTGATGCATTGCCACATTGGCTGGCACCTCTCAGAGGGCTTGGCTTTACAGTTCGTCGAAAGCTATCATAAGATCGAGCATTTGATCGATTATGATATTTTGAAAGAGACGTGCGACGCTTGGACAAATTATGATGAGAAATATCATGTTAAGGAGGAGGATTCGGGTATATAAGCGAACGAGATGGGTTAGGGTTTACGGTTTATTGATAATTCAGCAGATATACACTGATAATGCCTCGTGAGTGTATGTAGCAATCAATCAAGTATCTTGCCTTTCCCTATTCTAGTATTTCATGATACACATGGTTTTTCAACAAATATAGCTAAGAGTTGTTTGTCCACTGGCAACAGATTTTTTAGCTTTAACCTGGAGTAAGATATTAAGGATTAACCTATCCCCCCCAAAGATAGCCAGATTTCAGTTTTACTACACCACGTGTGGAATAATGTGATGCCGATATACAGTGTCATGAGTTGTGGGACTATACATATGTAGTTTATATCCGGATTTCGGTGGAAGTTGGAATAAAGCGCGAGTATTCCGAGATCTAAAACTACGGAACGCGCTTCGGTGCGGCTGTCTTGCTGATGCGCGTAGGGCTCTAAGCTTCGTTAATCATAAGCAAGCCGTAGATAAAGTCTAACCCTAATACTATAGGCAAGGGCCGTTTACAATTCGGCTTAATGGAAATTCCCATGGAAAGCCATATATTCCATTTTCTGCCAATGCCAACCATGTCGTGTCTACTCCCAGTCTTGATACAATGCACATGTTTTCAGGGGTTTACCGCAGGAATTGAGGCCCAGAGGCTTTGTAGATTCTTCTTGAATCTAGCTAGCTAGTGACAACAACCTAACCACTCCAAGATGTGAAATATCGCAACCCTATTGATATAACCTTTTCATCAAGCATATCCTGATTTCCAAAGGTAAATTGGCCGCAAAATGCTCAATTAGGGAACTATACCTCTGTCGTGGACTCAGATTCTTCTTCAGAGTATAGTTATCCTTAACCAATAATTGACAAGTTTAACGGTGGTCATTGCCAGATAGTGTTAGTTCTCAACTGGATTACCAATAGCTGGCCTATGTTTCCATCTAAGCTGTAGTTTTTTTCACGTACCTACGAGCTACAAGAAATGATTACAACCATTCCCATGAATCGGTGCTCGAAATCTGAAGAATCCATATCATAGTTTTCCGTCATGTATATAACATATAAATCTTCCTACGTCTAGATACACCAACGGAACTGTTGTCGCCGTGTAAACCTGAAAACCTCATATCCTATCAAGAATTACAGTGTCAGGGCTAGGCAATATCGTTAGCATGGTAATGCTGACCTATCTACTTCGCGTTGGTCTCTGCCCCAAATGGCGCCGTTTTATCACACAAAAGACTATTACACCTTTTTCTTCAAATATACCGAGTAATTTCGATGCGTGAAATAAGACGACTTTTGTCTAATAAGATAAGAGCTAGTATTGAGTGAGGGACGCTATTGACGCTGGACTTAGCTATATGATGGCTCCTGGGGACTGTCTCGCCGTCCTATGCCCAGCTCCCTATACTACGTTTCCAGTGTACCCTGAGAGCTCAGTCGAGATAAAGAACGACCTTGTAAAGCAAGGAAAGCCTCCCGATTGCTAGTATCCCAACCTAAGAACACCACCGACTATGTTCCTCAATTGCCGGGTCTCATTACACGAAGGCCGTGTATTATCTCCATGAACTACTTGCAGTCGGCGTCGTGCCTACACACCCCGAAGGCACCGTATATGAACGATTTGGATCACTTTCCCAGACCACACTGCCATCTTTCTTCTTTATAATAAACTTGTATTCGAAGGATGTCCCCACGGCCAAGCTAATTGTGACTCTCCATAACGGGTTGGAGGAGGTGTACGCACTAGCAGAGAGTGCAACAGCATCATCCGCATCCCAGTCACCAAGCTGTGCAATGGAACCAACCATGTATACCGTTTCACCGTAAGTTGTTTTAATCAGTTCGTCAAAAACTACGGACACTGTGGTGGCCTCTGTGCAAGGGGTTGTCGTTGTCGAAGTAGTCGTTGCAGTCGTTGGGGTGGTAGTTGTTGAAGTTGTCCCGCAGATACTGCTCCCCGATGTCCAGGATGATAGAACAAAAACTCGAGGTAGGCCAGAAACCATGGGGACTGCAAGGCGACCACTAGAGTCAACCTGAACTGAACTACAAGTGTATAGTTCTACAAGCTGCGAGCCCGCGGAGTACCCATGGTTGCTAAGCGAAAGTGTGGATGGCCCCGCAGTGGAGCCCAGATTGGAGAGGACCGTGATAACTTGAGAACCCTTAGATCCTTTTCTCATGGCAATTGTATGGCTGTCTGTGTAGAATGGAGTATTCTGTATGGCAGGTTAAATTGTGCTCGGTAGTATCTCCACTCAAAGACTTGATCACTTACGAGTGAAGTCAGGTACGAGGAATCCTTTGAAATTGCTAGTTTTCGAATGCTGTTCGTTTTCGCAATGAATTTATATAGCTCTGACGTAGTTGGGTACCCTGAGAGCCATATAGCTTCACGATTATGGGGGTCCGCTCCACCCGAAAAGTGCTGCTCTTGTCCGGCGTAGATGATAGGGATTCCATCTGTGAGGAATACGTAGGCAATCACGGCCTTGGCTTGGGAGAAATCATTCGTATAGCTACCGCTATTAGCATCAAACCTGCGAAGTGGGATTTTTTTTTTTTTTTTTTTGATGATTACCTTGCAAATCGGGGGTTATCATGGTTCTCGATAAAATTCCCGAGTAAGGTAGGATCTTTGCAGTCAGAAGCCACAGAGTTAATCATATGATAGAGATCAACTATGCGTCCGCTGGAGGACTCAAACGCATACAAGAGCTGATAGTATCTATGATAGATTAACAGGGAATTATGGTTCATGTGGCGGATACTAACATGGGGTAGTTTAGGATACCGTCCATATACTGCTGGTAAGGGCATGTATAAGCCGGATCTCCGTTGAGAACTTCTCCAACACAATAGACTCCGGCAGCTTTGGTATAGCCAGGCCAGAAGTCCTTCTCTACATGTTTAGTTGTATCGACACGCAATCCATCCACTTATTCACTGTTAGTTACCAGCTCCAAGATAACAAAATTAACGGGGAAAATCAAGATTAATTCCCTACCGGAGTAATTTGTGACGATTTCCTCAATCCAATCGTACCAAATGGTGCGCACAGCCGATGCCTGCGTATTGAGATCAGGTAGAGACACAATATTGTCTCCCAACCAGCAATTCTCAACATTGCTTTGGTTGTCATAGTTGGTTATTTCACAATATGAGTGAAAATATGATGATGAGTTGAATGGGGTGAAACTGCTGTAGTCGACTGCTGTGCCGGCGCCAGGATATCCCTAGTTGTAGGTTAGTGGTAGATCATCACGAAGTGTTCTTTATAACTGCAGGGGGACGAACCATGTGGTTTGCAACAACATCAATCATTAGGTACATTCCCCTATCATGGAGAGCCGTGGAGAGAATTTTTATATCATCGGCAGATCCAAAATTTGAATTGACATTGTATCTTTAAGAGGTTAATATAGTTCAGCAAGTTATGGTTTTCCTAACACTTACATATCTTTCTGCCAGTAACCATGATATGCCCTTCCGTGCCCAGTATCATCCGGAATCTGTTCAGTGATAGGAGAGATCCATATTGCGCTAAATCCCATTCCTTGGATGTAGTCAAGCTACTCGTAGATATGTTAAAACTAGAATTGGGACGGCATTTCGGTGGTTGGGTTCAAACCTGGTTAATGATGCCTTGCCAACTTCCTCCGCAATACTCCTGTAAGAAATATGAGTATCTCTGAACATAAGCTGGCGGTCGTGTATCTGCCACTTACGCGCTGGCTCACATCACAGGCAGCCGTTGTGGACCCATCAGTACGCGCGAACCGATCTGTCAGGAGAAAATATATAGATTGATTCCGCCATTCGGCTGGAGTTAGCCCAGTCACCTCCTTTGCAAGGAGTATCAAGGCCGCAATACATGATATAGATTGCATTTTTCGTGGTAAAAGAAATTGTATCAAATTAGGCTAAGGTGCCCTGACTGGAAGAATTGAGACGAGAACCCAGTGCGCCTTTATAGTGGCTTACCGTTCCCAGATTTATGTACATGGGCTTTTTCATTTTCAGCTCCACGAAAACCTTTAACTGCTAACTACGCAAAACCAAGCAAGTGACTACCTAGGTAGTTTTCCCCAAAAGAATGCATGTAACACTATAGTTTCGGAAGAGATTCTCCATCTATAGAATAGATTTTCGGCAGATACACTAATTCATAGTGCTGACGTCCTGTGTAGCGTCGCAATCTTTACATATTGCATGATTCTGCGAGTAATGGATTGGTTCGCTTCAGCTATATTCGAATAAACTCGGGAGAATGGAAAGTCTCATTTACTTGAAACCACATCCAGCCAATAAAGGCTTCTCGCAGGCACAGTTATCAAGCTGAAGATACCTAGGTATGCGGGCCTCTACATCTCATTCCGAACATTGCGACATCCACCACTATGAAAACAGCAGGGGGCGGGGGATTTGTGGGGTTTGCCAATACTCTGACAGATAAAAATTACATCTCCCAAGATCAGGTACTATTAGGCCTACAGGTACTTTGTTTCCAAAGCTACATGAAGTATAGCCGCCTTAGTCCAAGAATATGGTCATGGAGGCATGGCAAAGACATGGATGCGTCCAATCCTCATCTACCTACAAAGTGAGTTAGTTAGAACCCAGATTATCAATGTAGTCAGAGTTTTTATTATAGTCTAAACGCGTCAATTAGCATGAACACGCCACCTGATGCTGCGGATATTGGCCGGATTCTGCAACCAATACTATAATATCCCCCTGCACTAATATTAAGTTCATGTGTTCTTTGAATATATAAAGGTGTCTTGTGGTTGTATGATGGGAAATGTATGGACCCCACTTGTCTTGACTATATAGACATGGTCTAGGAATAACAAAAGAGTGCGTTCCAGGTTTTCGCCTAACCTACGAGGGAAAAAAAAAGGGCGGGAAATAGCATGCAGAGAACAGGAAATAATATATGAAATTCTTTAATAGCTGTTGGAGTGCTGCACTCAGTGAATGCAACCAGCACCACCATAAAGCAGCATCACCATAAAGAAGAAGATAGCAACACGTGACTACTCTGTGTATTTAAGCTACTATTTTCTTCTAGATCTCTATACTTCCTTTAAGTATCTCTCCTTCTCTCTATTTTCTAGTTAGACCTAATTAAATCTATTTTGGTTAACTTTCTACTATTATAGTTTAATAACCTTTATTAGGTTATAAGCCCTCCTTAAGATTCTATTTTATACTTTATAGATCTCTAAAAAACTCTTATTATATTTCTATACCCCTATATAGAAATCTACTACCTAATTAGATAAAGATCTTAATAAATATATTACTTACTACTATTATATTACTCTATCTAGGTAATAGTATATAGAAAATCTCTATAATTTAATTAAAATAGTAATTAAACCTACCCCTAGTAGATATTCTAATATCCTTAATTTATTATACCTACCTTTAATAGCTACTATCCTATTTACTAATAGCTAAAATCAAGTAATAAAGCTAAAGAATAGTATATTTAACTTAAGCCTAATAATAGTATTAAAAAATAATTTAAAATTTAAAATTTAGGCTTTATTTATATAAATAAAATTAAGACTTTATAAGATAAATAAATTTCTTAAAAATAATATTCCTAGATTATAATTTAATAATTTTAAATATAAATTATAGGAACTTCTTTTATAAATAATAGCTAGTTAAATATTATATTTAATAAGTAAGAAACTAGTAAAAAAACTATTAATAAATACTATCTTATATATCTTTATAAATAATTTTATATAAAAATTATAAAAAATAATTATTAATAATAGTTAAAGATATATATACTAGATTTAAAAAGAAGTTATTAAGATTAAATATAAAAATTATATAATTATTAATAAATTTATATTAGATTTTATCTAGAAAATAAATATTTTTAATAAATTAAAAATAATTATTATACCTTATTAAATAGTTACTATAATACTTTAAGAACTTAAAAAGAATAATATAAGTTTTATAAATTTAATTTTAAATAATCTAAATAATAATCCTATTAAAATAATTATATAAAAGTATTTTTATACTATATATAATATAATAAAGAATAAGATTTAGAAAAATTTATTATCTAATACTATATTTAATACTACTATACCTGCTATAAATATATTAAATTCTTAATTAATAATAAATAATAGAAGAAGATAATAATAATAGTAGAAATATATATTATTATAAAATATAATAATTACTAGCTATATTAACTATTAATTAAAGTAATTTAGAAAACCTAGAATACTATACTTATTTTATAAGAAGGAAAAATATAATATTAAAGATTACCTATATTTAGTAATTAATAAATAGAAGAAAGAGTAGAGATTAACTTTAATACTTTAGTACTTTAAACTACTTAAGTTAAAGAATAAAAATAATTTAATCTAAAGTTAAATTAGTCTAGTTATATAGGCTAATACTATTCTAGATACTAATAATTTTATACTATCTAGAGTTAATATACTAATAACTTTAATATTAACTATCTTTAAGAATAAGTAATTATATAACTCTAGAGTAGGCTATATAGTATATAATAATCATAATCTCTTTAATAATCTAATTAAAGATCTAAATAACTTTAAGAATTATAGTTTTATTATCTCTAATAATAAGATAGTATATTCCTAAGATTATAGAAAAGTAATAATTTAATTTAAATTAGATAATAGTACTTTAATATTATACTAAATAAAATATCTTTAGAATCTAAATATATTATATAACCTAATATTAGTAGAAAGAATAAAAGTAAAATTAGGAATTTATTTTAATTTAAAAAATTAATATATTTATAAAATAATAATAAATAAGATAATTAAATATATTATCTTAAATAATAATATCTTATTTTTAGTTCTAAATAAGATAGTAATTATACTTATTATATTAATAAACTTATTATATTAATAATTAGGTTATCTATCTATTAAATAATTAAAATATAATAAGGTAATACTTTATAATAATAACTTAATTACTAATAACTTACCTATTAATTAGAATATTAAACTATATTATAAAGTATATTAATTATTAAAATTAAAGAAAAAGATATCCTAAAAACTATAACTATATATAATAAAACTATTATAATTTATATATATAGATCTCCAAGAAATTAAATTAATTAGAAGAGATAATATTAGGTATATCTTACTAATTTTAGATAATTATTCTAGATACCTTTTTATATAATATTTAAAGGTAAAAAGTAAATCTTTAAAGGTATTAAAGAAAATATATAATAATTAGCTAAATATAACTAGTATTTATATTAAAAGAGTTAGATTTAACTTTACTCCTAAATTTAATAAATATACTAGGTAGAGTAAGGATTTTAGTATTATATATAAACTAATACTATTATAAATCTCTAAGGAAAATAGTACTATTAAATAGTTTAGTAGCTATATAATCTAGACTACCTATATAATATATATATAAGTAAAAATAGAACTAACTATATAACTATATAGTATAGATATAATAGTCTATATTTTAAATAAATTAATTAGAAAAAATAATAATAAAGAAAAGTTACTTATATAATTTTTTTATAAAAGATTAAATATCTTAATTAAAGATATTAATTTATAATATATTTATATATAGAAATATAAGGTATTTATAAATATTTTATATAAAGATAGGATTAAAAGTATAAAAATATTATCTAGAGTAAAAATTAATTAACTAGTTAGATATAATAAAGATTATATCTATAAGATATAATATCTAGATATAAAGAAGATAATTTAGTTAAAAGATATAATATTTAATAAAAATAATATTAATAAAATAAATAAAATATAATTATAACTTTCTAATAAATTAAAATTAAAAAATAATAATTTATCTAGAATAACTATATTTATTAATACTAAAAGAAAAAGAATAATTTATAATAAAATATTTTAAAATAATATTATTCTTTAAATCTTATTATTAGTAATTAATAATAAAGTTATTATAGGAAGAATTTAAATATTAATACTTAATCTAGCCCTACTTAAACTAAGTTTATCTAACCTAAAGGTAGGTACTAACTTAATATATCTATAGCTATCTATCTCTAGGGCTATTACTAAAACTACCCTACCTAATCTAGAGGCAGGTATTAAACTTATTATACCTAAGCAGCTATCTATTTCTAGGGCTGCCCCTAGGGCTATCTTTAAAACTACTAAGCTTATTATACTAGAGTAGACACTAGCCTCTAGGGCTATTTCTAAAACTATTATTAAGTAAAATAATTAAGTAATTAGCAAGAATATAGAAGAGATAGTAAGACCTAGTATAAAGAAATAATCTAGATAAAGTAAATATAAAGGAATAATTAATTATTTTACTATAAATAATCTATATACTAGTTAACCTATTTTTAAAAAAATATTAGTATTATAATTAATATAAAGGCTTTTAAAATTATTTTTCTAATATAGAAAGATTTTACTAGTTTTAAAATTTTCTAAAAATAACTATACTCTAATAACTCTAGATATACTAAAAAGGAAGTATTTAAAGACTAGAAAGTAAGTTAAATTTAATATTAGAAATATAAAAATAATTAATCTAATAAAGATATAAAATCCTACTAATAATAATATTAATAATAATATTACTATTTTATAGAGATCTTTAAAATTTATAAAGGATTAATACTAAAATATTTATTTTAAAGATAAGTAAGTAAAGTAATTATAGAAAGAGGAGGTAAAATAAAAATAATAATCTTAATCTTAATTTATATTATTTCTAAAAATACTTCTAGAAATATCTTATTTACTAGGATCTTATCTAAAGCTAGAAGAATTACTTAATATAATTACTATAGTATTACTAGATCTTAATAATTTTATACTAGAGATTAAGCTTATAAAGACTTATAAAATTAGAATCTTATAAACTTATACTTAAGTAATAAAATTATTATAAAAGAATTACTAGATATAAGTAATATAAAGTTAAATTAGTAAGTTTAAAGCTATTTAGACTTATAAATTTATACTATTATTAAAGGATATAAAGATCTTACTAGAAAAATAGGTATATAACTTAAAATTAGATATAAATAATAATATATTATAATTCTATATAAGATAAGTTATATATAGAAATTTTTAAAAATTAGATATAGATTTTAATTAAGTCTACTCTCTAGTAATAATAAATATTTTAATAAAGTTATTTTTAAGTATAGTTATTTATTTTAATTTAAAATAAATATAATTTAATATAGTAATTATCTATCTTAATATAATAATTAAGAATTAAAAGATCTATATATATTAACTAACTAGTTTTAATAAATAAGATAATATAATATATTTACTATTCTAAGCTTTATATAAATTATAATAATTAGTATTTCTTTAGTATAAGAAATTCCATAATATTCTAGTAAAAATTAGTATAAAGATAATTAATAAAGACCTATATTTTTATTATAATCTAGACTAGTAGCTAATACTTATTATCTATATTAATAATATAATAGTTACTGGCCCTAATAAAGTAAATATTTAATAATTTATAGATAAGTTAGAAAAATATTTTAAATTAAAGTAACTAGATAAGCCTATATAATTCTTAAGATATAATATTTATAGATTACTTAATAATCTAATATTAATATTCTAATATATATATATCTAAAAGATACTCTATAAATAGAATTTCTATAGTCTTTGGCTATATTATATACTAATAACTTTAGGATAGAAATTAACTAGAAAGATACTAGAAACTAGTAGTATTATCTAAGATACTAGTAATATTATTCTAGATATTATATATATTTTTACTAGTAAAGATAATATTATTTATTATTAGGAATTAACTAGATCTTTAAATTAGATTATTATTTAAACCTAACTAAATATTTAATATATAATAATATAATTATTATAAAGAAATTATAATTCTAGTAAGTTAGATTATAATATAATTAAATAAGTTTTTTAATATTTAAAGAAGACTTTAGATTATATAATAGTCTTAAGTTATTTAAATAATCTATTATATATATATATTAATACCTTCTATATAAATTATAAAGATAAAAAATTAATAAAAAACTTTATATTTTTTATATTTAGAGTACTAATTATATAGAGATTAGTAAAGTAATTACTAGTTATCTTAAATTTAATTATTACTAAATTTATTATATAGAATATAATAATAAAACTAGCTATATAATTATAAAAGCTATATATAACTATTAAATTAGAAAAGTCTATAAAAAATATTATATCTTTATATATTAATTCTATAAATACTATTATATTAATAAAGAAGCTAAATTATATATTTATACTTTATTAAATAGATATTTACTACTTTTTTATTAAAAAGATAATTAAAAATAATAAAATTTAATTATAAATAATTAGTAGAGAGAATAATATTACTAACAGGCTAATTAAAGTACTATTAATTATAAAATTTAAAGAATTTATTAAGAGGTTAGATTTTAGTAGGTTAGAGATAGACTTTAAATAGCTTTATATAATAGATATGTTGCTAAGAGGGGTATATTAGAGTACTATACTTAGTAAATACAACTAGTACTACTATAAAGCAGCATCACTATAAAGAAGAAGATAGTAACACATGACTACTCTGTATATTTAGGCCACTATTTCCTTCCAGATCTCCATACTTCCTCCAAGCATCTCTCCTTCTCTCTATTTCCTAGTTAGACCCAATTGAATCCATTTCAGTCAACTTTCTACCGTCATAGTTTGACGACCTTCATCAATAGCTACTACCTGCAAGTTAGTCTTAGCACATGATACTCTGATCTTATAAACCACAGTGATTTCAATGAGATGTGTGTTTCATGGCACTCACGGTCATACTATCATGTTTATATTGTCTATATATACGTACCTAGGTATAGATGGCTGAAGGCGTGGAAAAGCTTGCTCAGGACACAAATACTGCTTACCAGGGTTTTTCAGTATTTCAGGATTTGTTAGTATCCAACCTGAGTACTGATCTTTGGATGTAGCTTTGATCCTTATCCACCAGGTACGCGGACAGTCACAGAGTAATCCCAGAAGAGATGGAATTTCAGACAAGTACTACCGGAATTCATCGCTGATGTTAAGCAAGGACAGCTTTAGTGTGTGATTACTCTTTAGCATCAGCAATGGCTAACTAAGTACTCACTATCTCTGACCAACACTATGCTGTAACCATACCTGGCCTGCTCTAGCCTCGGCTTCATGTAAACTTCATCGTCAGGTCTGGTGGCATATCGTTTGGTTGGGTGCCGAATCCTCGGTTTCCGCTTGACTGCCAACATCTTGCCCAGGAGAGAACATCGAATCAATCTCTATGGTCTTGAACCCCAGAGTTTTCATGGCTCGGTACAGGCCCAGTGTGCCTAATCTGCAGTTTCTTTGTCAGTCAAACCTGGTAGTTACGCATACTACTTTGGAATTCATTTTATCTTCTAGGTACGACGGCACTATTTACAAGGCGAAAGGCATTCTCATCTACTACAGCTAGCAATGACGGTCTGCATTTTCTTTTGGTTGGTTGGCCAGGCCAGCTGATCCATCTCGCGCGACATATCAATGGAGGTTCTGCTCGGTGCAAGCGTTTCGAATTTCAGCCCAAGGGTAAGGTGCTTCCACTATATACCAAAATTATCTACGTGTTGACATAACGGAATTACATAGTATGATAACATCATGTGCCAAATCAGCAGACAGGGAACTAGGGGGTACATCAGGTTGGACCGAAACGTCAGCCCTCGTTAATTTATCATGGGGTCCAACCTATCACACAGTTTAAAATAGCTAACAGGGGTGTCATTTGCGGAAATATTGGAGAATATCGAGCATCGGCCGAAGGGTTTTGGGGTTTTGGGCCCGAACAGACCTAGCATGTGTCTCGAATCCCCAGCAAAATGGACCATCAGAGTCAGACTCATGTTTCTTCGGCTCAGGCTAGAATATTGTAGGGGGGGCATATAGCAGAGTTCTTTGTTCTCCAGCCTTAATTAACGCCGGGGAACACCCAAGTCAGGGCTGGTATGCGGCCGAGATATAATTCAGGTCACTACCCATTTCCAAAGGACGCGCAGGAGCTCTGCACGATGAACTGGTTTTCCGATGCAATCGTTCATTCCCTTGGCTAGATATGTCTCCGCATCGCCTTTCAGAGCGTTACCTGTGATGGCGATAATTGGTACCTCGCTCCCCAGCTTCCGAATTTGCGACGTCGCCGTCATTCCATCCATCACTGGCATGCTGACATCCATAAGCACCACATCATAGGAGAGTGGCTTCTGCTTGACCAGTCGGACGGCCTCCTCGCCGTTCCAGGCTCCATCGGTACGTTCGAATCCCAAGCTGTAGAGGAGCTTGAGCATCACTGAATGGTTTACGAGGTTATCTTCCACGAGCAGGAGATGCTTCTGTGGAGCAATTTTCCGCATCATGTCTGCGAGATATTCCTCTTCCTCCACCAAAGGTTTTTCCGGTTCCTTATGAGGCAAAACCATCGATGAGCCCTCCATCTTCGCGGTAAACCAAAACACGCTTCCTCTTCCTTCTGGATTCGGTCGATATCCCACAGTCCCATGCATCAACTCAGCCAGAGTTTTGCAGATAGACAGCCCCAGACCAGTCCCTTGGTAACGATGAGTGGAGGAATGCGCAAATCGCGTGAAGGGGGTAAATAATGTATTGATGGCGTAATCTGGGACTCCAATCCCTGAGTCAATGACCTCAGTCTTGAGTGTATAACTTCCGGGGGCTTGGTTGTCTGGTGAGAAGGACGTGGATACTTTTACATATCCTCTCTCGGTGAATTTCACGGCGTTTCCAACCAGGTTCTGCAGCACCTGCCGGTACCTAAGGGGATCCCCGAGAAGGGCCTTCGGGAAATCTGGCGGAATCCAGGCATACAATTGTACATCGGGTTTTAGGGATGCCTTGCAGTTTCGCACCACTGCACCTACTAAACTCTCAACGTCGACGACATCTGAGTGCAAGGAAAAAGAGCCAGAGGAGAGTTTTGAATAGTCAAGTACGTCATTGACAATCTGCAGTAATATGGACATTGAATCCTCAATGATAGAAGAGTATTCGCGTTGTCGCTCATTGAGCCCTGTATCGGTGAGCATCGTTAGCGCCAGATTCATCCCGTTCATGGGAGTCCGAATTTCGTGGCTAATATTAGCCAGGAAGTCTGTCTTGAGCTTAGAAGACTCCTCAAATGCGGCTATCATCCGCGCCTCCGCCTCCTTACGCTCGGTCAGATCACGAGTGACTTTGACGAAGCCGACATGCTGCCCGAACTGGTAGATTGGAGTGATCATCACATCAGCCCAAAAGCGCGATCCGTCCTGCCGGTATCGCCATCCTTCATCCTCCATCCGCCCCTCGCGCAGACAGACCGCCAATCCTTTGCCGGGCTTATCATTGATGCGATCCTCTTGGCTGTAAAAAACGGAAAAGTGCTTTCCGACAATTTCCTCCGTGGAGTAGCCCTTTAGAATAGCTGCACCCGAGTTCCAGGTCGCAATATGGCCATGCGGATCCAACATGAAAATTGCATAGTCCTTAATCGTATCGATCAGGATCTTATATGTCTCGTTCACATATGCATGCTGGACATTGGCCGTCTCCTTGGTGACCTTATGGGCTTCAAGTACTATGTAGATAAGCGTAGACCCTTCAAAGACTGGGGTAACGCGCAGGTAGTATGGACAGTTCCCATTAACCAGGATCCTCTCGACCACCTGGGATTCCTTCGTCGTACAAGCAGCACGCAAAGCACCATACAACGTAGCGAGGTTTGGGACCGGGATCACAGCAGGATCCATGTCACCAATGCTCCGGTTGAGCACGGAATTCCTCGATCTGCCGGAAAAGGCAATATGGCTGTCTGACACTTCCACTACGGACATGGACGCATCGAGGATAATCGTAGGAACAGGCGTGTGGCGATAGATGCGGCTCAAGAAGACACCCTCTGACTGCATGGCTCCCCCGCCATTCGCCCCAGAAGTCACTATCACTACATCACCGACCCCATCCGATGTGCCAGCATTCGGTTCGGGAGGCACCGTTGTCTTCAATGAGGCAGGACATGGCTGGATTTTGTCTCCTAGGTTGAGATCCGACAAACGACTGCTGAAAACCATCTTCCCCCCTACAGTGGAGAAGCGGAAAGAGAGAAATCTCTGGTGCGGGAAGCCGCCGGTGGTACGTGCGTGCTTTTATACTTCTATCCATGCCTTTCTGCCCACCTAAACTGCTACCCACTTTAGGTGTGCCACATATTCTTCGTGATCACATATTCTTCGCGATTTTTTAATATTTGAAGCTATATAATAATAATAATACTAGTAATTAAAATAAAAAAACTCTCTAGCTTCTTTAGTATATCTTGTATTATTAATTCCTTTTTAAATTAACTCCTGCAAGCATGGAGGGGGTAGAGAACTATATACTTTCTTTTTCTACTTTACTAACCTCTTCTACTTATATTTAGTATCCTTTACCTTCCTATCTTTAATTAATTAAATAGCATTATAAACTCTTAGAACCCTATTACTAGATAGATCTTTAATCTGGTGCTTAATATAAACCTAATATTAAGGCTCTTGTATGGCCCTAATTCTTTAAATTATTTCCTAGGTTATTTTTAGCTCCTCGAGCTTCTCTACCTGATATTAAAAGAGTTTTGATATATTCTGCCTTGCCTGGTTAGATACCTTATTAAGTTCCTTTATAATCTTTGCCTGATTCTTTAGAAGAGCCTTTATTGTTACTAGAGGACTATTTTTAATGCTGGAGGATAGTAATAGTAGTAAAGATAAGGTTTAATAAAGATTAATTAATATATCTAGTATATCTATCTAATTTGCTAGTTTTTTAATAATTTTAGTACTATTAACTAGCTAGATATTATGTTCTTTAAAGGTATCTTGAATAATTTGCTAGTAAAAGGTCTAGTTATAAATTAGCTGGATAATCTTCAAGAACTCTACCTTCTTATATAGCTTACCCCTCCATTAAGATAGCTTATTATTCTTGAGGTAAAAATTAGTCTTATAAGTAAGAAAAGGTTTTCCATCAAGAGATTAGTAAAGATATGTTAAATAAGTTATAAAATTAAAGGAAATAATATTATTTTTCTTATAATATTATAGAAATTTAAGTATAAGGTACAAGCTATAATTATTAAATATTAGATATTATTTCTTGCCTTACTTAGTATGATCAGGATACTTTATTTTAGTATTAAATTAATATAGCTAGGCAAGCACAAGCTTATTAGTTATCTAACTATTTAAGGATATTACTATTATTATTTTAGATAGTAATTATTCTATATCATGATACTAGACCTTTATATAGTTACCTGTTGCTTTAAAAATAAAAAATAGGTCTATTACCTAACTATCTATAGTAATATATTCAACTATAGTAATATTTTTACCTTACTTACTTTTTATAAGATTAGGGTATTTAGGACCCCTAAAAACCTTCTTATCATAATCTTTACCTAGTTGGAAACTATATTTATTAAAGTTATAGACAAGGCAAGCCAGGATCCTGCAAAGAAGTAATTTTAAAAGGTTATACTAGTATTAAAGCAAGCTAGTATCCTCTATTTATATCTACCTTAATTCCTTAGTCTTTTACTTTACTGGAGCAAGTCCTAGATTTGCTGGTATATATAATTTAAATTAATATGGCTATATCTTACTAACTTGCTTATCTAACCCCATGTAAGTAAGTATCTAATTTACCTATATTATAATAACTATAGGAGTTAGTAGGATATTCTATTTCTGTATTTATATAATCTAGTTAATTAAGGCCTTTTCCTAATATGGCTGTAGAAGGTTTTTATTTATTATTATTAGTATTACTAGTATTTTTGGTTTTTTGAGGTATATTTAGAGTATAGAGTTAGGTATATTAAATTCTCATGTAATCTTTATAATATTTGGTTTTTTTTACTTTTAAACTGTGGCAATAGCTTCAAGCAAGCAAGATTTATTAAAATCTAGAGATTTAGGTATGTTATGTTATAATAATAATAAAAATAAGTTGAAATATCAAAAATCGCGAAGAATGTATGATCACAAAGAATGTATGGCGCACCTAAAGTGGGTAGCGGTTTAGGTAGGCAGAAAGGCATGGATACTCCTTGTTTTTGCCTGTATTTCCTGGTTTGGGGGACGCTAAACTGTTCCCAGGACAGGAATAGGAGATTCGTGATGACTGGTTGTCCCTAACCCTAGTATAGGGACAACCAGTCAAGGTCTAATTTTCATTTTCCATTAACTAAGGATGTAGAATGTGATATCATGGGATTCATTACCCTGTTGGACATGGCTCAAGGCTGTGCCGGATGCGGGCACTGTCCAAATCTAAAAATCCAGAGGCCGTCACAACATATATATACGTATCTACCCTAATCGCCCTACTTGTCCTACTTGGCCAAAGTAGCATGACGACAAACCCAGGGTGATAACCCCAAACGTACTCCGTAGAAACATGCAGAACCACCCGACATTTTACCCTATTCCGAAAATGCGAGGTTGTGTCATTACGTATCGGTCCGAACCGACCGGCCGCATTTGTTTCGGACCGAGAGAGAGAAAAAGCTCGCGACACAAACATACAATTGACCTCGCTAAGTTGTATATATGGATAGTAGTACATCAGGATACCGGTTGAGAACGATGTTTGCGGAGACCCAAGGAGCAAATTTACCCAAATCACAATCTCGACGTTGACTGAACAATCCAGCCCAGTTAACTAATACTGCACTTGATTTGAATACATAGGTAGATCTTCTACAAGAATGCCATCTGTATCTACTACTCCCTTTGCCGACCCTCTGTGGTTGAGTCGTGGCTACAGTCCCTACTACAAGGACTCCCATAGACGCCTACAAAAGGAGGTCCGCGCATATATTGAGACACATATTGTGCCATTCTGTGGAGAATGGGAGAAACAGGGAGTTGTCCCAGCGGAGGTGAGGGGGCCCCCTAAAAGTCGACGGAATAGCCTTCTAAGCTCGTTTACAATAGGTCCATCGACGGCATGCAGAACTTGGTTACACCGCAGCTACTCCATTTCCCCTCGCCGTGGGACATTTGCAAGGACAGAAACTCCCAGCTGGGATTGACTCCCAGGAATGGGACGGATTTCATGATTTAATTTTGATTGATGAGATTGCCCGTTGCGGATATCTCGGGGTCATCTGGGCGCTAGGATGCGGGAATTCGATCGGTGGCCCGCCTGTGATTAACTTTGGTAACGAGGAGCAGAAACGGAGGTTTCTTCCCGATATGCTCAAAGGCAAGACCCGGTTCTGCTTGGGTGTTACGGAGCCCGATGGTAAGTGGCAGGGATTCGCAGCCCGAGTTGTTCGCGCTAACGCATGGATCGAGATGAATAGCCGGATCTGATGTTGCGGGAATTACTACTACTGCTGAACGACACGGGGATATATATATCGTAAACGGCGCAAAGAAATGGATCACCAATGGCATTTTTGCCGATTACTGTACTGCTGCTGTTCGCACCGGGGGCGAAGGAACGAGGGGAATATCGGCTCTAGTGATTCCTCTGAAGGGCCCCGGAGTGACGTGCAGGAAGCTAGATAATTCCGGTGTTCATGCCAGCGGTAAGCAATTCAATCCCTCGGCAACTCTCACCAAGGAAGCTAATGACGTATTCTGATTTGATAGGATCGACCTATATTGAATTTGATCAGGTGGAAGTCCCGGTTGCTAATTTGCTTGGAGAAGAGAACAAAGGGTTCCCAATCATTATGAACAGTATGTACCCTGTTACTGCCATGAACAGAAGGCACTGAACAAAATCCAGACTTTAACCACGAACGTCTGTGGCTTGCCTGTACTTCTCTTCGTATGGCCCGTGGATGCGCGGAAGACGCCTACCTGCACGCTATAACTCGGGAGACATTCGGCAGGAAACTCATCGAAAACCAGGTCATTCGCGCTAAATTTGCTGCAATGGCTCGTAGTCTAGATTCCACATACGCATGGATGGAGCAGCTAGTATACATGTCCGAGATGGCGAAGAAGAATCATACTGATATGGCAATGGGTGGCTTGTTTGCTAATCTCAAAGTTCTCGCGGGACGAACCCTCGAGTTGGTAAACAGGGAAGCTCAACAGATTATGGGGGGGTTAGGATATTCGAAGAATGGCCGTGGTGCGAAGATTGAGCAGGTGAGCCGCGATACTAGAGTGATGGTAGTAGGCGGAGGGAGTGAAGAGATTCTGTCCGAATTGGCTGTGAGCCAGGAGATTAAGGCGATGAATAAACTGCAGAGTAAGCTGTGAAAGCAGTAGGAATTGCATCTAAAATATTTTTGTGCGTTCTTAACGGGTACAAACTTGAATGAATTCCAAATATCCTAAGTACGAGACACGCTGCATATGGGCTGCCCTTGGATACTCATATTCAATACCTAATTCTAGCTTCCCACCATAAAATGGTACTTTGACCAAAGCTATAATCTTGTGAAAAATCTAGATGACGTTGCAAAGAATCTTTCCCTCCCCAACCGCATCGCCTTGTTTCCAGCTCGTTTGGAACTTGCCGTCTGCTGAGACGGTGATAGTCACTTCCATCTTCATGCTCTCAATGACCATGACGCTGTCTCCTGATTTGACCTCATCCCCATTTTTCTTGAGAACAGATAGCACCTTGCAAGGCATGGGGGCTGTAACGGTTTTGGTCTCACCATTTTCCGGTTTTTCTCTCGCTCGCTTGCTTTCTATGAAGGTCAACGCCGTATCTCGTCGAAACTCAAGGTACGTCCCAATTACTGGCAAGTGACAGAAGACGCTTTGTTCCCTGTTAAGACAACCCGCCAGAGCTTCTTCCTTAGCGCAATTAACCACAACATGTGCTAGTATTTTGGAACCGTTGATTGAGATTTCCAACGTAGTGCGAATGCATGACTCGGGACCCGTCGTGTTTGCTTCTACTGGTTGCCAGGAATCGACACTGACTGTGTACCGAGTGCCTGATAGGATCATTTGCCTCTCTCGAAACGCTTGGCTGATTTGGTTATAGCATGCACTCATACTTCCGGTTACCGACTCTATACTTCCCTTGAAATCCTCACTGTCGGGCATCGCGAGAAGATACGCCTCGCTAAGAGATTGCGACGCCAGGGACTGTGGCTTCCATACACAGATAAGGGGTCTTGCTGTGTCTGAATCTTGTGGTACATTATACGGCCAGTCCAACAAGGTGATTATGTCGTACTGGAGGTTGACAAGGTCATAACGCTGATTTCGAAACTGCCTGCGAATGTGTTGGAAAGGTCGTGACTGCGAAGGGGCAGAAGTTGCAAGATTGCGCAGCACAGTTGCTGGAATAATAGAGAAAGAATGGCGTAGTTCGGGATTACTCAAGCAAAGAGGCTCCCGTAGAAGTTCATCGAGATTTCCCGGCAGAAAGGAAGTGGTGTACGCCGGATTACGGAATGCACGGTGCAGGAGCGAGTGTTGTAACAGGAGTTGGTTGGTTTTGACACCTACACAAACGGTATGTGCAAGCACCTTAACCATCTTCTCAATCGCCAGGGCCCTTGTTGGCGCCCAAACAACTATCTTAGCAATCATTGAGTCGAAGTAGATTGAGACTGAGGCCCCCGTGTTGATGGCAGCCTCGTAGCGGACATCCCGACTTGGACCTAAGGGTCCCGGGGCTGGCAACCAGAGGTGGATCTTGCCATTCTCCGGGAAGAAGTTACGACGGGGGTCTTCAGCGCAGAGACGGCACTCGATAGCGTGTCCATATTGGGTGATATTCTGAAGAACGGGAAGAGAGCGTAAACTACCACCCGCTGCCACGAACAGTTGAAGGGATACCAAATCAACTCCTGTCACCTCCTCCGTAATGGGATGCTCGACTTGAAGTCGGGCATTGACTTCAAGGAAGTAGAACTTGCCCGTTGCAATGTCGAGAACAAACTCAACGGTACCGGCATTTTCATACCCAATTAACCTCGCGATGCGTAAAGCGGCCGCACTCATCATTTGTCGAGTCTCCGGGTTCAAAAAGGAACAAGGTGTTTCTTCGATGACCTTTTGATGACGTCTCTGGACCGAACAATCTCGTTCAAAGAAGGAAATAACCTCTCCATGAGAGTCTCCGACAATCTGAATCTCGACGTGCTTGCTGCTCTCCACATATTTTTCTAGAATACAATCCGCGGAACCAAACGAGCGCTGTGCCTCTGATTGAGCCCGCTCTAACTCAGCCTGTAATTCATCAGGCTTTCGGATAATACGCATTCCTTTACCACCGCCACCGGCAGATGCTTTGAGCATCACTGGGAATCCGATTTCTGCCGCTACTTTGCCCAGCTCTTTGGCATCTTGACTTGAGCCAGCATATCCCGGGATGAGCGGTACATCTGGTGCGTGTTTGCGCAGGTAGTCTTTGGCTGCCCTTTTATCGCCTAATGTTGACATAGCTTGATGGCCTGGACCAATGAATATCATGCCAGCCTGACGCACAGCCTGGGCGAACTCTGCATTCTCGCTGAGGTAGCCGTAGCCAGGGTGGATGGCATCAGCCTGGACTGACAGAGCAGTTCGAATGAGGAGGTCAATGTCTAAGAAAGGATTATGCTTGCTATGATTGATGCTTCCGATATTGATGGATTCATCTGCATGTCGTATATGAAGTGAGGAGGAGTCTCTGAACATGCAGTTAGTCTTGGTAACATTCAACCCTAACAACATAGGCGACAATAGGGAAGGGAGGCTATACTCATCCACAAAGATAGCAATAGAACTGATGTTTAATTTGCGACATGTTTGAATAATACGACAAGCTATCTCACCGCGGTTTGCAATCATTACCCTCTGGATAATTGGACGGCCATCCTCTCGTAGTGGAGGCGCTGCCACATATAGTGGTTTCCTTAAAGGCGCTGCATGCACGGGCCATTCGTTTTGCGAAGAAGTCTTTGTCATCTCTGAGCTACTGACGAAGAGCCTGGACGGTGGAATTATTGGACTGTAAGTGGATGCGTTATCCATCGAAAGATACCTGGGTTATTATGCGAGAAGCAATATCCTATCTTGATACCGCGGATTTCTCCGCATCGGACCGGGCTACCACTGCTCGGACCGGAGGCCCCATGATCGAGTAACGCCTCTAATTGGTATTTCGGATACTTGGATATTAATTTGCTCTACAAAGAGTAAATCCCCTTGTGCGGAGAATAGCTTTCGAGGGAATAGGGCGGGGGCCCCAAGCTACGGGTCTACGAATGCCGTGTTTACGGTGTATCTCAAGGAAAATATTGCTTGTAAGGAATTTTACTAAATCTAAAATATAGTAACTATCACAGCTGATTATGATCTAGATTCGTGCAAGCAAATTGTGGGTCGGCGTCCCATTCACACCTGGCAGAGTCACGACGTAAAGACACATCCCAAGGACATCGCGCGTGTCTCGTGGATCAATGATCCCATCGTCAATTAGCATCGAGCTCGTTGCGTAGCATTCACTGTCATTTTGTGCTTGTTGTCGGAAACTTTCCACCTGATTCTTCAGTTTTTCTGGAGATAGGACCTGTCCCTTGGACTTCGCACTAGATGCCTGGATCGTCTCCATCACACCGGAAAGCTGGTCAGGACCCATAACACTGCACCGGCCAGTGGGCCATGTGAAAATAAATCGTGGTCTATACGCCCGACCACACATGGCGTAGTTTCCTGCGCCGTAGGATGCTCCTAGAATGAGGGAGATATGCGGTACCTTTGAGCAGCTGACGGCTGAGACGAGCTGGGCGCCCATCTTGATAATTCCAGCGTGTTCAGCTTTAGCTCCTACCATAAAACCAGTGACATTGTGAAAGAAAATGAGAGGGATATTTCTAAGATAATTAGGGATACAAGTTGCATGCATGGATATGAAGTCTTACTGCTGGTTACACAGGCGAATGAACTGGGTGGTTTTAGAGGCCTCATTTGGGTTTATGACCGATATCTGGTTAGCTATGATGCCAATGGGGAAACCTGAATTTATCAATTAGGCCTAATCCATGAGTGAAGAGAAATAGAGCGTGCTTACCCAAGATATGCGCCCAGGCAGTGATCATATTCGGCCCATACTTGGGCTTAAACACCGATAGTCTAGAGTCATCCACGATTCTCAAAAGGACTTCAAACATGTCGAGAGGTTTCCGGATATCTGGATTCACGATAGATAGAAGGTCCTCAATAGAATATCTAGGTGCAGCTGGGGTAATGAGACCATGAATACGGGGAGCTCGTTCATGGAGTGAGGCAACCCATTCTCTTGCTTTCATAATAGCGTCAAATCTGCAGAAAACAAACAATTAGCAAAGTAATTCTCTCAAAGCCCATCAATAAATTGCATTATTAAGCCCATACTCATCGATGGCAACCTGATCTGCCAGGCCCGTGATTGTTGCATGAACATTCGCGCCCCCGAGCGCTTCAGCGCCTATAACTTCTCCAGTTGCCATTTTTACGAGCGGCGGCCCTCCGAGAAAAGCTTGAGCCTGGTTCTCTACAAAGATGGTGTAGTCTGATAGCGCTGGATGGTAGGCGCCACCCGCCGTGGATGAGCCAAAGACAATCGCGCATGAAGGTTTGCCATGCTGTGTGCGTACTGCAAGATCACGGAAAAGCTGACCTCCTTTATGAAAGACACGGAACTGCTGAGGGAGAAAGACACCAGCCTAGATACGATACTCAGCAAGCAGCAAATAGAAGACACATTCAAAGTGTAACTATACAGATTGGACGAGTGAGATTAGGGGCAGATCGTTCTCGAATGCCACTTCCATCATGCGGTTCGTTTTGAGGACTAAACGTGAGGTCAGAAACATATATGTACTTTGTACCAAAATGATACATATTATGAAGCTCAATTCGCATACCCGTCATCTCATTCCAAGCCCCTCCACTTTGCGTTGGGATATGCGACATGAGGAGACATGGACGACCACTAGGTTGCAGTTAGCTGTGGCCCTGAAGCACAGTGATATTGTGTATAAATACCTAACATTACCGATCCCTGCAATCAGATTCGCGCATGGTGTTGAATCCCTATTCCCAAACCCAGCGAAGGCCCCTAGCTCGAGAAATGGTGTGTCCTGGTCTAGTAAAAGGGCAACACGATCCCTTGCTGTGGAAGAAGAATTAGCGAGACAGGCGCAAGAACGAACCATTTGGGATCCATGTACGCAGTAGCTGTCCTCTAGATTGGTGTCTCTTTAAAGAAACCTGATCTCCTTCAGCGGAAACAAGTTGCAAGGCTTGCTCAAAGCGGTTGATAACAGATATCCAGGCAGTCTTATTTTGTTTGAATTGCTCTCCCCGCAAGTCAACGCGGGAGCGCCAAACAGGGAAAGAAGACTCCGTTGCCATTGAGTGAGAGTATCTATTAGTGGAATTTCTTATACAGTCTTGTTTGTACAGAAATAAGTCTGCTTTTCCGCTATAAATTCTTTCATCCTAGTCAAGGTTCTTTGCATCTCGACGGCCGGACCGAAGTGTCGGGAAGCCCTCCGCAGGGACCGGGAGTCGCGAAGCACCCCCTTCCACAAGATTTCGAGATATTCCGGGGGTATAAAGATGTTGTTCTATGTGCAACTAGGCGCATGGGCTTTTGTCTATGAGTGGTTGTGTAACTAGATAATCCTCACATCTGTTGCGGCACTGACGGTACTTATTGCAGGATCTACTGAGCCCAGGATTTCCACATAATGGTACCCAAACTCTCTCTTATTCATGGGCCAAAGGAACCCGAGATCTGGAGTAACAAGACTCTATGCGACATAATTGACGAGCAGACAAATCGGTATGCTGACCGGCCTATGTTGATTGTTCCATGGCAATCTACACGGCTATCGTACCATGATCTTGCCGAGCGAAGCAAAACAGTTGCAAAGGCCATGTTACACTTTGGTTTGCGCCATGGCGACTGCATCGGAATAATGGACGGAAATAGCTGCGAGTATATTGAGGTCTTTCTTGGTGCCGCACGAATTGGATGTCCAGCAGTAGTACTGAATAACACATACACGCCAGACGAGCTAAAGAATGCTGTCTACCAGAGCTGTAAGAGTCTTTTTATCTCTTCCCAGCAGCTTGTATATTTTATCATATTGTTTGCCCCGCTGATTTCGTTTATTAGCCTGTAAGACCGTCTTTATCACTCCAGGCATTGGAACAAGGAGCTTAATAGGACACATTAAACTTCTTCAGTCAGCAAAGCAAAGGGGTCCAGATCTACGAGATTTACAGCAAGTAGTATACTTGCGAGGAAATGTAGGCGGCCTTGCTGGCGGTATGATCCAGTCCTACACAAGCTTCATAGCCCAGGGACACTCAAGAGACAAAGATACGCTGCTAGAGCAGGCCACAAAGATGCTTGCACCAGAAGACGTTTTAAACTTGCAGTTCACATCTGGTAGGTCTTGCAAATCCCTCTTGACTCGAGGAGTTCCGCGCGCTGATGAAGCTGTGCCATAGGGACTACTGGGTCCCCTAAGGCAGCGATGCTAACAAATATGCAAGTTGCAACCTTTCTAAGGGTGCTGAATGCTACTAACCTGCTATAGTAACATTCTTAATAACGCACGATTTGTGGGAGATGCAATGCGTCTTACGCCGGACGACATTGTCTGCTGTGGTCCTCCTTTGTTTCACTGTTTTGGCCTGGTGCTGGGATTTTTAGCTTCGTTCTGCTACGGTAGTTCCATTGTTTTCCCGTCCGACTACTTTCGTGCGAGTAGTGTGGTGGATGCCCTCTTGAACGAGAACCCCACCGTTCTCTTGGGAGTGCCAACTATGTTGGTGGCAGAACTCGAGGTTTTATCCAAGACTGGACAGAAGCCACGACGTTTGCGAACAGGTCTTGCCTCCGGGTCGGCAGTGTCTCAAGTTTTGATGAATGAGATTCGAGAACGAATGGGGGTCGATAAAATGCTCATTGCGTACGGCATGACGGAAACAAGCCCTGTCAGCTTTATCACTTCTCTCGACGATCCAGATCAGAAGCGGATATCAACCATAGGAAGGGTGATGCCTCACACCTCTGCGAAAGTGATCGATAAAGAGGGCAACATCCTCCCACGAGGCCAACGGGGCGAGTTATGCATTAGCGGCTATGCCTTGCAGAAGGGCTACTGGAAGAATGAAGAGAAGACGCGGGAGGTTATGCGCCAGGATGAGAACGGCGTACTGTGGATGTATACCGGGGATGAAGTCATGATCGACGAGGCGGGATATGCACACATCACAGGACGCATCAAGGACCTTATTATCCGAGGTGAGTAGTTCACCACAAAGCATACCTCAGTGGGAGGAGCTTTGTATTTCTGACTATCCTGGTAGGCGGCGAAAACATTTTCCCTCGTGAAATCGAGGATCGACTTGCGTCGCACCCGAATATCACCGAGGCCAGCGTTGTAGGAATCAGGGATGAAAGATATGGAGAAGTCGTTGGATGTTTTTTGAAAGCCGCCATGTGCTGCCACAAGATTCCAGACAACGAAATACGGAAATGGGTAGAGAGGAAATTAGGCCGGCACAAGTCACCAAGTTACGTCTTCTGGATTGGAGATACGGGAGTTGGGAATGACTTCCCCAAAACCGGGAGTGGGAAACATCAGAAGCATATTTTGCGCGATATTGGGAACCGACTTGCTGGACACACCAAGACCCGTGCCCGCCTATGAAAATACTAAGGAACTAATAGTATGATACAATGAAATGTTTGAGTAGCCTGAAATTAGCCTTTGCCATGTCCATCCGATCAAGGGGAGATGCCCGCCCATTACCCAGGGACAAGTCAACAACCTGAGCTACGGAGTATGTAGTCTGGAGTAGGCTACTTCGGTCCGAACCCCCGGATTATGATGCGAGTTAAGCGGGACCAAGGGAAGTTGGATTTTGGATCCGTTGCTACGGTCCGGCCTCGGATGATGACTGTTGTGGGAGGATCGGAGGACTTTATAGATCCGTCGAAAGAACGGAATACATTTCCCAGTTGTAAAGTCGGACGCCCTGAAGAAATGCAGAACCCATCCTTGCCATCTGTCAGGATCGTCGAGGTAGGGCCACGAGATGGCTTGCAAAACATCCGGGAATCGATTGACAGCGCCACCAAAGTGGAACTGATTCGTCGACTCCGGGGTACCGGCTTGCAAACCATCGAACTGACCTCCTTTGTTTCCCCGAGGGCTATTCCCCAGCTAGCCGACGGCCGTAAAATCGTACAAAACTCCTCCATTCAACAACTTATACAAGATCCAGGTCTACGGCTTCCAGTTTTAGTTCCCAACATCAAGGGACTCCAGAGCGCGCTAGAGATCGGCGTGAAGGAAGTTGCGGTGTTTGTCAGTGCAAGTGAGGGGTTTAGTAAGGCCAACATTAACTGCTCTGTGGATGAAGGTCTAGACAGAGCCCAACTAGTGGCGTACGAAGCCGCTAGGGCTGGGGTTGCTGTCCGAGGGTGAGTAAACCCTGATAGTGGGTATTGGACCTTCCATTTCCCCATGAATACGGCTTCCCTGTCGTAAATGACGGTTCTGACGACTACAGTTACGTCTCATGTATATTCGAAGATCCTTATGACGGTCCAACTGCCCTTTCGTCCGTCCTTCGATGCACAAGAGCTTTACTGGAAATGGGCTGCTATGAAGTTAGTCTGGGCGACACTTTAGGCATAGGAAGTCCTGCGGATGTGAGGAATTTGCTTGAATATCTCCAGAGCAATGGTGTCCCTCTAGAGAAATTGGCAGGTCACTTCCATGACACCTACGGTGGAGCAATGGCCAATGTATGGGAGGCATACAACTGCGGTGTGCGCGTGTTTGATAGTAGTGTCGCTGGCCTTGGGGGCTGTCCATTCGCTCCCGGGGCCAAGGGCAATGTGGCGTCCGAAGATCTCGTCTACATGTTTCAGCGATCGGGAGTGGATACGGGTATCAATCTGTCAAAGCTAGTATCTACCGGCGTTTGGATATCCACTCGACTCTCGAAGGAAAATTCCAGCCGAGCAGGCACAGCCCTAGCGGCTAAGCAGCAGTCCACCTTTGCTTCGAAGAACCCCCCCTCACTCTCGTGGATTTTGGGAAGAGAAACCGAAGGAGTGCAGTTGTTCCGGTCGGGAGTTAATTTGAAGATTATCTTGAACCGACCGAGGAATGGAAACGCTCTCACGACTGCAATGATTTCGGAGGTGACATTTGCAGTGAAGAATGCTGCGGACGACCCATCGATCTCGCGCATCATCCTTGTCGGCAATGGGCAGTTCTTTTGTACCGGAATGGACCTAGCAAGAGGTAGTACGCCGGTTGGCCAGGGACACTCAAGTAGTGACGCGCAATATGAGAGACTCGTGAATCTTTTCGAAGCCATTGACCAGTCGCCCAAGGTAACAATCGCATGTCTAAACGGACCAGCGTTTGGTGGTGGGGTCGGGCTCGCCTTTGCATGCGATATTAGGATTGCTGTTACAAGTGCAACTGTGACGCTCAGCGAGGTCAAGCTGGGACTTTGTCCCGCAACGATTTCCAAATATGTTATCCGCGAATGGGGAGTGGCATTTGCGCGTGAAGCAATGCTCACTGCGCGATCGGTAACCCCTGAGGAGCTGAAGGCACGAGGCCTTGTGGCGCAAGTTGCGAATAGTGTGGAAGAATTGCACCTACATCTGGACAGGCTACTAACCCATCTGAAAGCCACGTCGCCGGCTGCGTCCTGCCTGACGAAAGACCTGGTTAGACTGGCATGGGCACATGCAGGCCAGGAAGAGCAAACGCGAGGTATCAAAGCCTTGTTCGAAGCTATGATGCGCCCCGATACAGACGGATCACACGGGGTCAAGGAGTTCCAGGCCAAACGACCGGTTGATTGGGACAATTATACCCTTCAACAGCAGTTGAAACCCAAGCTCTAAGATCCTCTTATTGCCGTTGTTATCTTGGTATTAACTACTAGGGGTGTTTTGATGTATGTGAATCGAGACATATACATGCACATGATAATACTGGTAGCCAGATATTACAGAAGCTACTATAAACAAATCCAAGCCCTAAACAACTCTTCTAAAACATATATATATATCCTTCCACTAGGCCATGGCATTTTATCTTCATTATACTATTGTCGTGATCATGAAAGAAATAGGTGCTACCAACACCATCTAAATTTACTGTAAAGAACGAGTAAAAATCCCTACTAAAATTCAAGCCAGCCCACCAACAGTAGCATAGAGGATCTTTATAGGCACACTTTACTATTTGTAGTAATTCACCATCACCAAAGAATGCGGAGTAAATCAGGTTAATAACTAAGATATGGAGAAGATGCGCTGTTAGTGCCGCGGTCTTTATTATGATATCCACACCCCCCCGCACCCGCCTTGCCGTTTTCCTTCTTCCTTGAACTCGCTGCTATTCTATTAAATATGTGCCCTTCCCTCCTATGGTAAATAATCCGACATTTCAGTTCTATCTAATCGCTTGTATTCCGGTATGGATCTCCATCCAGACCCCCTCCATGCTGGGGTCACCAAGCGGATCCGACAAGCTTGTGCGAGCTGTCGGTAGGTGTGGCCGTTCGTCCTACACACTGCCATGGGTTTTATCACTAACTGCTGCGGCTTAATCTTTTAGGCGAAGGAAGACTAAATGTTCTGGAGAGCGGCCACTTTGCTCCCATTGCCGGCGAAATCGCCAGCGGTGTGTTTACGAGCCCTACTCGATGACGATTGGCGATGGTCCTCCTGCTCCGGCACCCGCTACATACCCTCCGGATAATGTTAGTTCCTATGGATGCCTTCAGGAGCTGGGGATTTGATCTAATGGTGTTGCAGACCGAGTTATTGCATCGGATCAACAGACTTGAGTCTCGCCTCGCCGAGCTGACTGATCGATCCCTGTCCCAAGCCGCGTAGGTCTCAAGACATTGCCTTGGCTATGCTTTTTATCACATCTAACGCTCTACATCTTCCCAGACCATTCGTCTCCCATGAACCTAGTGCTGTGCATCAAATCTCCCTTTCTCGGGTTCCTTCAAGTCTGGTGGATCCCGTTCCATCCGCTCCCCGCTTCAACAGTGAACATTTGTGAGTTTTGCTTACAATGCCTTGCGTCCATCGACCATTACTGAATAAGTCCCGTTTCACTACTACTAGTTCCCTCCCTCCGCTCCCGGTATTGCAGTCCGTCATTGAAACCTTCTTTGTCCATGTCCATAACCAGCCGTACTCGTACATCCAAGAGGCGTCCTTCCGACAGAAACTGGAGACCGATACCTTGCCCAATTGTCTTCTGTTGGCCGTTTTAGCTTCTGCCGTCCGCTTTTCATCGCACGAATATTACGGGGGACAGAGACTGGAGGCAACCGAAGTGTATGCCAGGGAGTCATGGATGTCTGTCCTTATGGAACATCTGATGGCGGCGGATAACCTCAATCTCGAGGTAGTACAGGCAGTCAATATGCTTGCAATCGTGGATTATACAGGTCTGTGTGCTTCTGTGTCCTGGGCCCTCCTCTCTCGCGGAATCTACGGACACTGACATTTCTCCAGCGGGCCGAGTTAGCTCTGCATGGTTGAAGATCGGTTTAGCGGCACGGGTTTCTCAAGATTTGCGCCTAATGGCAGAACCCTCTGGTTTTCTCTCCTTTACCGAACAGGAAGAGAGGCGAAGGCTGTTTTGGTCCGGCTATCTATTGGATAGGCTTATCTCCTGTGGTAAATCACGACCCCTAGCTATCCATGACGATGATTGCAATGTCCAGCTCCCGTGCGATGAGGAGTCAATCCAGATGATGGGACAGCGGCAGAATACCCATACGCTGCATGAGCTGCTTTCGTGGGATTCCAAGACAAATGATAGTCCCAGTCCTTTCGGCCTCGTGATTCTGATGGCGTCAATCTTCGGACGGTGCACAAGATACGTCCATCGGGACCTGATCCCGGAGCGGATGCCCCCATGGGATACGACATCGGAATTCTCCAGCATCAACTCTCTACTCCTGCTCACGGAGTCCTACTTCAAGAGGGACCAGGCTTCCCTTTTCGGGTATATCTACGAAGCGAAGCGTTCGCCTCAATCGCAGGCTGGGCACCTTATTTTTGCCCACACTCTGTTCCATTTATGCCACTGTTTGCTCAACCACCCTTTTCTAATTCGATTACGTTTGAAGCCGTTTCGGTCAAAGATCCCGGAAAGTTTTGCAATTCGTACCCTCCAAACAGGGAGCGATCACGCGAGGCAACTATTGGACCTTCATCGCGAAGCTACGCAATCCGGATATTTAGTGCAATCTTCATTCTACCCGTATTGTATTGTTATCGCAGGAGGCATAGAGTCTTTAGTCTTCCATTCCGAGGAATCAAGGACTGGTCTTCCATCCTCGCAACCATCACAGCATTTCAGTCACAGTGTCAATACTTTGGAGTCACTCGGCAACTTTTGGGCGCATGCCGCGAATATGGTACGCCGAAGCCAACTGTACCTAATTTTCCCCATAATAACATCGTACTATTTTTTTTTTTAGGCAATCAGGCTTCGCGAATTCCATGCCCAGGCACAGACGTTCCCGGCCCTCCTTGATGCTGATTCTTTAGCAGAGGACCTTAACGCCACTGTTGAAGAGGCGCTTTGGTCCATGATTGACTATGGAGTCGTTGGAGCGGGGACGGGCCCAACACCCGTTGCTCGTAGAAATTCCCTGTCTCATCTAGCCTCTCCTTCATCGTGGGCTCTTGGATCAGAAATATTCTCCGCTCCCCTGGAGGGATTTGACGGAGCGAATACGCATCTACTCGATCCAGTGGCAACCCCAACACATTTTGATCAGGTTAACAATATTCTTGACTCTACCAATTCCCATCCAATTTGAATACCCACACTAGCCTCCAAATTCAACGGAAATGCCACAAAGTTTGTCTGTCTAGGGTAGTCCGTTACGAAGATACAATGTGCTCCAGCCCGCCTCGAACTGGGTATATTCGAAGAGTTTCCACCCGTTTCCCAAACGCACAAGAGTTTCGTTGTTGGACTATCAGGCTGGCAATGAGAGAATAATTCTGTCGACTAAGAGTATTTTTTTTCCCCGTAATTTCCTACAGAAATGGCCCCATCATCCCTAAATGTTCCCGACGGTATTCTAGCCCGCCAGTCTTTATACACCTTTTCCCAGACGCCACCAACGTCCAAGTAGCCGGGGATTTGAGCCACTATTCCGGACTTCTGAATTCAGGGAATTGTAGCCACTGATTTTGATTTTTTTTTGGCTATTTGAGTAAGCTGTTTACCATGGTTTTCACTACTATGCATTCACAATCCCACTCCTTAATTTCGCTGGCCAACAAAGGGAATAACAAAGGAGTGGGGCAATCAGAGAATTTACTTAGAGGGCCCAGTGGCAACGTCAACACACTAACGGAGTACTCCGTACAGCGTGTAAAGAACCAAATCAAGCTCCCTAGTGAGTTAGTTAGTTAGCCAGCATAATGCTCCGAGCATTCGAACTGGATCAGTCTCCAGCTGGGCTCTGTATCCAAGACCAATGCCATGGATAATAACGATCCCTGTGACACATTCCTCCCAAAGAAATAACCTAGGAGCTGGCATTCCCATGCTTGGGTCGTAAAAGCGCACATGAAATACCCGATATTAAACCGAAGTTGTCCTTCACATGTCCAGAAAATCATTTACAGGACAGACCGCCTGCTTCGATTCAAGCCAGACAGGTGTGCCGATTCAGATTCTTTGCATTTCATCACCCCAAACAAGTCTTGGGTGGATTTGATTGGACTCTCTCGGGCTTCCTCTAGAGACCCAGGCTTGGTCCGGCCCGACCAACACATCCTTGGAACGGTGACGGAGGATCAACGAGGTGGAGAGGAGGATCTTTGGGTACGGCATCTAGATCTGTACCAGAGGAGTCCTAGATTATTAGAATTAGGTACTTTGTTAGTTAGTTGGTTAACTTCCTGTGCGTTAGATTCTTTCTTTTCGCTAACAGAAAAATAAAAGAAAAGAAAAAAAAAATGCCTTGGCTGCTAAGACCGCCTAAGGCAACCCCGCGATTATTCAGGCATTCGCAAACACCAACCAAAGAGGTCAATTTTGGTGTACGGAGTAGTATAAAGAGAGAGAGAGAGAGAGAGAGAGAGACAAGAGTATGGATGTATATTCATACTTATCAACAGAAAAATTGGATTGGATAGCTCTATTTTCAAATGAAATCATGGTACCGAGATACTCGATTCTTTGATCCATCAACAAGTCAAAAGACAAGTCCATACTGTATAAATACTACCTAGGTAGGTATTGTATATCCAGCAAAACTCAAAAAGAAAGGAATCATTCCCCTGAAAGTTCCCTGGAAGTTCCCTGAAAGTCCCCCAATCATCATTATCATTGTGTTCCTGAATGCGCTGAAAGAAGGGCTTAACAGGGCCAATCGCCATCCAGAGATGCCCCCGAGGGCCCTCAAAGCGCCACCAGAGAGGCAAGGAAATGCAACAGAATGCAAGGAATTCGTTTTCTGGTGGTCCGAGTCAGGCACAATTGCCGTAAACAGCAAAGCCACGATCGTTCGCGTGTTTCAGATTGAGCGTCTTGGTGGTGCATCACCACATTCCATTGGACACGTCCGAGAGTGAAGATGGAACCCCAATAGCCGCTTAGTCTCTCTTCACTCTCTGCCCACACACGGTGAAAAGAAAATGGTCATACTAGAGTAGAACTTGTAATATAAAGAGAGTCTCGTCTCTCCCCAGTTCTGAGTTTCTTTCTTTCCTTTCCTTCAGTAAGCTAGACTTCTGTCATTCCCTTCCTTTTCGTGCCCGGCGCTTCTCTTCAGCCACCATGCTGACCATTCCTTTCGTAAGTCATCCTCCAAAGAACTCATCCCCTCTCTTCATCGGACCCTTGCTGACCTTGTGTTACGCGTTCTCCAGATTCTGGCTGCTGGCAGCCTGCCCACTCTCATTTTTGGGGCTCCTATCCCGTCCTCTCCCTTCAGCAAATCTGCTGCAGAAGTGTCCACACATTCCTTTCCCAAGCGCGCCTACAGTGTCCTCGGTGGTACCGGAGCAGTTTCCGATGGTTGGCCCTCGATGGAAGACTGGTACTCGAGCTTCGAGGAGATGTACGTTTCCCCCCCCCCCTCTCTCCCTTCCCTATACTATGTTCCTGGCAGAAACTAACCTCAGTATTGTAGGTTTGAGGCCAACAAGGAAATCTTGCAAAGTTCATGCGCCCAGTGGGACGTCGCCAACAACTCCGACGATGAGATCGAACTGATCGCTGAAGGTGTCAAGTCTGTGGCTAGCTCCTCCGGTGTCGATGCTCGATTCATCTTTGCCATTATCTTGCAAGAAAGCAACGGTTGTGTTCGCGTCCCCACCACCGATAACGGTGTCGTCAACCCCGGTCTCATGCAGAGTCACGATGGCGCTGGATCTTGCAACAGTGGCAGTGGTGTCCAGAGCCCCTGCCCGGCCAGCGAGATTACACAGATGATTACCGACGGAGCCGCAGGTACCTCTGCCGGTGACGGACTGAAGCAGTGTCTGGCCAAGGCAACTGGCACTGGTGTTACTGCCTACTACCAGGCCGCTCGTCTGTACAACTCTGGCTCCATCTCATCTACTGGTAACCTCGGTCAGGGTATTGCAACCCACTGCTATGTGTCCGATATTGCCAACCGTCTGACCGGATGGAGCTCGGGCGCAAGTAGCTGTGACGCTGAAACCATCGGGGAACTTACCAGTGCCGTCAGTAGCGCGTTCTCTGAAAATGCTGGTCTGGGTGACTCTACCACCACTAGCTCCAGCTCCACGACTGTTGCTGCTGCTACTACTACTGTTGCTGCTACTACTACTACTACTACTACTGTTGCTACTACTACCACCGCTCCTGCTACTACCACCACCGCAGCACCCACCACTAGCACAACCACAGTCACCAGCACATCCACAACCACGTCTATTACCACAGTCACTGCTACTGTCGTTCCTATTCCTGCCACGACCAGTACCACACCCTCCTCCACCACTGCCACTTCTGTGGCGTCCTCTTCGTCCGCCTCCTCTACGGCCGCTCCTATTTACCCGTACGCTACATCCTCATGCCAGAAGTACTATACCGTCCAAGAGGGTGACTACTGTCTCAAGGTCGAAGCGAAGGTGGGCATTACCGCCGCGCAGCTCCTGGAGTGGAACACTGGTCTGGATGAGGCCTGCACGAATCTATGGCTGGGATACCAGTATTGCATCAAAGCTTAAGACTTCTCTTTCTTCTATTCTCTTCGATTCCCTTTCGTGACTTCCTTTTGACAAGGCTGTGCCATGTGACTGTACATATCAAGAGGATGCCTTTTTGTGAAAAGAAAAAAAGAAAAAAAAAAATTGTCGACAGTGATGTAGCTAGACTGCCCTGTCATCTTGACTTCTTTGTGATGAATTTATGAACCGATAAAATCAATGGATTTGCCATGTCTCTACTACCCATTGTAGCCGAAATTTCTGTATTAAGATAGTAATCGAGATTAAAGCCGATAGAGATGCAACCCTTTCTGCCCGCTCCCTTGGGGCCGATGAATGAAGGCCCAATTCCATCCCATCGCATCATCCACCCAACCTTCTTTCATTTCAGTTTTATCAAATAATAATATGACGGTAAGTATGATTACTATATTAATATTAAGGGGAATAGGTTACGGGATCGATAGATCATCCCGAGTAAAAAGAATACTCAAGCTCTGTCTTTGGACTATGGGTACCTTCGGGATTTAGATTAGTGATCATCCTCGTACTGATTATTGATCATTCCGATGTATGATTTGGTCATTGAATTCCTACTTACGATTCGATAGGCCCTCTCCTCTGCCACCAACACGATATGCCATCCATACCGAGGTCTCGTCTGGCCGGTAGCTTACGGTTGCTGTAACAATAAAAGCCATTCCGCCGCACTGGGTGAAGTTCTGTTACTTGCCTGAGATTAAGCATGACAGCTATCCACCACGCTGCAACCAATAGAAACTTTGCCTCGATGGAAACCGCAGGAATAGCCACAATCCCTCTAGGAGTCGGGTATCTTGATGGAAATGGTCGAGAAAAGGATGGCCCAGGATCTCAGCCAGCGGTCACTGCACAAGCCACTAGTCAACCGCGCCGGAAGAGAGGCCGTCAGAAGAATACAGCTAACCCGGAGACAGCTGCTGAGGTAGAGATCTCCACCTACCTTTCTTATTCTTGTATCCCGCTTTGGTTGACCAAATAATTAGAGACGCCGTACGCAAATTCGTCTCGCCCAGCGCGCGTACCGTGCCCGGCAAGAAGCAACTTTATCCCAGCTCAAGGCGCAGATCGGTCAACTGGAAGATGCGGTCGAGAATCTCAGCCAAATATTTCTCAGGTTTAGTGACACCCTGATGCAATCTGGGGTGTTAAAGACGTTCCCTGAAGTAACACACTCTCTCCAAGAGGCAACTAAGAGTTTTGTGCTATTAGCAAATAAAGCAACTGAACCGCCAGAGATGGAGACCAGCAGGGAAACTTTCGACAAGCCAGAAAATTCCGGACCGGAGCTGAGGTCAACTTTATTAGGGTCGGTTTCCACCGCATGCACAAACTCGATACCTAGAGACACAATCGGTATGGAGGCTATGGGCGCGCTGAATGTTGACAGCAGCCCTTCACGCCTGACTTCGGAGCCCAATGATGCATCAGTTTTATTCCCCGCGGGGTTTGATGAGCTTCCTACTCATCCACCAACACCTGTAGAGGCTCCTACGCCGCCGGCGGAAATACCCTATATTAGGTCACCATCTTTATATGGTCCTCGCAGCCCTTTTTTTTCCGAGCGACTCCACTGGGTGTGCGTCCAGCGTGCCCTTCACTACCTGAAGGATTTCACAGTGCCCGATTCAAAGTTCTCCTACACGTTTGGGTTTCTCATGACGATGATGAGCCGCGAACAATTAATAGGCTATTTTAGCACTCTTGTAGATCGATCGGGGTCTCCTGACGTCTTCGAGGAATGGAGCATTCCAACGTTCAGCCTCGGTGGCGCAGGCTCTCATTACCCGCGCAAGCTGCTTCCAGCGACAAGTCCAATCCAGTTGAAGACATATCTAAATCAAGCTCGATGTGAAGATAACGACGAGGTATGGTTTGATACGGAGGACGTAGAGGGTTTCCTCGAGGCCAATGGGGTTATTTTGTGGAACAGGAATTCTAGCGAACAAGTAACTGCACTGGGTGCAAGCCAAACCCCCCACCAAAACATGCTGAGTGCGGACTTACAGTCTCCTACATTAATCGTTGATGAACATAAATTGGCTAGATGTAAGTTGAATTGCCCCGGGGGAGGCCGACCTACGCGTGGCTACAGCTAACTTGACATAGGGTTAAGCCGGAATGCTGTCTGTCTGGGCCGTGTGGTTGGGTTCCGCAGACGCGACGTGGAGAGCTTTATATTGAAGTTTGCCTGGCCTCTTTGCTAGCTAGATATGCGATGAGCTCCCAGGTTGCCTAGACCTTTGCTTTCTGGCGCAGTCCTAACTGCTGATCCATCACCTCCTTCACAATCTCTCCCAACGACCGCCACTGGATCCCCAGCTCTCTCTCAGCCTTCGAAGTATCGACTGGCCAGGAGGTTCCTGTGATTTCCTCTGTGATTTTGGCCCCACAGGTAGGGTATTTCTCCTTCACAATTGCCGCCACCTCTTTCCACTGCGATTTCTCCCCGGCCAGTAAGTATTTGGATCCCCCAGGCACCTTTTCATCCAGTGCCTTTATATGAGCCTCGGCCACATCACTAATGTGCACTGCTGTGATAGTCCCCATTGGAATGCCGGCCATAATGGATCCGAACAAGAGCCCGTTGGTAGTACCTTTTATCTCCTCTGGGGTAGCTTGCATCGGATTATGCCCAAACACAAAGGCTGGATGGATTGTAACAAGATCAAAGGTTGGGTTTACTTGTCTTTGGAAATCCCAGCTTGCGTTGTTCGCCAGTAGCTTGGAGGCATGGTACAGGTTTATTGCGGTGGCTTCGTCATTCTCCCCTGGAAAACTGTCGTTGTCCTCAACCGTAAGATCCCAACCGTTGTTCTCTGTAAGGCTCGGTGTCAGCTAACTTGGTCTTTGATAGTCATCGAGGAAAGCGAGCTGGGTATCTCACCTTTAATGACCCCACCATCCGGAATTCCCTTGATTGGAATCAGAGCTGCAATGGACGAAGTAATCACTACCCTTTTGACTGTCGGAGTCTTCGCGGCTTCCCTTAAAATCGATGTTGTCCCTTTGACTGCAGGGGCAAAGTATGATTCTTTGTCTGTGCCACTCGGGATCGGCGAGGCAAGATGAAGCACATAGTTGACCCCATCGAGCGTTCCTATGAAAGCAGACTCTTTGGTAATATCGGGAACAAGTACAAATTCAATTGCAGACTCGAAGTCCGACAGCAGAGTCCTGAGCTTCGGGATCTGGGATTCCTTTCGAACGCTGATACGTAGACGATAGCCATGTTTCAGAGCTTCAAGAGCCGTAGCACTGCCAATGAACCCGGTGGCGCCGGTAATGAAAATTAGACCACTAGGCATGATGTATGCTTTTGTCTTGTTGAAGTTGAACTAGGATAAGTATGGGGAGTTGAACATCAGCGCATTCTTATAGTAACACAGAGCCCTATCATTCACTGCCTGAGAGCACTATTCATTGAATGTTGTATTAGTGATCAATCGAGTGATCCCCTGCCAGAAACACAATCTCTGATACTTGATTACTGATATATGCGAACTCCCTGGGGAAATGATAATGATTAGTGTTCTTCCGGATTAGACGTGGCGTGCCGGGTGCTAGTTTATTCTGTGGTTCAGAATATAAAAAGGTGATAGACCGAGTCCTCAGATAAGTGACCCATGCTTTATATTCTCTCACCAGTCAAAAAACAAATGGTATGCACTACCTCTTCACGCTTGATTGAATCCACGATGCCCCTCTGGCTGATCCATCACGATCCGAACGTCTTCTCCAACGACGAAAAGGAGAAACTGGCCCAGACGATCACGCAGCTGTATGTTGGCTTCGGTTTACCAGCCTTTTACGTCCAAGTTCAATTCTTCGAGCTCCCTTACGCATCCTCATTTATTGGAGGCGAGAAAGACCGTGCCCATGTCACGCTGACCATTTACCATCTTGCGCGCACCATGACCACCGAGGCGCAAGCTCAACGATTCCTCGGGGCGGTTGATGGTATTTTAACACCCACCTTCCAACCAAAAGAACTGGAATGGGAGTACTTTGTGACGGAAACCCCAAGAAACCTCTGGAAGATAAACGGGCTTGTACCTCCGCCGGCTGGTTCGGACGAAGAGAGGGAGTGGGCTAGAATAAACAAGGCGGTTAAGCTTTGAGTTGCCATGGGCCTTGGATTATTTTGAGAATCCCATTGCAACGCATGATGGAAAGCAGACTGATTGTTCGTGTTGGTGATACTGCTAGTCATTTATAAGATTGTTATACATCCAGTATCTCGGGAGAATCTTCAACCACCAAGCCATTCCTGCGCGTACGTACAGCATGCATCGGCTGGCTAGACTATAATATCTTGATATATTTTTCAAGATAAGATATTCATTCGGACTCACTCCAGGAGACATAGCTATTTCACTAGTAAAACGACTTGCTATTTGATATACTCAAGGTCCTGCGAAATTTCTATCAAGGTTTCTAGAACATGTCGATTATAGAAGTAATTCTTATTTCTCTTGACAAACTTTCCCTTGCACAATAATAATACCTTGAGCCTGATCCTGAAGATGTCCCCTATACACGGCTAACCCTGTCGCTCCAGCCATCGCTTCCTGAGCCAGTGGAACGTAAATCCTACCAACCAGATCACGGCAAGCACAGCCGCCTGCAAAGGGGCAAATATCGCGCCTCGTATAACCACAAATCCGCTGACCAGAGCAAACACCACGGGGATAATCACAAGAGGTTTATACGGTCGGTGAAGACTTGGCTCCCGAACTCGTAAGACAAGAGCCCCAACCATTGTCAGAAAGAAGAACGTATACTCAGCCAAGCCATTCAAAGTCATCAGCGGCCGGAAATTCCCAAACGCAATGTACACGATTGTACATGTAGTGGAAAAGATGATCGCATTAACCGGTGCATCTGACGAAGCCGGCAATGGCCCGGACGCGGACGAAGGGCTTGAGTCCCGGTTTTCGTGGGATTGCAGCCCGATGCCTCCAACACTCGCAAGGGATTTCGGTAGCCAGTGGGAATTCGCGGCTGCGACTACCATACGGCTGGCAACAAAGGAGCTTCCCAGTAAGGAGCCGGCCATCACTAGGCAAATGAGACCAGCCATTGCAATGCCCACTTGGGGCCCGAAAAGGTGAGTGAATGACGTCTGAGGGAGCATTAGCATGACAATTTCTCCCTTTATCGTCCATTTTTTTTTCCCCCTCTGCTAGCCAAGGGACTGCATACCACTGCCACACTATCCGTCATGGAAATGGCGTTCCATGGAAGCATAATATAATACGCGGCGTTCACCGCGACAAAGCTGACAATAATGATAGGAAGTGCGGCATTGATAGCACGCGGAAGTTGAGAAGCCGGCGCGGAAAGCTCAGCGCTAATATAAATTGCCTTGATATATGTGTGATCAATACTATATCCGCATTGCGCAGATCGGCTTGAACCTCCTAGGCCAGAGTTGACGGATACATACCTTGTCCCATCCAGAGTAAGCCCACAGTGCACCGTAGAGAGCCGTAGAAAAATGGCCTAGCATCTCCCAGCCATCCACCTTGCTCCAGTCAAGCTCGGTTCCATCTGGCCTGACAAGATTTCTCGAGTGGAACCAAGGTCTTGTCAACCAGTCCTGTGGCTGTGGATCTGGATTTCCGGGTTGGCCAGAAATGTGAGCCAGGACGACAATGATGCCCGCCGCCACAATTAGGCAGATTGCTATAAACTTGGTGGTGACAAAGGCCGTGTTGAGCCGGGTACTAAACTGTGTACTGATCGAATTCGCCATACCAACGACGAGCAGGACAGAAATTGCGAGGAACTTATGTGCCACTCCTCCGGATTGGTCCGTGATACCAGCTGCAGAGTAGATGCTCTCGACAAACGCTATGCTTAGAATTGCCAGGGAGGCCGGAACGACTGCAATGATCCAAGTCCAAGCTGCGAGAAACCCAAAAACCTCTCCAAAAATGTACTGAAGATAGGGCTGGACACCTCCTGGATAGTGCGCGTGCCAACTTTCTTTAGTACATTTGACGCACATATATATAGGCATGTCATGCCATGGGACAGACTGACCTTCTCCAGGAATCGCGGTCCCGAGCTCTGCCATTGTCGCGGCCCCCGTCCAGGCCAGTATCCCTCCCACTAGCCAGACGACAAGCGCAGCCCCTGGTGATGGGACATTGGCATCAATTGATCCTGGGGAGGTGAAAATGCCGCTCCCGATCACGATGCTGATTATGATCCCGAATGCCTCTACTGTGCCCAGATTGGCGTTAAATGAGGCACCTCCTTGTGCAGTCGGCACCAACGAACCTTCGCCCAAGGTGCCATACTCTGATCTTTCGTGGTCGCGAAGAAGGGGGGAATCATCGTCGGCCACCATTCCGACGAAGTAAGAAGAATATGTGATGTTGATTCACAGCCTTGCAAAGCATACTGAGGGGCAGAGGGGGAGATGCAAAATCGTTATCTGATCATAAAAACGGAACATTACGGAAATCACAATTCCCCACAGTGGGAAGATATTTGGCATAATGGAGTTAGTCAATATGCCCTCGGTTGGCTCTCAGCAAGTAGGATTGCGACGATGAGGGTACGTACTATATATACACCAATTAATTGAGTGGCCCGAAGCCTTCCCCGGGTACATAGAGTTAACTAGCGCATAAATGGATGAATCAATCTAAAAAAATATACCAAAAAGAAAAGAAAAGAAAAGAAAAGGATCCAGCGTAGTGTTACTGGAGGCTAGAAGAGAAATTTATGTCTATATAGAGAGAGTGTGTGCTATATCTACCGTAAAAGCCCAATTTACTCGCCCATGATCAACCAAGCAATCATACCTGCCCAACTGAAAGCAAAAACAATCGTCAGAATCGCAGCCCCTGCTTTGTCACCAGTTGTAATGGTCCTGAGGGTCGTTTTAGTCTCAGATTTGTCTTTTGTGCCAGACGAGGGATCACTGGTACTGTTACCACCGGTGGTGGCTGTCACTGGGGCCTCAGCGCCATCCTCCATGATCAGGACCGATGACAGGACGTCAGTAGCGATGATCTGTTCCTCCATTCCAACCTCCCCATCCCATTTTGACTGATACCAACGGACACCACAGGTGTTGTTACTCATTCCACTGCAGGATTTGGCGGCCGCCTCGGCAGAAGCTTTTAGTTTCGGTAGGATGCTATCATACGTTGAAGGGACCAACAGCGCGGTAAACCCCAACCATCCAGTGGTGAGGCCACGGAACAGAATTTCATTATCGTTACAGCTTTCGTCGGGTTCACAAAGCTCTCGGATGATGTTGCCTCCATATTTCTCGGGGAAGAATCCGTCGAACAATGCGTTAAGGAGTCCATCCACAGCGGTTTTCCACCGGGCCTTCTCGGTCTATCAAGACAGGATCTTTAGTTAGGTATTCCGGAACCAACAGAAAAGCAGCAGGGTAGTTGGCATTGGTGCCATAGGCGCGGAACATACATAGTTATACATGTATGCAGCCCCCATTATAAAGGCACCATAATTATACGTCCACTGCGTATTGCCCTTGGTGGTACAGTCGTTTTCAATATTGGTTGAATCGGCCACATTCCACGTCTCGTTATTCACCAACGGGGATGAGACACACCAGTCCCAGACTTTCTCAGCCCACTTGGCATACGTCGCGTTGTTCGTATATCGTGCCAGCCGTGCTGATAATTGGAACAGACCCGCATTCGAAATCGAATTCTTCATTGTATATCCCGCCTCATAGTTATAAATTTGCCATCGCAAGCCCCCTCCACATGTCGAGGTATCCCATCGCGCAGCCTGGGTATTAAAGACGCCCTGCGCAAGTGATAACCACGAATATCCATCACTCACATCCGGCAGTTTGATCTCCGCCGCGGTCATGGCGGCAAGGCCCCAGAAAACTTGGTCGTCGTTGCCCTAGAGAACAATGAGTGCCGCTGGCGCGCGCGAATATAAAAGCTAGGGCAGCGTACAATCCAACTACTATAGTTACTAGGCATGTAGTCACCGTCTCCAGCTTGCCACTGCATCCCCTGTTTGACCTGCGGATTGTACGTGTCATCTCCAGTGTAGTGCCAGTAGAGTAGGAGACTGGTGAAAAGAGCAGCACCTTCCCACCATTTATCTGGGAAGGCCCCTGGGATCCCACCGGTATCATTACCGGTATACCAAGTCATAGATCCATAGGCACTGAGGCTAGCGGCTTGCTTTATAGATTCTGTATTTGTCCAGTGTTATCATTGTCAATCCACCCGGAAATACCTCTCTCTCTGTATATCATCGAGGGTAAAATCGTACCTGTATCGTTGATGTTGATATCAATGGCACCGACCGTTTTAATTAGGGCCAGAAGCGCAAGCGCCCCTCGTAAGTTGAGCGGATGGAGCATGCTTGTCAACTAAATTCTTTGCAGACCAGCCGTAGGAAAGCCATGTCGAGTAGAATATGAGTCTGCACGCGAGCGAGGATAAGGATATCTTGAAAAGAAAGCAGAGACTATCCGGGACTAATTTGATTCGCCGCTGCAGGTGGAGAAGTAAACGTCAGCGTCCGCTCAAAAGCATCGTCAGCTTCCATCTTGTTACTATATACAAACTCCTTAGCGCCTTTCTTAACCTCCTGGGCCGAGGAAAGCCTGGTGTGAGAAATGGTTCTGGCGACATTTTTGGATTGAGACAGCTGGACGACAAACCCTTCATAGGGCTAGTCAAGAAAAGGGGTAAATGCGGTTCTGACTTGGTTTAAAAAAAAACCATTAATATGCTGGTAAAGTCAATCGCAATCATAACCAAGCCCAGATCCGAGAGATAGATCAAGTGGGTATAGTTAGTGAAGCTTTCACTGAAGCTTTGCCGGGAATGCCATGAGATTACATTTTTTTTCTTCGCTGGGACATGAATTTGGCGGACGAGGCGAATGATGGCCGCGTGGATATTGTGAGCATCGGGTACTAAACCAGATGCAGATGGATTACGCACGCTTAAGATTATAGTTAACTGTCTGGTATCTTATTCTCTTGCATGATTGAATGAGGCGTGGAACTGTAAATAATACTATACATTAATATTTCCGGAGATATAAAATGGCCTCCGCAGAGCAGCCTTAAACTACACCAGGAATCTTTGCTCGAAGGATCTTGCAACGATCTAAAGGAAAACAGGCTTTTACCTCTCAAATAGTAGTCCAGACTAGGATTGGAATATAACTGGAAGCTGGTGCAAACCATCTCCGCGCAGTAAAAAAGGAAGGTAGATGGATGTCATATTATATTCCTTGGTCTACGCAAGATGTTATATTCGTCTATAGAGACAGTAGTATAGCTGAGTCCATAATATATCATGCTTTACATGGAGCTTGAGAATACAGGTGTGTATTATCTCGCCACCAGATCTCACTATTCCTATAGTTTAAGAAACCTATCTCACTGTACGTTATTGGGGAAGTTGGTCTTCATCTAGTCAGAAGAGTCATAACGGCAACAGCTGTTTACCTGTTATTAGTTGGTAGATTAACGGGTGCCTCGTTATATATACTAAGAAGGGTGTCTTCCTGCTGAGATTATGCTACGCAGCTTGACCACATTTCCCTGAGTATGAAGCTATCGAATCACGACTTCAACGCTAAGTTATACAAGCATTCTCGTACGCACGCGAGGTGAAGTTGCTTATCAACCCCTTCAGGCCCTAGAATAACTACCATTGGCTCTCTGGACTTGCAACAGCAACGCTAGTCTGATTAAAACGTCGTATACATACATATTGCAGATCTAGGGCCCGTAAACCCCGCACAGAGAGTCCAATATCATCCGATTCAGGGACAACCCGACGCCAGTGGGTGTAACCTCATGATATCCGGGATGTTCCCCATCCTCTACAGAGATATGGACATGCCGTTTATTGGTGGACTACTGCATCACTATTTATTGTTTGAGGTATGGCTTTTCCCACCAGCTCCAGTGTTAAAGATACCACAATATGCGGGCAAATGCTTATGCCTAATGGTGATAACACATGCCCCATCCGCCTCGCTTTCATTCGCCCAACCGGGCTTATTGTTGCATTATTCCATGATTCCCCCCTAAGCGCTTTTTCCAGGGGTCTATCTTGTATCCTCTCAAGACTGTGCCGGCGACAGGGGAGGAAAAGCGTGGAGCTCACTGACCCTAGCTATATAATCCACCCGCGCGCCTCTTGTCGAGAGGGAAGTTGTTGGATCATGGCCTGAGTTGCCGTTCTTGGACTTTCGCGTGTTTTCTCATTATGCGATTGAATCACCTATTTTCGGCAGCTGCCTTAGCTGTGGCCTTCTGCGCCGAAAACGCTTCAGCTGCGAAACATGGACGTTTTGGCCAGAAGGCCCGAGACTCGTTGAATTTGGCCAAGCGCTCTTCACAGTCGTCCTCTTTTACGCCCGAGAAGCGGACGAAGGAGCATTTCCGTTTCCTCGACAAGAAAACTACTCGTATGCGATGACACCCTCTTCTTACCGGCGGCAGCTCTCGGCTAACAAATGATCTTTTCCACTCCAATAGCTTATCTGGTAGAGAGTCTCCCCGATGTCTCCTTTGATGTTGGCGAGATGTACTCGGGATTGGTTCCAATTGAGAAGGGTAACGACAGCCGCGCTCTTTTCTTCGTGTTTCAGCCCAAGCTCGGAGAGCCCGTTGATGAGCTTACGATCTGGCTCAACGGCGGACCTGGTTGTAGCTCTCTGGAGGGCTTTTTCCAGGAAAACGGGAGGTTCGTTTGGCAGCCAGGAACATATGCCCCTGTCGAGAACGCATACTCCTGGGTCAACCTTACCAACATGTTATGGTACTGTTCGCTCCCTCCCCATCGATCGTTCCACAAAGAAAAAAAAATAAAATAAAACTGACCAGCGTAGGGTTGAACAACCGGTGGGCACTGGGTTCTCCGTCGGTACGCCGACTGCGGTGTCGCAGGAGGATATTGCGGAAGACTTTCTGAAGTTTTTCAAGAACTTCCAGGAAACGTTTGGAATTGAACGTTTCAAGATTTTCGTTACTGGAGAAAGCTATGCAGGACGCTACGTCCCCTACATTTCTGCTGCTATGTTGGACAAGAAAGATAAGAAACACTACGATCTGTCCGGTAAGTTCTGTTTCCGCCATAAACACAGGGAGAGAGAGAATCCTTCCAAATCTAACAACTCCCCGGATAGGTGCCATGGTGTATGATCCATGCATTGGACAGTTCGATTATGTGCAACAGGAAGCGCCAGCCGTGCCCTATGTGCTAGAACATGCTGCCTTTTTCAACTTCAACGCCAGCTTTTTGGAGGAGCTCGAGAGTCTTCACGAGTCGTGTGGCTACAAGGATTATCTGGAGGAGTACCTGGTTTTCCCACCTTCCGGCGTGCAGCCGCCCAAGTCCTTCAATTACACCAGCGAGGCCAACTGCGATGTTTTCGATCTGATCGACAATGAAGCGATGAGAATCAACAGTTGCTTCGACATCTATGAGATCAGCTTACAGTGCCCGCTGGCTTGGGATGTCCTTGCGTTCCCCACGGAGCTGGTCTACCAGCCCGAGGGAGCGACTGTTTATTTCGACCGGGCAGACGTCAAGCGTGCCATGCATGCTCCTCAAAATGTCACCTGGGCCTCGTGCTCCGTAGAAAGCGTGTTTGTCGGTGGCAGCGGGGGTCCCGAGCAAGAGGGTGACTTCTCACCGAACCCGATTGAAAAGGTACTTCCCCAGGTGATTGAGGCGACCAACCGCGTCCTGATCAGCAATGGCGATTATGATATGGTTATCATCACCAATGGGACTCTGTTATCCATCCAGAATATGACATGGAACGGAGATCTTGGATTTCAGACGGCGCCCACGAAACCGATCCACATCACCCTGCCAGATCTCCAATACGCCGCAGTTCTAGAGGAGAACGGTTTCACCTGGGACCAGGGGCAGGGAGTGATGGGAGTGCAGCACTTTGAGCGTGGATTGATGTGGGCCGAAACATTCCAGAGCGGACACATGCAGCCGCAATTCCAGCCCAGAGTGACCTACCGTTATCTCGAATGGTTGTTGGGTCGGACTGACGCATTGTAAGATGAAGTTAACAGGGACGTCACTGTATAGAATTATGAGGCTTAGATTCAGCTCAGATAGGATATAGAACTAGAGATAGAGATCTATATTACATAGAGCACTTCAGTAAGTTGATTACTGGAGCAATATTCCAATGTTGAAGGCCTCTGAATCAAAAGAATATGTGCACTCGACTGTACTGTCCCGTCGATGGTTTAAGCAAATCCCCAGGCATTGTTGATGTTTTCCACAGCACTTTCGGAAAGCGTGCAGGCAGCATATGCCGGCCGTTTGTAGCAGTGATATCCACCATTGCCCTTGTAGGAGATGCAGACAGTGTTTATCCTGATATTAGGCTGCCAAATGATCAGACCATTGCTGGTGATCACAGCGCCCTTGATAGTGTCTGATTCCCACGTCCAGCTACTACTCGCCAGATTTCCATGGGGGAAATACCTGAAGTTTGAGTCGGCGGCATAATTAGGGGTGCCAACAGCTTCGCAGGCCTGGTAGCCCGAGCGGTCGTTAAAATAGTTGCAGGTGTTCTTGGAGCTGATTTCCCAGTCATTGCAGATGTCGTGGCAATTTTGACCAATGCAGCGAGGCTGAGAACTCCAGGTCGTGATGATTTCGCCAGTAGATCCAGGGATTTTATGTGTGGTCTTGAAACCGTCGCGGTTAGTGATTATCAGGGAGATATAAGGACAGCCAGCCATTCTAATGCTTTACCTCACAGCAGCAGCAGAGAGCATTGTCACTGCAACGATCAGAGCAGGTATTGGCCATAGCAAGGCCGGCAAAGAGCCAAAATAGAGTGACCACTTCGAATTTCATCTGTACCGACATTGCGCTTAGCTATGATTAAAGATTGTGGGGGTAACTCGTTCAGTACCTGGACCGGATATTTGTGTGAATGGACTGAGTTTATAGAGAAAAGATTCCAGGAGTTTTGCACGAGGATGAAAAGCTGGGATGATTGATTCTGAAGACCACAGCAGGGGGCAATGCCTTCTTTTTATATCATTCCTAGTCCGCTAATATCTCTACAGTGGTACGCTTGATAGCGAGTACGATCCCCCGAGTACGAGAAACACTATATACAGAGGTTCCCGAAACAACGTCGTCATACCTCGACCGGTGTGCTTTAGGTGCGCTTTAGACCAGCATGTGGATTTTTCGATATCTGCTAACGAATGTAACTGTTATATAAACCTGTAGATCCTGACGCCCACGGTTTCTCGCCATCCTGGAAGCGCAGTTCATCGTTGAAACAAGGCTGGTGGCTTAAAGCTTACCCTGGGACTGATGTCTTACCCTAATATCCATTCCATTATCATCATGGCTTAATGAATCCCAGGAGGTTCTTGAAGCCCCTTTTCCTATCCTTGGACAATGCCAGAGAGAGTTTAAGGAATGTCTACCTACGGCTGGACGTATTCCAGTTCATTTGAATTTTAGTTTCAGTCTATACCTTCGCATTCGGTTCATGGTACGACCAAGTGGGCCACGACGGCTTTGGGGCCAATTTGCGTCAGTAAAAGAGCTTATGACTCGGATCTGCATGGTTCCCGAGACATGACCAATTGGGCATTGAGATAAATGAAGGCTCGTGGATGCGTTCCAGGTAAATATGGGTATAACCCAGTACCTATAACTATCTGCATCTTCGTGCTGAACGTCCCAGTCACCCCGTCCCGCATACTTGAATGTGTCCCCTGCGACTTGTGTCTTTACATGTTGTGGAGGTAATATGCACTGCAAGCTCCACAGGTTTTATTGATAAAAATTCATATCTACTTCACAAGAGTCGATTCCACGTGCTGAAGGAAGACAAACATATCTGTTGTATGAATTTTGCAGCTGGTTAGCTTCCTGAGCCAAATATAGATTCACCGGGAAGAATCACTATTTCGATCCAATAAAGCATAGCCATGATGAACCCATATTTTCCTGGTAGAAAGGCAGTTAGAGCCGGTTAATCCAGTGGTAATCACTCATGCTAGGCGGCAAATCTTCGATTTTTGTCCCCCAATCACTCTCTGTAGAGCCCAGCTCCAGTTCCAGAGTTCCGCCATTAGTGAAGAACTCATGGGTGATCCAGTTTTTGGTCCACGGTTTGCCATCGCGTGAAGCACGTTGGATATATATCGATCTATAGCTCGGGTCAAAATTAATGTTGCGAATCATAGCCACTTTGCCTGTGATATTGTTTCGAATGCTGACTTCCTTGAAAAACGGTGGGTTAATCAGGTACACGTCCTGCCCGTGCACAGGAAAGAGACCTATCATGCTGAGAACGGCAAATGACCCCATTGCTCCACTGTCATCATTGCCAGGAATACCTCGGACTGACGCATTGAACTGTGATGGGATATATGAATGCGCGCGTTTAGTAGAAATACCAGGTCGGCCCGCGTAGTGAAATTGAAATACCGTCAGAAAAGCCTGTTCATCACCAACGTAGAGTAGACCCGAGTCATGCAGAAATGATAGTCGTGAGACAAATTGATCAGGTCCGCCGAGCGTAGTGATAAGAGACGCCATATCATGCGGTACAAAGCTACAATCGCCCCATTTAGCTTGGGGGCTTCTTCAAAAGCAAAAGGGCCATAGGAACGCACAACGTATATAGCCAGCAGCTTCCTTCATATGTCTCGTGTCCATCTGCATTCAAGTAGCAAGACGTAAAGTCTAAAAGCGGGCTACAAAATATGGGGTCTTGGTAGGACCAGGTGCCGTCGGCATTGCGAGGCTGCAGAAACCCGGTGAAGTTTGTAGACACACCGTTAATAGCTGATGTTTGATTCGCTTTGAACACATTCCGCCAGTTATTAGAGCGTTGGCGATATTTATCACGATCGGTATCATGACCCATCCGGTCAGCCATCTGGGCAATGCAGAAATCGTTATATGCGTATTCCACTGTTCTGGAGACACTCCGGGTACGAAGCCCCTCTGTACCTGGGTCCGCATCATTCTTTGGAATGTACCCGAGGGTCTTCCAGCTCTGCAGGCCACCACGGCCTTCAACGTTCCAGTTTTCCGGTTCAACTTCTGCATCCTTCACAATAGCCTTATATGCTGTGTCCCAATCAACATCGGTAATACCCTTCAAGAATGCTTCAGAGATCAACACGTCCGCATTTGATCCACCTTGAGTATATCCTTTGCAGAGGGACATTCGGCAGTCAGGTAGGTATCCCTCGTGGCGGTATATGTCCACCAGACTTCGCAGCATTCGGGACTGGGAGAGTGGGTCGACCAGGGTTAAAAATTGATGGATACCGCGGAAAGAATCCCAAATACTGTGAAATATTGTGAGTTTCTTAATATGTAGGAATCGGCCAATGAGTATATCTCACCAATAATAACTATCATAATACGGTTCATCACTCTCCCAAAGCGGGTTCTCGCCTGTATAGTCCTGGGGACTAATCATTGCACGGTAGGCCCCACTCCAGAAAATTGTCTGAAGTTCGGATGACACACCCTGCGCGTCAACTTTTACAACCTCCATCTTCTCCCTCCACGCAGACTCGGCAGCCATTACTGTTGCGTCGAAGTCAAAGTCGGGTTGCTCTTGCTCCACATTGGAGCACGCTTGTTCAACGCTAACAAAGCTCACGCCAACCCTTGCTAGAATGCCATCATCTTGAGTTGGGGGGTGGAACCTCGTGAATGTCCCAGCAGAGAAGCTAGTCGCGGGATGTGTCGAGTCCGTTGTTACCGAAACATTTGTCTGACCTAGCGTTGCTCGATTATCCTTCCATGATCCTGTATCTCGCACACTGGCGCCTTTAAAGTCGGCACAAAAGTAAACGTTGTATGTACCGATGCCGAAACTCGGGTTGAAATTTCCACTTCCTGTCAATCGGCCTGTGGATGGATCTACCGAAGCCGTGCCTCGATTCCGTGATAGAGGTAGGTCTATAATATCGACCAGTATGACAGGGTCGAGCGATTGCAAATTAGCTTCGGAAAAGGTGAACCGATACAAGGCGGAATGGTTCGTCACTGTCATCTCAGCACGAACACCATTCTCTAGTGAGATACCGAAATAACCCGGGCGAGCCTTCGCGGAACCTTGTTTCCAAGCCACAGCTCTATCTGATGACCTCCAGCTACATCCAGTAAGATTGCTCCCTGGACAACTAGGGTGGACGAATATGGGGAAGTTTCCCATCGAGGGTGACTACACCACTAGTGTTAAGAACCATACTCTATATATGGCGCACAGGATATTACTTACACCTCCAGTACCAGAGTCATGTGTGTGTGAAAAGCCGGTTACCGTTACCGTGTCAAACGCAAATCCACCTTGATTTTCGCCCTGGGTGTCCGCAACCGCTTTGGCCATGCCTTGGTCGAGGTTAGAAAACATGACTATTCCTAGGACCTGGGAATGCGTACCAAATGGCAACGTTGCTCCAGCAAATGAATGTCCTAATTTCTCAATTGAGAACTCCAGCCCCTATGCTCTTTGTTAAGCAAAGATTTTCGCATACCTCCATTCGCTGTCCCGATAAACGGGTCGATGTAATCAAGAACATCAAAATCTGCTTGCCCACACTCTTGTCCTTGTGTAAAATTACTAATTAGAAGCAGGATAGTACCTATCCGTTGCAGCGATGTTGACGAAATAAGCTGCATTGTTGCTCAGGCGAGGGGGCCCAGGGAGTATCAGCAAATTTTGCTATGATGAAAGTTCCGCATAAGCGGCCACCCACAAGGTCTTAAAGGAAAGATGGAGAAGGCGGCAATACTGGGCTGTGGCTCAAAATAGGTCCTTCGACATAATTTCGCAGGGTAAAAAGAGAATAGAGGAGCATTCCATGCACAACTGTTGCAAAAGCAACAAGGAATGACCCTTGCTAACTCTATACTGAGAGGGCTTCCAATCTCCTCCCTGCAGTTGCATTCAAGGAAATGAACAGTTGAGGGGGATCGACAGAAGGATAGTCTGTGGTGACCTGGAGAAAGTGCAACCCCTGACATGCTAGTATGTGCATTGGTAAACAAGGGGAATTGCCAAAAACAGTAAGGGTGCGGTGCAATATTCAATGCTATCAAGCCACAAAGAGGGGTATTTCTTCAACAGTGTACGGAGTAAAAAAGAATCAATGTCCAACATGTGTCTGCCTTCCTAGCTCATGCCTGATGGGTGCTTCCGCTATTCTTTTTGGCACGAAATTAACATGAACATTATAAGAGAGTCACTGACTCTCTTATGAACCTCGAAATGTTTCATGGTTTGTCCGATTAGTTCAATTCAAGGGGCTTTGGATATAGTGGCGCATAACGATCCCGTTGGTCAGCCCCCCAGGCATTTAGGCGCGGGTTTAAGTCGATCTTGTGCCCACAGTACATACTCCGTACCTTGCCATGCTACTAGTGGGGTCCAAGCGCTGGAACGGTGTGAAATTCCCGACCGTGGATATTGATAACTCAAGAGATGGAAACCCAGATCATATACCAACATGTCCAGTGTGCAGACAAATCGGAGTTTGCAGAATCAGATATTCAAAACAAGCTGATAGCTTTAAGCTCGAGGGTTTGGTCTTTCAAATCAAATCCATCACGATCCTATCCCACGACCTCCCACCGGTGTCTGGGAACGGCCTTTGGACAGTAGATGATATATCCGTTGAAGAATTAACAATCGGCTTTCCGGAGGATAAATTAGAGTCAAAGTACGCTTTGATGTTGGCATTGTCCCTGCGCAAATGTTCATTCTCGGCCCTCAAGCTTTGGATTTGTTGCCGCTGAGATTCAAGGTCTGCAAGCATGGAGCCTAATTTCAATAGTAGGCCCATTGGGGGTTCTTTAGAATCGATGTGATCATCAAATTCTCCCATAAATTGTCTCGCGCGGGGTATAAGGTCAAGCGATGTCATATCCGGGCCGGGACAAGTTCTATGCTTGCGCTCCATAACTGGGGACCCAATGGTCGGGCTTGCCATACCCTGTGGGGTCGTGCTCTGAATCATAACACTAGTACTCGGTGTTATTGAGCTCGAACGACTGCTCACTCTAGCCGGTACAAGTACACTAGGTGTGCTTGCCCGTGAAACATTGGAGGAGGCAGTCGATCCAAATTTCGGTGGTGAGAGGTCCCATCGCTTGGCTTTACACGCCGGACAATAAAACTGCTGTGCCATTACAGCCGTATCTGGCGGTGGCAGGCACGATGTGTGGTAAGATCTACAGCAGGCCTCGCAGGGCATCAGATCATCAGGGGTGCGACACACTGAGCAAACCAGATTATGAGGTTTTCCCGATGCTGGGAAAAATATTAGTTCGAATGTGGGAGAGAAGGAGTAATTAGATAGTTAGCTGTCAGTTACTTACCAATCCATTCATTATAAATTTGGTTCTTTTCCGTGTCTGAGAGATCGAAGGAGCCATTGTATGTTCTTGCAGGGGACGGTAAACCCTGGCTGAATAATCCAATCGAGGTACGTTCACGCGAGCTGCTGTGGGAGACTCTGGCCCCAGGTAGCAAGGAATGGTCTTGGGGAGGCCGCAGCATGCTTTAGAGTGATATTATATGGCCTTTTATGACGGAGGAAGAAGTGAGAGCGCAGCCCTGGGATGATTCTTATTCTCAATGTCTGGGCTCTCTCACAGAGTTGGAGAAAGGAAATATTACCAAATTGGGAAGTCCATCGGAACAGCTATTTCCCGAGATAAGAAAACCGGAAAATTGAGTTCCGAGATTCCTCCGACCGATTTCCGGCTATTTTTCTGACTCGATCGACCGCCAAGAAAAAGCCCCTACCAAACCTTGTGCGCCGTTTTTCATGCTAGCTTCCACAACTAAAATATATGACTTTCTCTTGTCAATCCCTGAGCGCCCGAATGGCCTCACAGCTTCATGTTCTCTACTGTTTACCCTTGAGATGATGGTTTCTCTTCATGACCAGCGTCGAGGTCAGAATTTCCCCCGCAATCTGAAGCCCCACCCAAGTGGAAACGATGCCCGGGGTACCCTCCAACAAGGCATGCGAGCGGTGCAAAAAGAGGCATCTCAAGGTTCGTGGCATTGATTGATTTAACCTGATGCAATGTCCTGTTCTAAAATTTCTAGTGTGATGAAACACGTCCTCAATGCCAGCGTTGCACGACTGCTGGGGTCGAGTGCCCAGGGTATGTGCAGACGCGCAAATTCATTGACCAAGGTGCCTCAGTAAGGCGTCGATATGCTCCTTATCCGAAAGCCATGTCAAATCCCGGGACCTCTAAGAACACCGAAACTGTATGTTATTCCCTTGTTCCCTGTCGAGGTCAACATTTACTGACAATCGTGCAGGTAACTAGGGATCAAACACCCAGGTTAGAGCAAAATGCAGAAAAGCAACCGGCCAATCAAGGCCAGTCTGGTCTTGAGCTGGCCAAATTATCTACCCATCTTCAAGGCCAATCGGGTTTCCAATCTACGTTGCAAACACCAAGCCAAATCTCCCCAGACACGCCCTTGCATCCCGACCTCCCAGGTCACATGACCAATGAACCGGGAACTACGAGAGTACTGAGCTTCGGTCCATCAGGCAGTGGCTCAAGCAGTGGTCCTCCTCAGAATTCATTGACCCCAAATAGTGCTAGTATTGATCCATCAACTAGCAATGTATTCCAAGAGTATAGACAACAACAACAACCGTCGCCTAACGCGATGCTACCGCCGTCAACAAGTCCGTCGCAGCGTAGCGATAAAGAAGAGTTTCAGGATATTTTTTCAGAACTTATGACAGGCACTGAGCATGAAATCTCTTTTCTAATACGACATTTCTCTGAAGTTCTGGCTGACTGGTATGCAACACCTGAAATACGTTGTGAATTGCTCAACTCGCTCATGCAGATACAGGTTGGATCTTTCTGATACAGGGAAGTTCTTCCAAGCTTACGTCCCAATACGGGCGCTTGATGAACCTTTTCTTAAATTTTCAATCGCTGCCCTTTCTGCAAAGCATTTGGGCAGGATGAAAGGAGTCAAGTTCGCATCCGCCAGCGGAATGTTTACCAGCCCTGCAGCGACTGAAACATATCCAAACGCATTACAAACTGACTGGTTCTTGAAAGCTGCCAACTATTATTATCTTGCGGCATCCCGCATGAATTCATCCATATCTGATACCTATGGCTCTGTATCTACCTCGGTTCTGCTCGAGTCATCAACTGAGATTGCCAGTCGATGGCTAGATCTTCATCTCAAGAAACCTGAGACGGCTCGCCAGGAAGGCCCGGCTGGCGATAATTTTTGGAAGAAAATAGAAAATCTCCTCGCAGCTTCGTCAATTCTTACATTATACAAAATTCTTGATGAGCCTGGAGAAAGTTGGCAAACGTTCGTCGTCCCTACGTCATTGAAGACATGACTCGAAGCTGACAATACGGCAGACAACTTACAGGTGTTGGAAAGCTGTTTGATAAGTTAATAGAATTAATCGGACATGCCTCTGTGAACACTCCCGTATTCTCACACGGCATCACCGCGGCATTTTGGAACTTTGCGAGGCTGGATTATTATACTTCGTACTTCAACCGTCTCCCCACCCTCTTTGATGCGGAGAACATCGTTCTCTGGAGGGCAGCAGGCATTCCACTTGATGACCAAGGAAACCTTTCCACACCTACTGAGGCAGTGCCCCACAAAATGGCCTTCTTTCCCGAGGACTTGGCAGGAAATATCATGACCTGGCTTTTGAATAAAGTCACCAACTTCCTGGTCGCCTCTAAAAGATCCCAGCTAGAGCATTGGGTCGGGCAGTCGTCTAGTGAATCAACTAGTCCCGGTAGCTCAAATGCTCCGTCTCCCCATCCATATCCCAACACGGCTACCTGGTTAAAACTCTCGTTCGAGTTTCAGTCTTGGATTGAACGTATTCCCGAGACCTTCCGCCCATCCTTGCGCCTCGAGCAACCCAAAAATCCGACGAAGTCACCAGAGGGCGGTCACGTGCCGTTCCCAGAAACATTCTATGGCCTGACGTGCTGTGCCACGACCATGCAGCAGTATCATTTCGGTCGTCTCGCGTTGTCTCTCAACCGGCCCTCTGACGAAGTGGCAGGTCCCAGTACCGCTTTTGACCGGCTTCAGGGCTATCGAGAATTAACGAAGGAAGTTGACCATCGCTGTCGAGAAATCTGCGGGATCGCACTTGGTCGACCGCATGGGGCGGCGCGTATACACATGATCACCTTACTTTTCGCGGTAGGGCAGTGTCTGGAAAAGCAACAAGAGCGACAAATTATTTTGGACTTACTGCGTGGAATCGAAGCAGATCTAGGATGGGTGACATCTTTCCATATACAAAAACTACAGAAAATATGGGAAGATCGGACGTGAAATCGAGGTCATCTATGTTTTTTGACTTGTGGCTCATAGCTGCCACCGCTTGCCTATAATTTTAATTACATCCGATCAAGCTACAGCGCTTGTTCGCATAATATCCTCAGTTTGCACCCATCTCAGACTAAATCAGATCTAGAAGAGTGGCGTGACCATGATAATTCCGAAATACCCTAATTAATCACCGCGGCGAGCCTCCTCCAATTTCCTTCCTTATTGAAGGCTTACAAGATTTCTACTGGTGATCGCATCTGATCTCACAAGATCTACAGCATCAATGTATATATATATTTCTATCTGTTTTATCATAAACCCCTGGCCAGGAGCGCAGGTATCACCATCTTTCTCTCTCTCTGTCTCTCTATATAATTACAACTCCCGATCTTCGTCACAATCACACAATTAACTAGTTAAAAGCAACCCCCTGGCTTCAAAGTTAATCATTTCTACGCTACCAAGGGGGATAAGTGCGTCCTGCCAACCAATGATTTTATCATAGGCACCTGGTACGCAACGCACTCGAGCCTCCCACTGTGGAAGGACAAACGCAAAATTAAGATCACCTACACGATACTCCCTCGGCCGAGGTGACCAGCCAGAATCGATGATCTTGCAAGCTACTAAGCTATCGGGTCCGGGAAAATTTACCATTGTTCAAACTTCATGGTGTGATGGTGTGGATACCCCGTCCCCTAGGTATCAAGGTGCATAGAATTGGGGGCTCGCGCTGGGAGGGACTTGGGGTTGGGCCATATGAATCAGAATCATAACTGGTGGACCGTTACATACTTTGCTAAAACCCGGTCATAGGTATACACAACTTAAAGAAGAACAGGTAGACTCGCCACTCCTATCAGTAGCACGTGCATCGTGTATCCAACCGCAAAAGGCATCAGGAAATGATAACTTGGAAAATCAAGGGAATGACACGATGAGTCAATATAGTCAAGATGATTTACCCAATCACCAAACCTACCTGATAATCCACCCCACACACTTGGGCGAAGATTGAGACAATGTTACTATCCTGCAAAAGGCTGAAACCTTGTTGTGTGAGATTTGACGGCTGATTCAAGAAAGATGTCAAAGCCCGGTCTAGGCTTTCATGTCTCCATTCCGCGGTCGCATGGAGTTCCCTAACGAGACAAAATTGCCTCCTGCTCCTCCAATGTTTGCAGCTAATAGAAAGCCTTGCCAGTGGAGACGGACGGTGTGGACAAAGTGGAGTCCTGGATATACCTTCTTCTTGACCATTACTACGCCGTAGTCAATGGCGACAACTATGATGGCAAAAGTAAGGGAAGACTCATCCTCCTCGTACCCCAACCATCCGACAGACGACCTTCGTAATACGAAGTGCTATAGAGCTACAGAACTGAAGCAACATGTGGAAATGGAATGACCCTCAGCTAGAGACCTGGCCCATTGGCCCTGGAACCCATATTTCCGCAACGGATGGAGTTGTTTGATGGTAATCTCGCAGCGGTGGTGCAATTCACAGGCGTTGTGGTCCTGGGATTCAGTGATTTCCTCTGGTATGGTGCTCCATTAACACCCGTTGGCAGATCGTTGCTCACAAAGCCATGGATGCGCATACAACACTCTTTACTCTACGTTCTACTTCGGCTCTTCGGATGGCTGGGGCTATCATTGCGAACATGTAGGCTGGCCCAAGATTTTCTTCTTCCCGGAGACAAAATGGCACCGGCATCATCGCCATCCTTCCGATGTAACACACGACGAAGAGCAATCAAAGACCTCCGGTACACGGTCCGATCAGGAGAAGCCCATCGAGGCTACACTTTACGAAAACGTAGCCGCAGAGAGAGGTGATAATTCGACTTCGTGGGTAGGCAATGGAAAATGCTACCTGGTTGGAATAGATCTGGTCAGATATATATATACAGATTGTTGACACAGAATCGGAGTGACGGTTTTATCCGAAAGAAAAGCATTTCGACATGATAGCCCCCAGAAATTAGTATTGAGCAATTGATAAGGGACGTTTTTTCTTTCTTTCTTCCCCCCCCCCTCTAATCGTCATCTTCGTCCGGGTCGTACAAGTCAAGATCTAGCGTAGCTTTGGGCTTCGAGGGAGGCGCTGCACCCATTGACACTCGAGATGCGACAGCCGACCCAGCGTGAGCAGCAGCCTTAGCAGCCTCTTTCGCATGGAGGCTTTCATCACCGGCTTCAGTCGACGCCACCACATCCGTAACACCCAACCCTTCCGCCTCACGAATTATCCGCTCCACCTCCTTGTCAGGATCAAAGTCTGGCCGCCCCTCCGCAGCAGCCAGCTGTATCTGTCCCATGAGCCCCATGCGGATTCGATCTTCCATCGGATACGGAAGCATATAAGCCTGTCGAGCTATGCTCGCCGATTCATCCAACCACGACGTAGCATCCTTCGTGACGGCCGCCACAGGTTCTGTATCCTGGTTTCCCTCTGGATTCCCATTCGTTCCAGACATTTCCATATCGTTGCCATTGCCTCCTGATTTACCTTTCATCGCCCCGGCAGCGGCATCGGCTGCAGCTTGGTGGTTATATTTGCTTATCCTTCGCGCAAAGTCCAGCAGGAGCTTGTAATCCACTTCCTTCCTTCGTGTATTCACAGATCGACCGATTCCGCTCGTCGGGTCTTCGCATTTCATCTCGTCCATATCAAAGTCCGAATCGGAGTCGGAGTCAGAGTCAGAGTCGCTCCCATCATCGCCGCATGCCGTCCGGATATCCTTCTCATATCGCACCACAAGCCGCACAATATCCTTTACTCTCTCTTCTAGGCTCTGAGCCTCCGCACGGAGCTGTAAAATCCTAGCATAGTTGCCTTGGTGCTTTTTGAGTGTTTCAACGGCGGATGTCAACGAGTCGTCGGCATCTAACAGGTTCACGGCTGCGGCGGGGGCGCCTGAGGCGGTCGGCGAAGTCGTTAGGCTGACCACGAGGGCATTGAGCTTCTTCTCAAGATTCGATAAGGTGGATTTGAATTCTGCATTCATCTTGTTAAAGCGATCGGCACAGGAGGGGATACCAAAAGCGTTGGGATGGCAAGCTACATGTCTTCAAAGCTCTCTGTTTGCGTTGAAGCTCCAAAAACGCTCTGAATCCGACACGTGATGATAGCAGCTAACACGTGATTTCTCCAGTGTATGCCTGGACGCCTGAGGCACCTATTTCATATACATTCTATTGAGCCCTCACTTTGAATATTTGAGCTACTGAGAGTTCAAAGGTCGAGAAAAAATATCTGCCCTCTTTCTTATAAAACTTAAAAAAGAACAGACCTCGGTGGGTTATGACATAAATCGGAGTCACCAGATCACCGTCCGCCCTCGTCATCCAATCATGTATATAACTAAAGCTCGACGACACATATCTAAGAAAGAAATACGAAAAAAACGAGAGAATTCGGTGAGAGTCCCTCGAGAGAGAGATTCATATTCAGAGAGTTGGGATACTCGTTATTTCCTCGGATAAACCAGTAAGAAGCAAGATGGCCTCCAGAGCTATGTTTCTTCCTGCTCCGGTTCTTAAAGTAGGGCCAAATGTCGTCCTACAGCCGCCGCTATCGCGATGCAGGCGTGGTCCTGGCTTGCTTATCGTGCGGCCTAGTCTCTATGTCGATTGCCCGAAGAACAACAAGAGCCTTGATCCCGAACCCTTGCAGAAATGGGCGGAGGAGAGCTTTGCCGTGGCACAGGCTACTTTCGATGGTAGGAGTAGTAGTAACCAAACCAGTGTCTCTGAGTCAGTGCGTACTGCTACAGAAGCCTTGACTTCGCTGCCAGATTGTGACAAGAAAGACAGATTCGGTTTGCTAGGTGAGACTAAAAGGTATATCATATGGAGTGAGGTTAGGATGCTAAATAAATCAACTATCAGTTTACGGCTCGCCAGCCGACTATGCATCCGGCTTCGAAGAGCTATTGGGCGCTGTTGTAGCTACAACTGGGAAGTTCGCAGCAGGAGTGTATACAGGGGCCTGGAACCCTCCTGATATCCCGACCCTACGACATATCCCTGGACCCCAGTCGGAAGTGCAGAAAGGCGCTCCCTCAACCGTGTATTCGTATCCCGAGGCGTCCTCGACGGGGTTTATAGTTCCGGGGCACTCGGACTTCAAGATCTCGTCGGCTGGAGTAGCTCACACGCGATCGCTTACCTTTATCAAGAAGCATATGGGCGGTCCTTTCTTTGACCTCGAGAAGATATGGGAAGAGCACACGTACTATGAATTTGGGGACCGATCGGTTGAGAAGACGATGGCGACTATGGTCCAAGAGCCCTATGTGAACGATGTTCCGACGGTGAGCTTCCCTGGCCATAGTTAACTATCATATTGCCGTTTGTCAGCCTGTTCACGCTCGAAATAGTTGACAGGCGGGATCGGGCGGGCAAGTCTGAGCAAGTTCTACCGAGAAAACTTCATCTTCAATAACCCAGACGATTCGGAGCTCGAGCTGGTCAGTCGCACGGTGGGCGTTGATCGTGTTGTGGATGAATTTATCTTCTGTCTGACGCATAACAAAGTCATCGACTGGATGTGAGTGATACATACCATCACAAGAGCTCCCGAACGTCAGCATTGTACCCGTATTCTGATAGTATACTCAGGCTTCCAGGGATCCCACCGACCGGTAAACCATTGCGAATTCCATTCACAGCGGTCGTGAACATTCGAGGCGATCGTCTGTATCACGAGCATATCGCATGGGATCAGGCTACGGCCCTGATGCAACTAGGATTGCTTCCAGAATACCTTCCATTCCCCTATCCGTTACCCGACGGTCGGAAGCCTGCTCCCGGGAAGAGATTCGAATATCGGGTTCCTGCTGCTGGGGTTGAGACAGCGATCAAGCTGCAACATGAGCATCTGGTTCCCTCCAACGAGATGTTCAACTTGCAGCTTCGGGAGATAAACGATAGTACTAGGTAAGACACTCTAATAGTTAGCCTGGGTGGTAGACCCGTTTTTTTTTATCGGCTGGCTGTCTCATACATACTGGGATGGAGAGAGCTGGAATACTCTGCGATTATTCGAGGATATGTCGGGAAATTGCTTCTCTTTCAGGTAGCAATGTTAATTAACAGTAATGTATACGAGCCCCTTAAAATGGATCATGAATACTCCGTAGTATAAGTTTAATACAACTTTGGAATCTGCGGCTAGTAGAGAAGATGTGATAGAGTCGTGGATGTACTCTGGGTAATATTTGGCGAAACCTCTCACGATATCATGGAGAATTATAAGGCTGGCTGAATTAAAGCCTTATACACTTGTAGTTTGGTAGAATTTCACATTTCAAAACTATAATATATCTTTACTACATAGATCTAATCTGCGCCTAGTTCAAATACGGGAGCAACATTGGGGAAAACTAGGCATCTATACACAGTACCTAAGCTTGACTCCGTCACCAGTTAAAAAAAAAAAAAAAAAAAAAAAAAAAAAAATATTACCGCCAGTACCGCACTATATAACTATGTCTTAGCACTGGCATGTGTATACAGGCGAGAGTCTGCTTGGCCATGAACTAGATAGGTCAATTGGAGTGAGGGCTCATCGTTGGATAAGATGAAAGCAAATAAGGATTCCAATCCATCTACTCCGTAGGCAAGCTGCTATCACAGCCCAATTTCGGAGAAGACGTTCTTAATACAGTCAGGAGCGCAGTTTCTCCCCGTAAAAACCGAATGTCTCACATGTCCTCTATCCACTAGGCACTGCCCAGTCCTGGACCTTCTATTCAATCTCCCAGGGGTCCGTATTGAATATTCTAGTCGCATTCCAGCCAGCCTTACCATAAGACCACATGTCATCCATGTTGGATAACAGACCATGCGTAAGTTGGACGTAAAGAACGCGGGTTAAGCCATCTGTTCCAAGAGCTCGCGTGTCCTCAACTAGGGCTGCTCTGCTTACACAGGAGATTACTCACCTAGCCATGCTCTCTAGGCTGGGCATGAGAAAGACAACCTTCGTCTTCATCTTCAAGAGCATTTACACTGTTCCAGTGCTCGTTGGGTGATCGTCGACTATGGTAGGTACTCCGTACTCCGGGCTGATCCCCAATTTTGTCGATATGTCTCATCGTACCGCAATTGTGACTGGGTCTGCACAGGGAATATAGGTTTCCATAAATCTTATAGGAAAACTTCAGGCTCAGAAGCGGCAATTCACGCCACCGTGCAAGAGCTCCAACGAAATCAACGCACGCCGGGAGATCGCAAATCTTGTATTATCGCGGACGGATTTGACCCTCCTCTGCGGTTGGGTAGATGGTTCAGGAGACTGTTCAAAAATGGGGCCCGCTGACGCTGATGGCAGCCAATGCTGGAATTGCACAGGCCAAACCACAGCTGGATGTGGCGGAGCAGGATATCGATCGAGCGATGCCGACCAATTTTAAGGGCGTGTTTCATTGCTATACAGGGGCGGTACGGCAGATGATTGCGCAGGGCCTTCCCCAGGAAGTTGGCAGCGTCGCCGTTTCCAAGATCGTTTCCAAGCCATTCGCGACGCTCGGAATTTATTCTGCGAGTGAGTGGGCTGTTCGCGGGCTAACGCAGGCAATAAATAGCCATGGAGATGGCGCCGCACAAGATTACCGTGAACGTTTACGCTCCGGGGATCGTGGATACCGCCATGTGGGAGCAAATCGACGGCAGCCGAGGACTGGCCAAGGGGGAGGGCATGCGACTCTACTCTGTACTCGGATCGCTTAATTGCGCTGGGACGCACCAGAGGCCTCCGGCTCCAAAAAGGACCAAAACTCAGCATATATCAAGTACGTAAAGGGCTAATAAACTCAAGGGCTAAGCTTTCGGCCGCATGGCAAGGTAATCCGCTTGGTATGAGGGATTATCTGGAGCCAATCGTCATCGATCTAATTCAGGAGCTGCGGTCTCACGGGGTACGGATTCCTGCTGGCCTGTGGCTGTCCGGCCTCCCAGGGAACCCCATTCTCTCGTCAACCGAGGGCCTCTCGCTATTTCACTCCTGAGTCCCGAGTCCCCTCTAGTGCCGGCAAAGAGGACCCAAGTGTCCTTAGTCGAATTGGACAGGGTGAACCGGGCCACGCTCCCGTACTGAAGAAATCAGGCGGACGCTACCAAGGGTGGAGGATGATTGAGTTTCAGTCGTGGCCAAAAATAGCGCGGCCTCGAGACTGAGAGTCTGAGACACCCAGGCACTGGCAAGAGTTAGTGGCCTAAATGAGTAAAAGCTTCCCAGGCCAGTGAAATTCTTTGTCCCAGGAATCGCAGCTGGCATCCCGTGTGTTCTGGACGAATGAATGAGGGATAGGGATAGCGGCGATGGGCCGGCCCCCTGGAGGGAAAGCTTGTCATGGACCCATTTGAGACTCCTGCTGTACTCCGTACTCTGGACTCTTTGGAGTGGGAATTATTGGCCTGGTCCAGCCAACAAGAGGCGCGCCGCTTCTGTTCTGAGATGGTTGGATCCATACCATTCCACTAGACATCTGAGACCAACAATTACAATTCTTGCCTGGCAGATGCTCGGTTTGCGTTTTTCCGACTAGACTCATCGTCCTAAAAAAAAAAAAAAAAGAAAAAGAAAAGAAAGCCCAGAATGTCTCGGGCACTTCAAGAGAAGAATGAATGTAACCTATACGACAACAGGCTATCCCCGAACAGTTTCTTCAACTTGCCATATGCCTTGAACAAAGCCTAAAAAATAGTAACAAAAGAAACGGAATCCACTATAGAAACTAGTAGTAGTTAGTATAACACTGCTGGTCACAAATTACGCCCCATGGGATGGAACTGGATTGGTGGAATTGATTAATCGTCCAGACTTTATTATAGCCCTGGATGTTGTCATCCGCCATATAGAACGCGTCAGTATAGTCATTTCTTTGGTTTCTTTGCTCTCTTCTCTAGGTTCTCTTATTCGGAATTAGTTTAGTATTGCTGTGACAGGGCTCATTTGATATCCCCGCCCTTTTTTTTTTTTTTTTTTTAATAATAGTACATAATTCTTATATCGGCCTATTCCCCAACGCCCGTTTTCTACTCCGTATTTCTTTTCCCCTTCCTTACTTTCCACACCTTTGTTTTCCCTATTATGTATACGTTCACTATGTTGTTACGACCTCTAGCAGTAATTGCTGCACTCTATCTGAGCAGCTGTGCTGCCTCCCCCGGACGCCATCGCCCAAGATCGGACCCTTCCTTGATCCCCAACCCCAGTCACTCTCATTCCTCCCAACCCTATCAACTCAACCTCACATGTACGGAATGCGCTTTCTCCTATGGCAGCAGTTGCGGCAAAAATCAACATCCCCCTTCCTTTCTGGTGCGTTGGAACGGGGCTCTACTCCAGGCTAACTGAGTAGATGATGGAATCGATCATACTAATCGTTCACAGACTGTCGAATTCACTGCCAAAAAGACTGCGCTCCTAGTCAACGGGGATGTTATTTTCCCCGCTCCTGTGCCGATGGAATTCCACGCGGTGCGACACTCAGCGTCGCGCCATGAAGATATTCTCCTCGCATATGCTCTGGATGTGATGCCGCTCCCCCACCAACCCGGGGACTTTCTCGGAGATTTATATCGCCTGAAGCTCAGACTGCTCGATCTGCAAGGCCGTCCCGCTACTGCGAATCATGTCTCCGTCGGTATCGTCCGAGATGCGGATGGCAATATCGAGATCGTCGAAGTGCAGGAGAGCCCCCATCCCCGCCGCTTTCGCCATCATTTCCCCAGCGACACCAAGAGCAAATGGTGGCACCTGAAGACCTGGAAGGCCTATCTGACGGCTTACTGGCAAACGACATCGGTCCAGGCCAAACCCTGCGGCACGGACTCAACCATTGAAACCTCCCCGTCCAGCGCCGACAGACGTCTCATTTCCCACTGCCGCCACCGACATAACGACCTCGCGTCGTGGACTGGACGTGAGCGCAACTTCGTGCGACTGGTACGACCCGTGATTCTTCCTGGTCTCCTCGGCATGGTGGCCGGGATTATCGCCTGCCTACTCGGATTTCTCGCGGGAAAGATCATACTCTCCGTTTACTATTTCTACAATAACCGCACGACTCCATCTCGGACGCCCGACGACGACGTGGAAGAGGGCGAATCGATCGAGCTCTCGGAGAAGCAACGACTGGCAGAGCACCTGGCAGAACGATATGGCGACCCTGCGCCTCCACATGCACTGTGATATAGATTACTTGTTTCTTCATCCGTATATATTTTATTCAGTCTCTGTAAGATAAACCTTTGCTCATATTTACGTTCAGTCATGGTCTCGGCGTGGTCAGCGAAATAAAATAATCCAGTTTTCTTTCTTTCAAGCTTTGCTTTACTTTTAGTAACATCCGTGCTATAGTTAACTAACTAGTACGAGTACAGAGAGCATATCCCCCGGCAGCTACGCATGACCCGATCTATACGAAATACGTCCGTCTACAGGTTGTAAGAGATTGCGAGGCTACTTGAATGAAGACTGCGACAGCTTTGAGCTTAGAATTTCAACAACGTTCTGCAGTGTAGCTAAAGAGACAATGATAACGACAGGTTGATCTCCCAGGAAATAATCATCCCGATGATTTGAGCTTCGCTGGAGTTCACTCCCGTAACGCAGGACCATCATCATCCATCATCCCCAACCTTCCATTCGGCCTGATGACGACTACCGCGGAGCTCCTCGAAAAGGTGTGAATAATGACAAAACAGCACAATTCCAGCTTGCGCCCGGTAATCAAATTGACTCACATTCCTTTTTCAGTGACAAAGGTCCAGCGCAGCCCCAGCCACCTCGTCAACCTCGTCCGCGGTCAGCTCGTGGCCCAGCAACCAACCGAATCCCAGCACGACATCGCGACGGAAGTTCTGGGAACTCTCCAGGGTCGGCAGCAAGGTGTGGTGGGAGTGAGGAACACCCGGGTAGACGTTCAGGCGGGTCTTCACGCCGTGTTCCTGGAGGTAGCGGCGATAGATCAGGGCGTCGTCGCGCATCGGGTCCATCCCCGCCACCTGGATAAAGGCGGGCGGGATATCAGCGGCCACGTCGGGGTACACAAAGGGGGAGAAGTCCTCCGAGGCGGCGTCGGGCTCGTACGCATCGCGCAGAAAGTCGATATCGGCCGTGCTGAGGATGAGGGCATCGGCGTTCTGAGTTCTGGAAACCCAATCGTCGCGGTATTTCTCGGGGAGACCCTCGACGGTCACGGTGGTCACGGGGATGCAGACCCAGATGCCGGTCAGGGGGGGCGAGAGCTTCTCCTTCACGGCTTTCTGCGCTGCAACACAGGTCAAGTTTCCTCCCGCGGAGACCCCGCCCACGACAAAGCCCTGCGAGGGGTCTGCGCCCAGCGACGTCGCATTGGCAGCAACCCACTTCAGGGAGTCCCAGACATCATTAGGAGCCGCGGGGAAGGGACACTCCGGGGCAAGTCTGTACGACACCGCCACGACGGTTGCCCCGTAAGCCTTCGCAATAGCACGAGCAAAGGGAACCAACTGGAGGCTTGTTCCGACCACGAAGCCGCCGCCATAGATGAGGACCACAAGAGGGCTTCCGGCCTCGGGAGCGGAGACAGGCTTGAAGACCCGGGTTTCGCTTTCGTATCCATCACGCATGGCGATGGTCATGACGGTTTCGGGGATGTCCAGCGATGCTGTGGTCTCATAGAGGCTCCGTTCGAAATCCAAGGTCTGCTTGCGCATCACATCGGTAGGAGAGTCGGTGAAGCCTCCAGCTTTCATTGGGCACTTCTCTAGGAACTGCCTGGGCGTTAGCAGAGCACCATCTCTTCCAGGAAGGGTACCTACCGCTGCCAACTCGGGGTCAGTCTTGCTCAAAGCGAGGACATCGTCCTTGAGGGTGTAATCTCCCATGATGATGGTGATGGCAGATGGACAAATGGGAAAATGTTAACAGTCGAGGTAGGTTGAGTTATCCACAGTAAAAGAAGATGATTCCAGAGGGAGCACTGGAAGAAGAGGAAGGAAATAAAGTCCTGGGGAGGAATCCCCATGGCGTGATTTTAAAGAGCAAAGAAAGAAAAAGGCAAAGAACACAAGACCATCCTAAACAAAGGGGGGCAGATATTCACTGAAAGAATGTAAGAATCACTAGAGATATAGTGAATATAAGATATACCCCGCTAAGTAACACTGAAGAATTACCCCAGATTCTTTCTCTCTTTCATCCAAGTTGCTTCTGTGCAGTGATAATATATAAAATTCAAAGATAGGATGAATGTCATTGCACATAGATGCAGCACAAACTCTAGTATTAAGAATCTTTATTTCACTCTATTTCCAAACCCAACATATCTGTCCACTTCCTTGATGAATTTGCCTGATCTTCTGTTGATTGATGGTCATGAATCAGCGTCCTACCCAGTCCTCCATACTAGGAGCAGGGCCCATTGTGCGTCCATCATCTTTACCATATAGCTATCTGGTTTCAGGCTCATCTTGGGAGTACAGCATGTTCACTGTCTCTTGTAATTCCAACCATCCGCCAGGTTTGAGGTTGTCGAAGCATTGCTGGATCAGATGCGGCCAGTCCTTGATCGATTATCGATCCTGCCATGTAGCGACAGTGAATACGATGCCTCACCCTGTCCCCAGGGCTTTCCCACATTGTCCACAAGAAACCTCACGTTAGGCGGTCCCATAGAGGCTGAATGGCCCAGATCCCAGTACCAGTTCCGATATCGAGGACCTTCGTGCCGTCCGGGTTGAAAGGAGCCCGGTAGTAGACATGATGCACCATATCCAGCCGGTCCTGTTCAGGCTCATCATGGGGAAATGCTAACCAGTAGAACTCTTGGTCAGGAACAACTTAATTTATGTTTGAAAGATTGAAAGAAAAAAAAAAAAAGCCTTCCGACATTATATTGGTCATGTTTGAAGTGGTGTTTCCTGTAAAGAGAGTTGGCTAAAGGTCCAGACTGAGGAGATCTGTATCTCCCCGCCTTGTTTCATAGCTGCAAGCGTTCTAGCAAGAACAACAAGACTGGAGGGGTCTTGAGACTGATTATAGAATCGGATTGGCATGTTGTTTAGCTGGTCAGTTATTAATAGTGGCCGGCCCCTTACCTCTGGAGTGTATGGTTTCTGCATGTTTAATGGACGAGCGTGATCTTGATTCTTGACTCTGGAGTGTCTGGCGGTAGAAAAATCTCGAAGACAGAGCCCATGCACGCAAATGCTGTGTAATAACTATATCTAGAGCAAGACGTGGTTCTCTGAGTCGCAGCATCGTACAGTCTACACACTTTGCAGGGTGAGATGCGAGGAGTAAGGGCTTTTCCCATCCCTGCTACGTCATTTGCAAGATTGGGAGGGTTTTTTCATAGATCTAGGTATGGATATATATTTTCTTAACAAATTAGAGGTAACAATAGTAGCAATCTCCCTAACCGACCTCGCGTTTGGCTAGAAAGTTGACGGCGCATTTCCGTCCAAGAGAGGAAAGTCAGAGAGCCGGAAAAGTGGGAGGTTGGCACCGCCACAATTACATTAACCAATTAATTAGTTCAGTTCATTATTCTCCCAGAGTCCTGATATCATCACCCACAGTTTTGTTTTCCCTTTTTTCTTCTCTGGCTTGGTTGATGTGTTGGTCGCTGCGGGGAAAATTCAATGTTTTGTTCTTGCTGTATGACGAGGGCTTCGGGCTTCCTGGGCCCTAACCAAAATATCCCCTACTGATGATCGACAGCGCACTGTGATGCAGTCTTGATATCATGACTGAACTGTTGTCATTAATTGATTGCTATACGCAAGAAACCCAGGAGCGACAAGGAAGTACGGACTACGGAGTAAACTACCTGAGGGGTCTCGAGGCCTGGTACTAGACTAGAGGCAAATAGTCTCATTTAGTGGGTGGCGGGAATTCAGTCCCTTTCTCCACAACCAACAGGCTTAGGGCACTCTATGAGTCTATATAGTGTTTGCAAAATAGGCGACGAAGAGAAAAAGACCACTACGCACTCTTATTGGTCTGTAAACAAACTAGAGGTGGCTAGTTTCTATGGCGATCAAGCCACATCGGCGGTGGGAGCACTCTTTCGCTCATATCCATGCCTTTCTGCCCACCTAAACTGCTACCCACTTTAGGTGCGCCACACATTCTTCATGATTACACATTCTTCGCGATTTTTTAATATTTGAAGCTATACAATAACAATAATACTAATAATTAAAATAAAAAAACTCTCCAGCTTCTTTAGTATATCTTATATTATTAATTCCTCTTTGAATTGACTCCTGCGAGTATAAAGGGGGTAAAGAACTATATATTTTCTTTTTCTACTTTACTAATCTCTTCTACTTATATTTAGTATCCTTTGCCTTCTTATCTTTAATTAATTAAATAATATCACAAACTCTTAGAACCCTGTTACTAGATAGACCTTTAATCTAGTACTTAGTATAAACCTGGTATTAAGGCTCTTATATGGCTCTAATCTTTTAAATTACTTCCTAGGTTATTTTTAGCTCCTTAAGCTTCTCTACCTGATATTAAAAGAATTTTAATATATTTTACCTTACCTAGTTAGATACCTTATTAAGTTCCTTTATAACCTTTACCTAATTTTTTAGAAGAGTCTTTATTATTATTAGAGGACTGTTTTTAATACTAGAGAATAGTAATAATAGTAAAGATAAAGTTTAATAAAGATTAATTAATATATCTAGTATATTTATCTAATTTACTAGTTTTTTAATAATTTTAGTATTATTAATTAGCTAGATACTATATTCTTTAAAGATATCTTAAATAATTTGCTAGTAAAAGGTCTAATTATAAATTAATTAGATAATCTTTAAGAATTCTACCTTCCTATATAGCTTACCTCCCTATTAAGATAGCTTATTATTCTTAAGGTAAAAATTAGTCTTATAAGTAAGAAAAGATTTTCTATTAAGAGATTAGTAGAGATATATTAAATAAGTTATAAAATTAAAAAAAATAATATTATTTTTCTTATAATATTATAGAAATTTAAGTATAAGGTATAAGCTATAGCTATTAAATATTAGATATTATTTTTTATCTTACTTAGTATAATTAAGATACTTTATTTTAATATTAAATTAATATAACTAGGTAAGCATAAGCTTATTAATTATCTAATTATTTAAGAATATTACTATTATTATTTTAGGTAATAATTATTCTATATTATAATACTAGATCTCTATATAATTATTTATTACTTTAAAAATAAAAAATAAATCTATTACTTAATTATCTATAGTAATATATTTAACTATAGTAATATTTTTATCTTACTTACTTTCTATAAGATTAAAGTATTTAAGATCCCTAAAAACCTTCCTATTATAATCTTTACCTAGTTAAAAACTATATTTATTAAAGTTATAGATAAGGTAAGCCAGGACCCCATAAAAAAGTAATTTTAAAAGATTATACTAGTATTAAAGTAAGCTAGTATTCTCTACTTATATCTACCTTAATTCCTTAATTTTCTACTTTACTAGAGCAAGTCCTAGATCTGCTAGTATATATAATTTAAATTAATATAGCTATATCTTACTAACTTACTTATCTAACCCCGCGCGAGTAAGTATCTAATTTACCCATGCTATAATAACTACAGGAATTGGTAGGATATTTTATTTCTATATTTATATAATCTAGTTAATTAAGGTCTTCTCCTAATATGGCTATAGAAGGTTCTTATTTATTATTATTAGTATTACTAGTATCTTTAGTTTTTTAAGGCATGTTTAGAGTATAGAGTTAGGTATATTAAATTCTTATATAATCTTTATAATATTTGGTTTTTTTTACTTTTAAACTATAATAATAGCTTCAAGCAAGCAAGATTTATTAAAATCTAGAGATTTAGGCATGTTATATTATAATAATAATAAAAATAAGTTAAAATATTAAAAATCATGAAGAATGTGTGATCGCGAAGAATGTGTGGCGCACCTAAAGCAGGTAGCAGTTTAGGTGGGCAGAAAGGCATGGATACTAGATCACGGACAGTGGATCCATCCTCGATCCTCTGCATCCCGAAGCCCCAGCACGAGAAAGAAAAGAATAAAAAGCAAAATAAAACAAAACAAAGAGATTTTACCAGTACTCGGGGAAATCCAGCAGAGCTCGTCCCGTGAACCCATGTCCGAGGGATTGGGCATCGATCTATTCCGTACTTGAGATGACACCAACATTGACGTAGTTGCGTGGTAGAGACCGATAGTTTCACAGTCATCTACAGAGTACTTCTGTACGGAGTTCAGTGGAAGTATCTATCTACACTCACTAACGGAACTAACATACAGGGCTCAGGAGAGAGTGGCCATTACCTACGCTTCTTGCTCACCTTATCAACAATGCTCGAGCAATAGCTTTTTTTTTTTCGCTCCCACCATAAAAGGCACTTTGGATGCGACGGCATCCGTAGAGTGAAATCGTGCTGCCTATGAGATTAAGTCAAGATCTGGGTGGATCAAGTACCAGCCACAACTAGCTGCTCGCCTTGCAGCTGGATGACTCCAGTCAGGAATTTGCCCGTGGAGACCGTGAGCCATGTTGGCCGAGCACCACTCATGAATCAAGATATACCAACGGGGTCCAATGGCGATCGCCTCTCTCAACTTAACCGGGAAACTAAAAAAGAAAAAGAAAAAGAAAAAAAAAACGCGAAGGAGGTGCGTCTGGGTGGAGGAAACCCCGAAAGCTTCGATGCAGGTGGCAGGAACAACCCAGCGCGATTTGTGACTGTCGTTCCTGGATTTAAAGCAAGCAGATTCCCTTCCAGCTGCCAGTTCTCTCTTTCTCTCTCTCTCTCTCTTTTTTTCCAGGTTCATTCATACATTGCTTGGATATTTATCTTTGCTGATCCATCAAACCACAATCGACCCTCGTCACGTCACATATACTCTCTTATCTCCCTTTCCCACATACACAATGAAGGCTTTCTTGTTTCCCATCGCCATGCTGGCCACCGTCGGCATGGTCAGTGCTGAAGTCAGCGCCAGCGACTGCGCAGTAAGTCTCTCGAGGTTGTTGCCTTTAGACCGTTCTTAAGTCTAACTAGAAGTGTTTAGGCCATGTGTCTCTCCAATATGAAAGCAAAGGCCTCTGAGCTGGGTTGCTCTAGTGGTGACTTGGCCTGTCTTTGCGATACCCCTGACTACAGTTACGGTATTCGTGACTGCACCGCCCAGGCTTGCCCTGGGGAAGACCCTGCCGCTGTCGTGGCTTCTGCTCTTGCTCAATGCCCTAGTACGTGCACCGTTACCGTGCTCTGCTTTGGAACTGGAACGTATGCTAACATGAGTGACACAGGCGGCTCTGGAACAAGCTCCACTGAGACCACTACTGGTACTGCTTCTACTACCGCATCTACCTCCACCACTGGCGCTGGAGCCGGTGCTACCGCAACTACCACCCCGACTACCAGCACGACTTCCGGTGCTACCCCGACTACCAGCATGACCTCCGGTGCTGTCACTACTACTAACACGGCTTCCGGTGCTGTCACTGCTAGCAGCGGAGCTGTTGAATCGGACAGCACCACGCATCATTCTAGCGAAACTACATCCAGTACAGAGGTGAATACACCACCCCCTCCCCCTACTGATTCCTGTTCCGCTTCATCTGCTAACTACCTAAAGTCTGGTGCTACTTCAACAGACACTGCTGCCGCCACCAGCACCAGCAGCAGCACCACCCTGGTGACTTCCAGCAGTACCACCTCTGGCGCGGAGTCAACCTCTACTGGCAGCGGATCTACCTCTACTACAACCACCCACACTGGCGCTGCTCCTCGCATGGCTCTTGCTACCGGCGCCGCTGGTGCGCTGGGCCTTGTCGCTCTGCTGGTTCTGTAGATGGGAGGTGATAATGGTCGGCATATTTGCTGGCTAGTTTAATACGCCCGGAGCTGTTTTGGGTTCTTGATTATAACGCATGGTTGATGATTTCCATTGTTAGATCCCTGTGTATATGATACCACGGGTCATGCTGTAATGACTGATTAGTAGATAATATCTTCTGTTACCACTCACGACAATTCAATTCTTTCCTGATACAGTGTTCAACTCTAGTAGGTAGAGGCCTCTGCTTCTACACTTCCATGCAACCGGCCGTGGTGAAGGTCAAAATGTCATCTGAAATGAGAAGGTAAGAAGATCCCACTCTTGGTCATTTTGATGAACCCAGAAAATAGGACGAGAAAAGAGGGAGAAAAAAAAACCAAGGCAATATGCTTGGGTTATAGACTTGTTGAAGTTTTATACTCCGTATTGGACCCAGCATTAGTGCCGTTCCCTTTGCACTGTCTTTGAACGCATAGCTCGGTCATGAATGGAGTACTCCGTATACCGAGTAAGATTGGGATCCCACTCGACAGCAAAAAAAAAAAAAGGTAAGCCGGTCTAACTAACCACTTACCTGGGCTAGGAATGGGGGATGCAAGTTCATGCAGGAAGGAAAAGGGACTGTGATAGCTCATGCAGCTTAGCTGGATCCTTCCCTTGGGCGCACGGATGGTCTCCATACTTTAGTAGTAAAGTACTTTTGGGGTCGAAAGCACTACTAGAAATCTACAAATCAAACAGCTTGTAGTCAGATTCCAGATTTAGTTAACTAACTATTGGTGTCAGGCAATGAATAAGCTACAGATAGGAAGATCTGTGGCGATATTATTGACAATGCGCGTAATTTGTCCTCCATGAAGAGGTTGTTTCTCCTACAGTAAGCATGAGGTTTGTCTCGACTTTAAGGTGTAGTAAACATGACTGGGTTTGACAGGATTGCTGGTGAAGAAATAGAAAAGTATGACAAGCCCTTGGTCCAACTTTTTAACTGTATCTTATAGTGATTGATTTGCTTCTGCCTTTGTTGGCCTTATGGAGTCAGGGGCCTGACATGTGATTCTCTCGGCATGACTCCATAGCAGGTTACTAGGTTATACTATAAGGTACCTAGGTATAGAGAGAAGTTTCCTGATATTTAATTCCTGTCGTCCGATGCTCTGTTATTTCTGATGCTTCGAGTTGGCACACGGGTAAATGGCAGGATGACAAGACCACGTCAATTTCAGTGTGGCCTCCGTTCACCCGACCGTTGACATTCCCAGGTCTGGACAAGGTATCAGAGGGAGAATTCTGAATGAAATCAGGCTCTGATAGTAATTCTGCAAGTAGATTTCCATCTCGAACTACTCCGTGGAGTCTTGACTGACCCTCCTTTTCCTCCGCGGTTACTGGGGCCGGGAACATCTATTTATCCTGTCCGAGCCGAGGTACAAATCATTTTCTCTCTCTCTCTCTCTCTCTCTCTCGCTGCTCTCACGCGTTCATTCGGCTTTCCAGGGTGGTTAATTATTAGGACTAGTATTATATTGTTGGTTTCTTCTCTAGTTCCTAGCTTTTGTCTCTTCTTCTGCTTCTTCTTTTTTTCTCTCTCTCTTTCTTTCTTTCTTTCTTGCTTTTCACTTCATCAGCTCTATATTCTTAATTTCTCACTACTCCCCTTCCCCCACCCCCAACGGTCGATCGACTCGAATCCCTTTGAATCCTCCTCACCCGCGATCCCCGCTTCCCCGACTTAGCCCCCCCCGCCACCATGTCCTCTGCCGACCCCTCTGCCTCGGAATCCATCCAGGAAACCGTCAAGGTTGTAGAAACCAAGGCTGTCAACCAGACCCTTGCGCAGATTCGCTCCTTTGTTGCTGGTGGTGTTGGTGGTGTCTGTGCCGTCGTCGTTGGCCATCCCTTTGATCTCGTCAAAGTCCGACTGCAGACTGCGGAGAAGGGTGTTTACTCGGGCGCCATTGATGTTGTTAAGAAAACGGTGGCTCGGGAGGGCCTCTTGCGTGTGAGTGGTGAACCGATCTTGTTTAGGTGTGCATCCGAATTGACCATGTGCAGGGTCTCTATGCCGGTGTCTCTGCGCCCCTAGTTGGTGTTACGCCAATGTGTAAGTGACTCCTTTTAGATTTCGCAGATCTAACCTGGGGCTAACATAACAATTCCTTGGTTCCAAGTCGCCGTCAGCTTCTGGGTATGTTGGAACTAAGATGAACCGCTCGACCTGGAAATGAAGAAAGAGTTAATAATGACTAGGGTTATGACTTGGGCAAAACACTGGTCAGCAACGTGTCCCCCGTCCATATGGAACACGGTGCTCCCCAATACACCATCGGCCAAATCTCTGCTGCTGGTTTCTTCTCCGCTATCCCCATGACCTTGATCACAGCTCCCTTTGAGCGAGTGAAGGTACTTCTTCAGATCCAGGGTCAGAACCCTCCACCCCCCGGACAGAAGCCTCAGTACTCCGGTGGTGTGGACGTTGTCCGGCAGTTGTACAAGGAGGGTGGTATTCGCAGCGTTTTCCGCGGAAGCGCCATGACACTGGCTCGGGATGGTCCCGGCTCTGCTGCCTACTTCGCCGCATACGAGTACATCAAGCGATCCCTGACCCCTAAGGATGAGAACGGCAAGCCTACTGGCGATCTGCCCTTGCCCGCTATTCTGGCTGCTGGTGGCGCTGCCGGGATTGCCATGTGGATTCCTGTTTTCCCCATCGACACAATCAAGTCTCGCCTGCAGAGTGCGCCCGGTAAGCCCACAATTGGTGGCACGATCCGCACTGTCTACGCCAACGGTGGCTTCAAGGCATTTTTCCCGGGATTTGGCCCAGCTTTGGCTCGAGCTGTGCCCGCCAACGCGGCTACCTTGTACGTGATGATAATCGTGTTGTCTGCCAGACATGCTGCTAATTTGTGACTAGTGCCGGTGTTGAGCTAGCCCATACCTTTATGAAGAAGCTTTGCGACTAAACGAGCCCGATTGCTGTAAATAGAGTCATTGTCTGTTGAAAAGAACTGTTTTCGCCCCGGAAGGTTGATACGATATCTTTTATTGTGCCGGCGTTCTTATTTTCCTATTTCTATTTCTTTCCCCTTTCCTCGTTAGAGCGAGATGTCTTGAAGCATACCCAGCTTGGATGATCAATTTTCGTTATTTAGATCTGCTAGTTTTTTTGGCTGCAAATCCCTTTGCAGTGAACTATATATATTGTAATGACGCGAGATCTCAGCATCACTGCCCGCCCGCCGGGATTAGGACAGGACAAACATAACTTAGGTAGCATCCAAAGAACGCACATTTTTCTGGAGGTAACAAATACCGCATTTAAACGTTCCACAACTTGGACATATACAAATTTCACCGTTGTAGAAAGTCTCATCTACAGTGCTATCCTCATGGAAAGGGTGATGATTATTAGAGCTCAAGACATATATTGTGTTATTGGCTTGCACGAACGAGGAATCCAGCAGAGAAGGTTGATTTGACTGCTCGTTTAACAGTCCTCCACTCCCTCAGTTTCCCCGATGCGAACTACATATTTCAAGGCACTAGCTTTGCCCTCCTTGAGGTTTGTCAATGCAGTTTGCAGCCCATCTAAACCACCAGGAACCACCTCGTGCGGGTGAGGCGTGAACCACCCCTCGAGCAATCCCCTGCTCAACAAGCGGTAATAGATATACCCTAGATCCTGGTGGTCACCATGTACAATACCGACAGAGCTCCTCACTGTTTCGATACTGTCTGGAAGGGAACTCAAGTCTCTTCCTGGGAGAACGAGAACAATTTTCCCACCCGGGGAGACCACCTTTCCCAAATTCAAAAAGCTACTCCCATCACTCACGGCATCGTATGCATGAAGGACGGTGGCATCGCCATTTCCAGACAGTTTCAGTGCATTGTGTATTCCTGACACGACAGCTTCATCGCCCTGGCGGTAGTCGATGACCGCATCACCCTTTGATGAGTCGAGTAGGTTCTCGACATAGGCAATGCCGCGGCCGGCGACGGTGATAATGGGATGTATATTACTTTTCCGGGCGAGCTTGATAGCGAACGAGCCGATAGCTGTTGCACCCCCGTAAATAATTAGTGGAATCCTGGATGTAGCGGGTTCCCAGGTGTGTGGGAGACCCAGGTGGTGGTAAAGAGCGACTACAGATGTCATCGCCGTGAGAGGGATGGTCGCAGCCTCTGGATATTTTTATCAGCACGGGTTGACACAAGGAACCACGGAAGGAGGGGGGGGGGGGGTTTGCCTTCAAAGGTGGTCGATTTGGGGATGTGGAATGTAGTATGCTGCCAGCTCACTGCGTATTCCGCGTACGCTGCACCAGGCTGATTCGTTTGATGGAAAGCAGCAACGCGGTCTCCTGGCTTGAACTCGGTGACATTCTCCCCGACGGCGGCCACTGTGCCTGCAATATCATCGCCCTGATTGCCACTTTTGCCAGTCCATTCAGGGAGTTTCCTGCGGATCGCTAGATTAGCTTTCTGACCCCTTCTTAGGGCTACTGTAGCAGCGGGTATACCAATCCTTGGGATTTGTCCCGCTCACCACCACTTTGATTAGCACTTGATCGGGCTGTAGTGTGGGAATAGGGCTGTCAACAATGTGGACCAGCGGACCCTTGGATATGATAGCTTCCTTCATTGTGAGCATATGATGAATTTGATTCTCTGTTTACCTTGAAAGGCAGAATGCGGGGAAACAGGATATCGGGATATCGGGGGGTAAAATAGACCTGCTGTCATATTTTGTATTTGTAATCTGTCTTCCCAGCTAGTTAGTGAACTAGTTAACTATCATAAATGCTGAATGAGTACCATGTCAATGAATGGCAAATAAGCTGGATGCTGACATCCGCATGTCACACTACAGACTACCTATCAGACCTCGCGATCTTCATTATAACCCTGTGAATACTGAGAGTATTAGGTTATCATTTAATAAGAGGCCAGCTGGAAAGAGATAGAAGATATATATTATGATATTTTTCTGGGGAATAGCAACCGCCACTTGAGTAGTTACTGAATGATGGGAAGAATTTCTAACCATAATACTAACTATAAGCCTGCAAGGGTCAAGTCAAGCTGAGGTGGAGGCTATTAGTTAAGGATTATACCCTCTAAACTACAAAGCCTGTAGTTCTTCTGTGAGATGAAAGAATGCCTAGTAATGGCCTAATTAGGCTATGGTAACCATCATGGATACTCTCCAGAATCTTACCTCCAACAACCCAGGAGGCAGACAAATCAAACGTAAGCTTGATTAAGTTCTCTTCTCTTTGTCCTTTCTTGCTAGGTTATTCTTTCAGAATATTCCTGAATTCCCCCTTATTGACCCTCAATCCTCAATCTTCTCGAACGGAAGAGTATGGCCAGTGTGCAAGATGAGGCTCATGAATTGCTCGCTAGCTACCAAGTCATGATCAAGGTGCGGTCCTGGTTGATGATGGTAATATGTTAGATCTTGGAGATGATCTACCTAAACCCTATAGTGTATCATTGATAAATGACCAGACATAGCTCCGCGGCTTCGGTCCTAGTCTGCCTAGTGAAAAGATGTCACTTTTCAGCTCCTCTCCATAAGCATTACCCAAGCAGAATTCCGGAAAAGAGAGACAGTCCAGTTTCTGATTCTAGTCATGTAAGTGCATTAGTCCATTCCTTCCTTTCCACCAGGGTGCAAAAGTACCTCGAACTTTTTCACACCCAAGGCAAGCAGGGTGAAATTGGTAAATGCAGATTAACCACCCGGACGAAGCAAACAGATTCACTGTCTTCTCGCCATGATGGCCACGAGGTTTAGCATACCCAAGAGAGGAAACCCCCCCTTGATGTCTGCTGAGGCGCGAGGGGTGGATCTGAAGTGTGGCTGCTTTTCAGCTCCCCACAGTTCTCTCCAATACTCAACAATTGGCTGTAGCTCGTACGCGAGATGTGCAGGATCCGAAAGTGAAGAGGCTATCCTGAAGTTCCCGGGTCTATTGCCCAATATATGTTCGGATGACTCGGCAGAATCCACAATACTGCAATTATTGGGCAGATCGATTTCTTCTGGCCGCAGCAAGCGGCAGATCTGCTCTGGAGCAGTCAAGAAGACGAACAGGTGTTCGCAGCACATTTTGACGGAGAAAGTTGAATCCTGAGCCTATATCCTTCAAAAATAGTGAGAGATCGCAGAAAATGAAACAGCAGAAGACTTGTTTATAAAGACTAATAACCTAGCCGCCCTGTATTAATCCCCAGGCATCATTGTCTTCAAAGATTACCATTGCATATAGTCGATTCGAAGGAAATTTAGCGTCATGCAGTGTTGTGAATCTAAGATGGAGTGGCTGCTTTGCATTAGTATAAATTAGGCTGTCGACTCCAGGAGTTGAGTGCTCGTTCACCAGAATATCTTCTTCTTCCTCCTCCTCCTCCTTAGTTCTTCCCTTCACCTTAGCTATGCATTTTCATACCGCTCTCCTCGCACTCAGTGCGCTCCTACCAGGCTCTGTTCTCGCAAGTGCTGATTCTGTAAAGGTATGCCCAAAATTTCAGTGTCTGAAAGTACATTGATTGCTAACTCTCATCTCCTATACAGAGCCTCTTTCCTGCGCATTGCCTGCCCAATCCCTGCAAGGGAATCACCTTCAAAAATGAGACCTATGTCTGCGGCGACTCTCGCCTAGGCCCCGTGAAATACCCTTCGAAATTCCCTCTCCGCAATGAGCTCCGTACCTATTCCCGGTTTGGCTCGCTGTGCCCAGCTGAGTTCCTTGAGAAATGGGCTACAAGTGTAGACCCCGACGGTTCCTATGTCTATCCTTCTTCGAACGGGTTCGTGATCAATACCTCCAAGAACCCCATTATCGGGAATGCCACTTTACCCGTTGGCCAAAAGTTGGATCGCTTTGGATCTGAGTATGGAACCTTCCTTGCACCGTTGGGCGCTCCTTATATCGAGAGATCCTTGCCCCCAAGCAATCTCGCCACCTATGACGGAAACTATCCCTTCAACTACCATGTCTATCAAGTCACGAAAGAGTTCGTGGTCGGATTAGGGCCGATTGCTCCGTGGTTCGAGCAGCCAGGTATGGGAACCCAGTTTGTGGCCTCAACAAGTGTCATGAATTTAATCGAGGGAGGTTTCCTGAGACGGTTGAACGTAACCGAATACGATGAGCGGGTGGAATATTCTGACTCTTATACTGCTGGACCGTCCCAGTGATGGCGTTACAGCAGGGTTGAACAATAAAAGTCTAATCTATATAAACAGGCCAGGATACACCTCATAAAATGGATAGATATATATCTAGAATCCAGAAATTTTTCTCCTCCTAAAATTTTCTATTATATAGAGATCTGGATCACCGCTGTAACCAACCCCGGCAACCTAAAAGCAGTTATATACCAACCATGCGAAGTTTGGAGTCTCACTGCAGAGGTATAATCCTTCTAGACCATTATAACTGGAAGAATACATGTTTTCTTAACCTATTAGATTCTTCTCCACATGATAACAAGAGGCGGCGCGTATCAGTCTGCTATACCACACTTGGTATTCACCACATTTAGTACCATGTGTGATCAGCTATGATATACAAGAATAGAACTCTGTTGGAAGATCAAATATTATATAGCAAGTCTAAAGCAAGCTTTTCTTTTCAAGATGTTATTTTCTACATATATCTATATCCCAGCTATCTGGTTCGCAATATGTACATTAAGCATCATGGAAATTACCAAGTTTCTATATTCTCTAGGCCGCTTGTTCTCCGCGGACCTAAAGTGAACAGATGGATTGGTTATTATCTCCAAATTCACAAGTAAAGACAGAGAGGATTACCTATTTAACAGGGCAAAATATTCCATAGGATTGTAGGGATAAGTCCTGTTTGGCGTCATTTTGGTTGACATGGGCTTTACTCAGACCTAGTATGTATTACTCTAGGTAACCATTTATTTTGAATATGCTGACCTTTACATAGTGAATGATAATTTTATGAACAAATGGTTCTCAAGGCCTTACCAAGGAGTTATAGTTAACTAGGTCTGTAAAGCTATTCATAAAATAGGGGATTTCCTAATACTTGCACTCTCTTATTATTGGCAGGGTACGAGGTTTCAAGAGGGTGGGTGCCTCATCGCCTGGTGCCTAGTGCCTACCAACTGGTTTGGGGTTAAAAGAACAACGCCTCATCCGCCTTCTTCCTCCCTCCTTCCTTTTCTCACTTCTCTTTCTTATCCAACTGTCATCTTTCTCTTCAATATTTATCACCGTATCCTTATTCTTCGCCTTTTCCACCCATCAAATTTTATCCTGAGGCTGGTTTCATCACTATGGCAATCTCTCACCTCGTCCGTCGCGGCGTCGAGGTTGTCGCCAATACCGTGAAAGACGGACACCCCGGCAATCAAACCCCAGACATCCAAGTTGGATCCCCATGGCTAGCTTCGCTTCTCCTCGTCACTGTTCTTGCTTTCGTTTATGCTATATTCTCGGTAAGCTATTCTCGTTCCCATTTAAAGACTTGACACCTAACTACTGGGCACGTACTGACTGTGATCGGATTAGATTGAATATACTTATGGCTTACTGATCCCCGCCCTTGCTGCGGTGGAAGACTCTAACCCGGATCTTTATGTCCGCGTTGAAGCCGACCCCACGCTGAAGAACTCTGGAGATCCTGCTGGGCTGGAGACTGCTGCTGCTGCCCCAAGCCCGATCACTAGCAAGCTACGCACCACCGTCTGCCATTTACGTGCCCGTGCCGGACGCCGATCCCGTTTCCGAGGTATTGGCATGTTTCTCCTATACACTTTCGCCGAAGGTTTCCTGAACTCCATTATACCTCTATCTCGGAACTTTATTCTCGGTCGTTTCATTGCCAACTTCGCTATCGCGATTCTGCTTGCCAATCTCAAGGTTGCCTGGGTTCATATTGTGATCTCAGAGCCCTCTTCCAAGCGTTTCTACCAACGCATTCCCAGCTTCAGAGACCTACGCAAGATTGTCCCCGCCGCTATTTTTGAGTACCTCCTCACAAATGGTGTCGCCTATGCTACACTTGTCGCCATCAAGTGCATTCATGGATTGGATGACTATGATGGAGTCCTTCGCGGGACTCCATCCTCCCCCATCGCTTTCCGGTCTGCGATGAACGTAATTTCCATTACTGCCTTCGTTAGCTGGTTAACATCAATCCCAGCCAGGGCCATTTTCATTCGCGTTGCTGCCTCAATGCTCCCCGAGGAAGACGAAGCTATTGTGCCCTTCGATCGCAGCTTTGGTGGAAAGGTTGTTCCTGGCGTTGTGGGAGCCGGCGTTCTTAGCATCTCGGATGCATGGAAGACCTTTGACTGGGATGGCCGCAAGCGCTATCTCAAGGCGTTGTTCAAGGCGGTTACCATCGAGTTCAGTGTGGCTGTGTTCTTCGGTTTGATTTTCACCGCTGAGATCCTTGGAGGAGCTTTAGTTTGCAAACCAAAGAACTAAGCAGCATCTTCGTCTATGCTTTTCTGGGTGTATTCTCGACTGCCGTTCCAACAGGCTTTGGCTACTGATTTATCATACTCTCCCCGGTCTCCCGTTGTCAAATGGAATTGTGTAATGTATAGGATGTCGTTCATTAATTATATATTCATGGGAATCTATCAATTTTTTTTTTTTCTTTTTTGGTTGTTGTCATGTTGCTCTCATCCTCTGAACCTCACTTAATAGTTGCAATCTCGCCTAGTGAGAAAGAACCCCGTAGGCTACTCCAGGGACAGACCAACCAAGGTGGAAAGAAAAGAGCCAGAGACAGTCGTCCCTGAAGGTGAGGGGAGAACGAGGAACCCCGCCCTCGCTCAACCAACCAGCGCTGCATCCGGAATACACCGCCTTCGATGGGATTTCTTGACGATCAACTGACTGTCCCAAGTCTTTTTCGTGACCGACCGTCTTTTGGTGTGCTGAGACTATCCCCAGTTGTTATATACCCTAGGGTTCCTTTCACACCCCTTCTGGGTCTCGTGTGTCTTCCGTATTCTTTGCATGTATCCCTGACCCCTTGATCTTTACCCTCTCCTTCTCGGAAACCTCCCTTTTCTTCTTTCCTCATCACATCCCTGCTAGTACCCCGCCTCCGCTTATCGCCATGGCCACAACACCGGCAGGTCGCATGCTGTCTCGCCAGCTCCAGCAGATGCAATCGGACAGGGACATCCCTGGGATTAGCTGTGGGCTTGTGGATAACAATATCTTTGAGTGGGAGGTTATGCTCATGATCTCTGACGATGTGAAGCTGTATGGCGGTAAGTAGTGTGTCTTCACTTCAGGGAATGAATCGATCCAAAACAGAAGTAGAATGAATCCTTACTTTTTTTTTGTTCCTCCCGGCATAATAGGTGGCTTCTTCCGTGCTCGACTTACCTTCCCTCCTGAATACCCGCATATGCCACCGAAGATGAAATTCGAGACCCCTCTATTCCACCCCAACAGTACGTTCCTCTCCCGAGAAATTGATTTTGAGAAAGCGAACTCGCATCACTCACGATATCTAGTCTACCCCCACGGCGAAGTCTGCATCTCCATCCTCCATCCTCCCGAGGAAGATAAATATGGATACGAGTCTGCCGCTGAGCGCTGGTCCCCTGTACAAACCCCCGAGACAATCCTGCTCTCCGTCATTTCTATGCTCTCTAGCCCGAACGACGAAAGCCCCGCCAATGTGGAAGCCGCCCGGTTGTGGAGGGAAGATCCCAAGGAGTTCAAGAAGCGAGTGCGCAAGTGCGTTCGCGAGAGCCTGGGGGAAGAATAAATCGTCAGAGAACCTCGGAAACAAGATTCTCGACTTTTTCTTTCTTTCTTTTTATTTCCCATTCTCCCTTATCTTTGCGCGGCACAACGTCGGGGTGTCAGGAGTTTTTGATTTCTGGCCCTGTCACATTCGTCAACATCTTGAAAGCCTTTCCTCGACCCTTCGTTCGGCGATATGATTGACGACCTGAATTTGATCCTTGTTTAAGTGCAGCTACCTGATTTTCCTACCAGCTACAGGTTTTCTCCACCATTTTGTATCTCGGAGTTGATTAGTTTTCGGTTCTCGGGGTTCGATTTTGATATTGGTTGTCGATTTGCATTTTCAGCTTGTCCATACGTCATTAGCACAGGTTATTTACTCCAATAGGAAATCGGATGTGCATTTGGGGGGGATCATATGTATTTCCAGAGGCTAACGATGCTGATCAACAAGACAATCTATTGTAGTAGGATGTATGAGAAAATAATAAGTAGATAGGGGGCGACAATTATAGGGCCCGCAGTTTCGAGCCTCTCCGAAGAGTGCGAAGGAAAAGGCTGGGATGGAAAACAGTCAGGGAAAGCAATCCAATGGCGATCATCCTAGCTAGAAGTTAGTTCCCATCCTTCTTCAAGTGGTGGGTGATGGGTTTGAGGAAACTCACATTCCATCCAGGATCAAGAACTCATTCTCCCTCTGCATCAAAGGGTTGCCCCAACCGCCGGCCATCTCAGGAATACTACATACATGCACGTTAGTCAACCCCCAAAACAACGGAAAGAGAGCGCTCACCGATAAATGCACCGGATCAAAACGGTAAAATATGCCAAAATCTCCGCAGCCAGCATCAGACGGATACTGCGCTGGCCGGCAGACTTCTCATTCGTGAACAGGTCCTCCCCATGCCTCTTGAGCCGGATGAAAAACTCCAGGGCTAACAATCCGCAAACGGACATAGTCCCGACTTGGAAGGCAATACCGGCAATGATGATATCGTCTCCGGCCTTGAGCATCTTCAAGTTCGTGTGTCCCGCCGCGGCGGCAACGCCACCGCCAGCCGCCTGAAGCAGCAACGAACCGACATCGCAACTGATAAAAATCCAGGTAAACAAGCGGGGATTCAATCGCGAGTGCTGCGGTCCTACGGCGAGGATGATATGCTTCAAGGTCAAGTAAATGCCCGCGGCGATGAAGGTCGGCGCAAGAACCAGACAGACGATCTGAAGCTTGAACGCATTCGCGCTCCACGGGTTATAATGCATGAGGATTCTCCCGAGGTACCCTGCGAGTTCCATGAAGGCCCCGATCCCCAGCGCGATCATAATCGTCCATGATCGGAAGTAGGCGCCGAGTGTGACTTGGACGAGACCCAGTACGCCGAAGAATACGGCGAAAAAGATGTTGCCTCCGAGATTCGGGTAGTAGCCGTATGTGGTTGCTTCGATGGGGCAGTCTGGAGTGACACTGTCGCAGGTGTCGTAGCTAGCCATGATAGGGAGAAGTGGAGGGAGTATATATATAAAGGGGATGAAACCCTACAGAGAGAAAGGGGGTTAAAGATGGGAGATTCAGATAGTACTCATGCGGATGACATTATACAGAGAATTCACAGACGAAAGAAAGCACAGCACCGCATCCAGGTCTTGGATTGGGTTATCCAGGTCCTCTAATAACGGCTCTACCTATATTCTTCCAGTGGAGACGAGACAGATATAAATAAAAGACGCTTTGAAATGAGGCCTTCAATTGGCCAGGTTGGCATCGTTTTCGCTCTCGTTCTCGTTCTCGTTCTCCTCCTCCATTCATCTTTCGTGCTGCCCGTTAGACGGTGTTGGTTTGGACGTTGATTAGTTCGCTAAATGCCACTTCCCGGTTATTCTCCTTTTTTTGGGGGGGGAGGGGATAGATCCACTTTTAATTGTGATTTTGTTCGGACTGTTCCGTTGCTTTCCAGTCTGAACAGAAAAAGGTACCGAATCTATATCAGGAGGTAGTTGAGCCCGGAGTTTAAAAAAAATCCCATCGAATCGGACATCCTTCTTTATGTACCCTGTTAGTGAAATAGATGGCTGGGGTTCTCCGGACCAATAGTATTCAACATGAACCAGTACGGAGTAGAATATTACTACCAAGGTACAGTATGTATATAAAAGCTTAAGCATTACATAGGCAATGGTTGAGTTCATGACTATAAGCTTATATACTCTTGCAAATTACCATCTAATGTTAAATCATATAAAGACCCTAATAGTCTTATAGAAAGCCTACTATCTAACTCAAAAAGATATCAAGACGGTCATTTCTAGCTAATATAGTATTAGATTAGTCCACAGCCATCTACCTCCACCATAACATACTATCTCAAACCATATTGTCATACTCTTCAGTGCCTTTATTTACCTCCTGATTTAATCCAGCTCCCCTGTCATGGACCGCCTCACAGTCACGCAATTTTGCGACACCATCAGAGCTGCTGTGGCTCAGCATAGCATCGCATACGAAAGGATCGTTTCTGTTACTATCAGATGGAACACCGACGATGGCGGAGCACACCTGGACGCTGCCCAGATTCCAAGATATCCTACGTGTGTTCCAATTTCCTCTTGCTACCGAAATCATCCTTCAGGCAGAGGATAGCACCGTGGGCTGGACTCTGCGGGATGAAATCCGGAAGCTTTTTGCGACTGCCAGGTCCCACGCTAGTGGGAGAAGTCTCGTCATCATCCATTATGCAGGTCATGGGATGGAGCTTAGAGGCAGGTTCCACTTGGTGGATCGTCGTGTCAATGGAAGGACTTGCGACGCCATGCGATACATGCTCGACCTGGCCTCAGAAGAAGAGTATGACCTTCGTGATGTCAGCAACGTCGACGTTCTCTTTGTGCTCGATTGTTCTTACTCCATTACATATGGCAACACGTGAGGCATCTACTATGTAATGTAGTGGCAGAATCGTCGAGATCATATCCGCGACGGCTAGAGACAACCCAAGAACCAATAGTCCCCCAGCAACTACGTTCACGAACAAGATCCTGGACGAAGCCCGTCGCCGCCACGGAGATGGTCACGAGTACATTGAAATCGCCAACCTCGTTGAGACGCTCAAAGCGCAGGGCACCGGTGTTATATCCCCTACCCATTGCCTGAAAATAGGCGCAGCTTCCGTCTGCATCCCGCTCACCGGGGTGACCGCTATCGATCCCACTATTATTCCTCCTAGTCTGCGAGCTGTCTTCCGCGTTCAAATTTGCGGACAACGTGACCTTTGCCGACGTGGTAATGTTAATTGACTGTATGCGCTGCCTCCCGGCAATCACCCTGGAAGGGATCTTCCCGACGGGGTCGATGTGCTGTATCCTATCGTCTGCGTATTCCGTGTACTCAAAATTGGCCGGAATGAAAGGTTATGCGCTAATTACCGAAACGACTGGATCAAATCTGGTTGTTTTAAAAAATATATATATATATATATATTGGGTGAGTGGTTGAACCTGGTGGGGGAGTTGCCATGGAACTACCTGTATTTGATTAGCTTAGCTCTTAGTTTCCTGAAGAATAAAACGTTGGACTTCCACCAACACCTTGCTTCTGACATGCTTCTTGTCACATTTTCGACTCCTCTTTATTAACTCGAATTCAGTCTGCGAATGCTCAACTTCTCAGACAGTGTGTGAGCCAGAGGGCAAGTGTCTCAAAGATGCCGCCCAGGAGGTCTCATACCAAGTCCCGGTACGGTTGCGACCAGTGCAAGAAGCGACGCGTTAAGGTAGGCTTCAATTTTCTATCCCGCTTGATTTTCGCTCGTTGTCTTGTGTCTAACATGCCTAGTGTGATGAACAAGGCCCACCATGTTCCAATTGCATCTCAAGGGAGATAGAATGCACCTACTCCAAAGCTCCTGTAGCCCGTGGCCTATCTCATGCACAAGCAGGCCCAGTGCCCGTACATAGCACTAATACTAGTCGACACCCTGATCAAAACTACTCACACGTATCCGATACACCTCCTGCAGGCTCTTCAAAGGTCCCCGAGCTGCGCGGTCTAGAGTTGATGCACAAGTTCTCTACAGAAACGTATCAGAGCCTCTGTAATTCCCCTTCAGACTATTACAGTTGGCAAATGATCATTCCGCGACAGGCACTTAACCACCAATTCCTCATGAGTGGCCTTCTTGCAGTTGCTTCCTTGCATATTGCCTCCACCATGGATCCCCCCGGAGCGCTCACTTATATCAACACGGCTCTGGAGTACCATAGCCAGACCCTCACATCTTTCCGGCATGCAATAGATGACATCAACCCGGAGAATTGCGATGCCGTCTTTGCCCACTCCGTCGTTACCACAGTTCTTAGCATCGCGCTTCCGCAGCTGACTACCAAGAAGGATGACAGCCCCAGCATGACCGAGAATATCATCGTCGCGTCTGAGCTCCTCCAAGGCGTAAGCAATATTCTCAACATCTGTCGCCCCTGGCTAAAGTTGAAGATGTTTTTCTCGGGATCTGGGAAGAAGTTTTGGGAATGGTCAGCTGCGGCTCTGGACGATGAGACAGAAGCAGCACTGAACAATTTAGTCAAGCTGACAGATGACATGAAAGATAACCCTGACCTGAAACGTATTATCCAAAATGCGCTCGTGCTTCTCCGTCAATGCTTTACAAGGTTCGCCCACAGCAAAGACATAGCATCCGTCCTTGCCTGGCTCGCCAGCGTCGATAAGGAATTTGTGGGGGTTTTGAGATGCCGCCAACCGGTCGCCTTGCTGGTTTTGATGCACTGGGGGGCATTGTTACATGAGCTTCACGGGAAAGTATGGTGGGGTCGGAATTCAGGCTCAGCATTAGTTTTGGAGCTGCTAACTGAATTACACCCCCATCGCGCGGAATGGGGAAACGCTTTCCTGTGGCTAAAGCAAAAGGTTGGCCTAGAAAGGCCTTCTTCTTCTGCCCGGCCAGAGGTTAGGAATAATCATCATCCTTACAAAGTGATTCCGTGAGCACAGATACTCGGCAGATATACCACTAGCATCATCGCTCGCTAGATCGGAATCTAATCCTACAATCCCTAGAATAGACTGGGCCATACATGTAAGCATGAACTGTAAGTTCATATCCACACACACACACACACACACACACACACACACTTTACGTTATTCACATTTGATGCCAATAATGATTAGGCCCGTCTTGTTTCCCCACAAAAAAAAAACGAAATTGAAGGATAGATACATCATAACGATCAAACAGACAATATGTACTAGAGGATATTCCGATGTACTAAAGCTTCGCCATTTTCTCTAATGTCCTCTTATAAATCTCCTTGGTACGTGCTGCGTTGAACTTATCAACCTCATGTCTACACGCTGTAAAGCTCAAGGGCCCACCCATTTGTCTGAGCCAGGATGATCGACCACACTCGAACGCCCAGTTACGGGTTGCAACCTTGACCAGCTCCGCGAGAAATGACTGTGGTATGGTCTTGTCTTGGACAAAGGTAATGGCGGGCAACTGTTGCCGATACTCCTCTGGGGCACTAGAATATGCCAGATTCAAGAAATCATCGAACGTCAAGGGGAAATAGAGTTCGGATCCAATCTGGACTATGCCCTGTGTCCTCGCCGCCGCATGTAACAGACAAGCGTTGGCCACAAAATCAACGGGGATTTCATCGAGGATATTCGTGCCACTTGTGTATCCCTGTGCAGCATGCCAGATCTGTTTTCCTCCGCGGTCCGAGAGCAGCAGAGATGCAAATTTATTCATGGGGGTGGACGCGTCAGGCCCATACAACGGATACGGATACCGCAAGGCGGATCCAAAGATAGTCGGGCGCACGAGGAGCAATGGCAAAACTGGGTACCGTTTCAGCATTAAACGCTCCATGAGGTACTTTGCCTGCGTATAGGATGAGGAGAACCGCTTCGTGTGAGGAGAGCTTCCCGTGAGATGTATCGCGGCAATTTCGTCCTCTGGATCTTCGTCAGAGACAGCGTATAACCGCTCCGCGACATATCCATCCGGCAGAAAACTATTCACGTAAGCAGTCGAGATCTGGATGAACAGCTTAAGCTTCGTGAACGACGACGCCATCCGAGCTAACTCCAGAGAGGGGAAACAGTTATTCTCAAGGGCTTCGACAATATTGGCGTCCAGCGCGATTCTTGCTCCTGCATGGATAACCAACGTCACCTCCTCACCCAACTGCCTCAGCGTTGCGGCATCGATGCCAAAATCCGGCTTCGTCATGTCCCCAACTACAAAATGGATCCTGTTCGAAGCCAACATCGTACTCGTTTGCTTTGGCATTGTCTTGCTCCATTTCTTCTCGGCTACCTCAGGAGAGCCACGGATGAGGACAAAGATCTTCCGCGTCGGAAGCTGTAGTGCCAACTTATATAGAAGGCATCCGCCCAACGACCCTGTACCACCCGTGAGGAAAACAGTATGGGATTGAAATGCACCGGCATACCCTCTCCTCTTGACCTCATCCTCATGCGAAGAAAACATCAAAGGGCCCGTCGCCATCATCGACGATATCAACCAACTCAGTTGGGAAATGTGGAATACAGAACTGCTATAGGACGGCTGCTGCCCACACGGGGGAAGGTAAGTAGCATATCTCTCTAGGTATAATGACCCTCTGACAATGTTACAACGGTAGATATATGGCTCCCGTCCCGGTGTATATGCGAATATACACCGTTTGGCAGGGTGCATGTGTTACCGAGCTTGAAGTGTCTTGTACGACATATTTATTCCTTATTATCTTTTTTTTTTTTTTTTCTCCCGTGAGTTTCCTCTGCGAATTAGGAGAAACGTGAACGTGCATCTACAAGACAAGTAAGTATCCAGATGTCTGTGCTGTTGTATTCAATAAGTCCGTGGATAGATGGATATATAGGACATTACTTAGTATATCACCATGTAACTAATAACTAATTACAATACCACTTTATTAAACTCAGCCAGCCAGCACTGAGGTACTTTATGTAGGGTCACTGAAAAAAAAAAATACTCTGAAGCCACCCACCAAAAATATGATAAAAACATAAAGCTAGTATCGGGCCGTGTTTGTGTCAAGAGCAATACTCAAGTACTCACTAGGTGTCCACCCGTGGATAGTGGTGGAGCCCAGCGTGACTGAGCAGAAAACTGATGAGACACAGCACATGAACCGGTACCACACCTCTCTATATATCCAGGGTCATCCTGTGTGACAGGTATAATTCTCTGACACCAGATATCCCCGTACAGCCCTCCTTTTGTTTTCCATGTGATATCAGGGTCCTTGGGAGCCTTGAATCCTTTGATAACCTGCTTACTGGTATGTTGGAGTAGGTAAGGTCAAGGAGAAATCGCTAGAATAGAGAAAAGTCAAGAGAAGTTGAAAAAGAAAACAAAAAAAAAAAAAAATTACATCTCTCAGTGAAGGCAAAACGTACATCTATAGAGAAAGAGTAGTAATATATTCTGTCAAAGGGAGCTCAGGTATTTGCAAAGTCCAGAGCGAAAGGGACATGAAAAAAAAAAAAAAAAAAAAGGGTTTACGAAGTCTTATTTGCACCACCCCCACACCAACAACGGCCTTCTCCTTCGCGTTCAACCTGGACAAGAATATCCATGCCCTTTTCGCGGAGGTACTCAGTAGTTCGTTCGCGGACGTCTTCGAGATCGGCCGCACGTGAGGCAATGACGTGGATTACGCCCAAGACAGGGCGAGTGTGTTTTTCATGTGCGTGATCATGGTTGTGGTTGTGATTGTGACTGTGGTCGTGGTCGTGGTCGTGATCATGATTAGGGCTATGTGTATATGGATCGCTGTGCGTATGTGTACGAGTGTGACTGTGATTGTGACTATGACCATGGTTGTGGGTATGACTGCAGCCATGATCATGGCCGTGATCATGGCTCGAAGACTTCGGTTCAGTGTCATCCAACCAGAATTTGGGAACAGTATACCCCACTACACCTCGTAAGGTACTGACACCTGCCAGAGTTTCACGAACATTGTATTCGATATCAGCTGGTAAGGCGAGCAGCAAGGTCTTGGCTGTGCTGCTGACCAACGGCACAGCAGAGGCGAAAATCAAAATTGCAATTAAACAGGATGCAATCGGGTCATATCCTGACCAGCCAGAATAATGAACAAGAATGGTTGAGATCACAACAGCCACAGAACCCAGAGTATCCGCGAGGATATGGAGGAAGATGCCATGCATGTTTTCATTTCCGTGACCGTGCGAGTGACCGTGGCCATGGTCATGTCCGTGGGCATGCCCGTGTTCGAAAGCCATGATTCCCACGAGATTCACACAGAGACCTGCAAGGCTAACCACCAGAAGTTCTCCAAGGCGATGCATTTGGCTGCCAGATGACAATCTTTCGACCGCTTCATATATGATCTCGACGCTTATAATCCTGCAAAAGGTTAGATATGCATTTGGCATATATGACTTTGGGTGTATTTACATGAGAAAAATGCCGTTGGCGAACCCAGAAAGGGTGTCTACTTTGCCATAGCCGTACGGGAACCTTGTGCTTGGGGGCCATTTGCTCATGACAGCAGCACAGAGACCAACGACAAGGGCCAGGCAGTCAAAGAACATGTGAATACTATCACTGAGTAGTCCAAGGGACCCCGTGGCAAAGCCGTAGGATAATTGGACAAGCATGAAGCCAAAGTTCAGACTGGCATTCGTTAGTACCGGTGTGACCAAGTCAAGAAAAGGAAATACCTCATGAAATAGAAGATGCGGCGCGAATCACTCTCCTTGAGTATGCTATACAGTAGCGGGTACGGCTCACTATACTGCAGAATGAGTTTCGTTGCTCGCGATGCCTCGACTCTAGAGCGGTCATGATGGTGAGAATGTACCACAAGGCGGGAATGTCTGTCGTCATATCTGGCCGCAAAGAAGCATACGGCGGCCAGAAAGCCGCGGAAAATATAAACTATGTAGATATCAGAGCGGGCAGGCGGAGAGCAGAATATGGCAGCGCTTCCGGTAGCTACAGCTAGACCAATCTTGTTTGGGCTGGACAGATCAGAGGGAATAAGATACGCGAGGCATGTCGCAAATGACCCCGCGACTGCCAGTAGATATGCAGCAGCCGAGATGTCACAGGTGAGTTTTCCTGCCACGATGGACACGAGAAGGGCCGAAAGGCCAGATAGGATAGCTATGAGTGAATCACGGTAAGAGATTTCCGTATTTGGGGGTACTTGCGACGAGTCAAGACCTGTTCCAGGTACCGAGCCAGACTGGGTGATAGCGGAGAATGGGGGACGCAGGAGGAAGACCGAAATGAGAAGGGCTATGTAGCCGAAGAGCGGCTGACTATCCCAGGGCGAATTGATCCCCAGAAAGCTAAACAAAATCGCCGCGGGAAGAAGTATTACCGTCAATTTCTTGAGGTTGAGCTTGCCCTTTGAACGCTGGCTCCGGACCAATGTTGGGATCCCAGCCCCCACCGCAAGAGCCATGGCAAATGCGACAAGAAATCCGCCTACTTTAAGAGTGGCATATATCGGTAATGAGATTGAGCAGATTTGTGTGAATGTGACATGGGCTGTGGTTGCATCCAGTTTGGGCATCTTGGTCTCGGAACTATTTGCAGCTCGCTGGCTTAGGCGGACTAATTGACCACAACCGTACAATAGCAGTGTTCCAGCTGCCAGATTCCAAGTGTGTGAAGTAGCATGGTCTAATTTTCCAATTGATATCAGTGCACCCTCTTCCTGCGGTGTCCATTGGGCATAATGCTCGTAGTACCACGACAGAGCAATCCAGGGCAAAGCGATAATCAATCCCGCCACTACCTCCTCACTAGTAAACATATTAGCCCCGTCCACTCACACTTCGATAAACTACCTACTGTGATCTTGGCATCAACTCTGACTGTATCTTCGAGACAATAAGTCGTTCACCAGGTTTCACAAGGTCTCCGTAGGCATGGATAGTGGTGGGAGGCTCGATATGGTCATGGGGGGTTGAAGCGTGGGAATGTGAATGATGATGGCCACAGGGTTTCGAATCGTCCATATGGCCATTGGAATGATCTGTATCTGTCACTGGACGTGATAGGGGTTGTTGGGGAGAGGGTACGTCGTTGGATGATATGGAGTTGGAGAGGGGGGTGCGTGCCGGGCGTGCGGAGCGCGAGTGGCCATGCCCTCGTGAGTGACCAAAACCATATCCTTGCGGGAAAGAGGAAATTGTATCCGTGCTGGACACGGGAATCCCCGTCGCCATGGTCTCTGGTGCTAGGCTATATGCGATAACAGTTTGGAAGACAGGAGGCACCAGGCCAAGGACAGGAGATTTGACGGGCGGAGAAGCCAAGATCGGGACCACGCACGATGGTTTAGCGGGTCAAGAAGAAAGACCGGCCAGGCGATTGAGCACGAGAGAACGGCATAGCGCTAGAAACAAGCGACAAGCTGAACACAAAGGGAAGGACGTTCTCCCAGTGGCGATTGTATTGTTCAATATCGATCGCTACTAGTGGAGCTGGCTGGAAGTTGTGCTCGCTGCAGCTTCGGCGATAACGCGGGCTGCCACGTGATTATCGTATCGAAGCAGGTTATCTTCATGACAACATCTTCATCTTCAACATAGAATTATTCTGTGCGGATTATCTTCCATATGTTCATCTAGGACGCTCATTAACTCGCGTTATTCATCTCCAATGCCATGTTCTTTGCCTTCAGGCCACACTGAAGCAGCTCTACTCGTTTCTCTCTACGTGACGCGGGGTGGATCGGGCCAGCTTGCCTTCGCCTTGCGATTTGGACTCCGCCAATTCAACACAGAGCCTCTGGGGCACTCTTGAGCTCGAATTTTGCGACGCCCCTCCAGAATCCGAGTCGCAGGTTTCTGTTCCTGCTTTTCCCCTTCAATTGGGTTCAGACTTGTCCTTGGCCCTGGCTGATGATGCTGAAGCAATAGTCGCTCCTCTTCCATTATTGACTAGCCGCACTCTTCGTCCGCCATGATCGAAAGCGTGGTAGAAGTCGCCTTTTACATTTCGACGGCGGTGACCGTATTCATTTTCATGCTACCCTCCCAATACCAACCACAGCGCCCCAGCAGTAAAGATGTTTCTGACGAGCCCAAGACTACCGCGCAGGTCCTGGTGTTAGGTGACATCGGACGTAGTCCGCGCATGCAATATCATGCATTGAGCATCGCCAGAGGTGGTGGTCAGGTCGACATCATTGGATACCAAGGCAAGCAAAGGAATGAATGAAGTGAGCATATAACTACTTCCCTCGTTCTAACTACCATTCTACAGAGTCGGAGGTCCACCCGGAGATTTCGTCCCACCCTAGGATATCCATTGTGCCCCTACCTCCCCATCCGTCCTATCTACAAACGAGTAACAAGATCCTCTTCCTCCTCTTCGGGCCCTTGAAGGTCCTATTTCAAATGGTATCTTTGTGGTGGGTCCTGGCATATCGTACAAAACCTGCCAAATGGCTTCTTGTCCAGGTTGGTTTCCTCTAGGCTCCTTCATTTGAAATGGCTTCTAAATCCTCATCCTCCCATTCTTAGAACCCACCTTCTATTCCAACTTTAGCGATCGCGTCACTCGTCTGCTTCTTTCGGCAAACCCGCCTAATCATTGATTGGCATAACTTTGGATACACTATTCTGGCTCTGAAGCTTGGGGGCAGTCACCTGTTGGTCAGGCTTTCGAAGTGGTACGAGAAAGTGTTTTGCAAATACGCCTCTGCGCACTTTTGTGTAACCAAGGCCATGGCATCAGTCCTGAAAAATGAATTTGCCCTAAGCATGCCTATTTTGCCGCTGCACGATAGGCCAGCAAGTGATTTTCAACCGATTTTAAATGTCGAAGAACGCGAAAAGTTCCTTCTGTCTCTACCGGAGACAGCCCCCGTGCGCCACTTGATTAAAGATGGTAATCTCAAAGTGATTGTCAGTTCGACCTCCTGGACCCCGGACGAAGATTTTTCGCTCCTCATCGATGCTCTGTGCCAATATTCGAAATTGGCAAGCACGACAAAGCTTGATCTGCCTCAAATTCTTGCGATCATTACGGGCAAAGGGCCCCAGCGTGATATGTACGTCGAACTCATTTCAGAATTGCAAAAAGCTGGCAAACTCAAAAAGGTCACAATCTGCACCGCATGGCTGAGTACGAGCGACTATGCACGTTTGCTAGCTTCCGCATCCCTAGGTGTCAGTTTACACACTAGTAGTAGCGGCGTTGATTTGCCCATGAAAGTTGTGGATATGTTCGGTTCTGGATTACCTGTGGTTGGATGGGACCGTTTCGAGGCGTGGCCTGAACTGGTAACCGAGGGGGTCAATGGGAGAGGCTTTGGAAGCTCCAACGAACTTGCAGAACAATTGGTTGACCTTCTTGGAAACCCAAATAAACTTGAGAAGCTCCGTACCGGTGCACGGAACGCAAGCGCTCACCGTTGGGAAGATGAGTGGAATCCGGTAGCCGGGAAGCTTCTAGGGCTTCTATGATGCAACCCCAATCAGTGATTCATAGCCTGACGGTTTAAGGGTCATATAGGTTTAAGCACGATTGGCTTTATCCACTATGGACGAAACTTTCCATTGCAGTAGATACAGGTATCAAACACGCTTGACAGGTTGTTGTAGGTTTGTTGGATATTCTGAGGTGTGGAGAGGCCAATCAGGCCCTCGTCGAGGTATTCGCTTTTGCACACGGAGCAGAACTTGGATACCCCAGGTTCCTGGATCGCGAGAAATGTCAGATTACACCGGACTATATATTTGTCAGCAAGGGCTCAACTTTCAGCGCCATAGATAATAGACCACGCTTTCTACACACCAAAAACATGACCAGCAGCACACTGTGCTTCCTTGGCGGAGTCCCAAGCAATACCAGCATCGCAAACTTCACAATGCTCGAAAATGTCATGGCCCGATGTACCTAATTGCTCCGGCGACTTCGGTCCAATGACGTTTCCAGTTGAAGAAGATTTCGCAATCTCTTCCGTCAGATCCACACCCGTAGACGCAGCCAATCTCTCAAGGACCTTTCGGGCCTGGGACAGCAGCTCAGAATTGTGAGACTGCACAATGGCACAACATGCCGCGGCATAGAGAATCTTCGGGCATAGGTTTCTTGTTTCATTAGTTGCCTCCTCATCCTGAAGGACGTACTGGATGACCATGTCACGTCGTTCCCGCAAGAAATCCGCGGAGCGATTTAAATTTCCTCGACCAAAAGGCAGAGTCTCAAGCGCAGCTGCGTCTCCGTTAGGCGTAGAGAAAAATAGTGTGAGCCGTTCTTCAGTATTAGTGCGATATTCGACCATATCCCCCGGGTGCATCGTTAAAGCAACTATAACAAGCCCACCGGTAGATGCCACACCCCAAATCCGCGAAACTGCCAGCCCTCCAAGATCGCGATCAATGTCAAATTGTTCACGAATGTCATCCACTCGGGTTTGCCACGGGGGACGAGACAGCTGTCCGGCCTCTTCGATACGCGATAGCGGCACGGCAGCCGTGTACCCTCCAACCGTGGCTAGATGCAATGTTGACGGTCCGGACTGAGTAGCAGATGCAACAGTCATTCCTTTCGAATATAAGCAACAGAGCAACAAAGCCGCGAAACAAAAACATACCACTTATTCTCTCATAATGCCAACTATCGCCATACTCTCTACCATTGTATCCAGGTTCGAAAAATGTGTAATGGTGGAGGCGTGGTTTTGCAGCCATTGACGTCTTTCCGTGATATGCTTCTTCTGGGAGCGTTATGAGGGCAAGGCCAGCAGCAACTCCCGTGGCGATTGATAACGCGCCAGATACAACCTAATAGATAGGTTAGACAAATTTTTTAGCTCTCCCCTTGGGATATCGTTTGGCATATTTTTCCACCTACCTCTTGTGTCCACCGTATAGGTCCGGTGAACTGAAAGTCCTTCAAATGGTCGATATACGCCATACTATTCTCTTCAGTATTGCAAAGCAACTTGTACCGCGGTTCATTTTCAAGATCCTGCTGCAGTGGTGGTATGGTAACACTGAGTTTGACAAACTTCAGGTTTGGGCCATGTGTAGCGGCAACATTCAACGTCGCCGCGCAGATCCCTCCGTCTTGATTATTATGCTGAGAACTGTATATCCACGGTCCACTTGCCAATGATGAAAGTTTGGCCTGAGACTGGAGTGCCGAAGCAAACACTGAGCCCGGTTGAACGACTTGGCTATACCCCTGGGAGACATCAAGAGAAACCGTAGAGAGTACCTCTACTTGAAAGGATCCTGCAGGATCTGGTTGGATATAAGGAAGCTGGAAACGCAAAAAGATGACAACATTATCATCATTGGCCGCTGCGAGAAGGGGAATGCCCCAACGGCTTTCGGGAACAGGATAAGGTCGGTCTGGAGTTGGGATCTTGAGAGGTGGGGTCCAGGTAAAAGATCGTATGTTGGTCTTTTTGAGTCTGGAGTTATGACCGTCAATCGACGCATCAAAATACTGTTCTAAAGATGAGTTAATAATGGCAGTACGAGTCCATTTAGCCTGCGTGCCAACAGCTTCGTAGAGCGACAAGAGCATATTTGACGTCAGTACCGCCAAGACACTGCGCTTGTATCTCGCAAGACCAGGAGGTGACCAGGCCAGCCCGGTGACCGTGCTAAGAGACTGTTCGGCTCCAATTGAGAAGTTGTCCCGGCTTTGGGGGAAAATAACAGGCCATTCATTGCTCGTGAAAACATTTGCTCGAAAGCGCGTGGTATGCCAACCATTGCTGAATGGGTTGGAAGCAGCGCCATTTGATTTTTGTCCCGATGGAGTTCTTGGTGTCTACTCAGGGTCAGCTAGGCACTCCCCAGATTTGTAGGGTTTGTGTCGTTTTGTTTACTAACTAAAATCTGAACGTATTCACCTGTTGCAATTGCGATCTCGCCTTCATCCGAGCATGAGATGCAATTGTAGCAGGAGGGGAACACTTGTAATTCGACAGGATCCAACATCGTTTCAGCATATGCCGTTGGAGGAAATGAATTCCATGGTACTCAGGGTGTCAATATTGAAGAATCGATTGTTCTATTCGGAATCGCATATTGCAACCACCGTCAAAGATGAAGCATGGAATAATATTGCTGCGGCTGCTTTGGGTTAGTCGGCGGACCAGTTATATCACGTGAGAGTCCACAAAGGCGGTCAGTCACGGTTTCCCAGCTGAGGTAGTTTCCCCATTGAGCTAGTTACTCCGGCCCCGAGACAACCACTCAATCTACCTTAATTATTTCCTTGGTTCATTCGGCTGGACCCAAAAAAAGAAGCGGTCGTTAGATCTGCAACTCCTCTCTCGCTCTCTCTCTCTCTCTCTCTCCGTCTCTCCCGCCCCCCAACCTACTTTTGCTACTGCTTCCTGTTCATTTTGAACGCTTCACCATATCATCTTCTCCTCGGGTCTTCGTGTGCTTCAACCTTTCAACTTCCCCTCAATATCCTCCCTGATTCTGGCTCCTCATCCCTCTCGGCCCCGCCAGTCGCATCTTCAATTACAAAGCGGTCCACATCCTCTGCGTCATCCTCATTATTCTTAAGATCTCCCGACTAGTCTGCCTCATTCTCTTCAGTACCCCGCCACTATGTCGACCTCTGCACGCCGTCGTCTCATGCGTGACTTCAAGGTATGAAAGTTTCTTTTCGTCAAGCTTAGGCCTCCATGTGGCTAATTCACTCCCTTCCATTCCAGCGTATGCAAACTGACCCCCCTGCGGGTGTTTCGGCATCTCCAATCGCCGATAATGTCATGACCTGGTAGGATTCGTCTATCGTCCACCTCTTAAAACCACGCTCCTAACAGTGCGTTCCTTATAGGAACGCTGTCATTATCGGTCCCGCTGATACTCCCTTTGAAGACGGAACATTCCGTCTCGTGATGCATTTCGAGGAGCAGTATCCCAACAAGCCCCCAGGCGTCAAGTTTATCAGCCAGATGTTCCATCCCAACGTTTACGGTACCGGTGAACTGTGCCTCGATATTTTACAAAACCGATGGAGTCCAACGTACGACGTCGCAGCAATTCTCACCAGTATCCAGAGGTAATTTCCCTCTTTTCTACTACTTCCATGGCCGGCCTGGATTCTAACGAATATCTTCTGTGTGCAATAGCTTGCTCAATGATCCGAACACATCGTCCCCAGCCAATGTGGAAGCTTCAAACCTCTACAAAGACAACCGAAAGGAATACATCAAACGTGTGCGTGAGACTGTCGAGAAGAGCTGGGAGGACTAGGTCCGGTGGAAGGTTGAATGAAGTCTTTAGAACAGTGACGTTGTGATGAAACAGTTCCTTCTTTCATTTAGCGGCAACCGGCCGGGTTGTTTGATACGTTGATGACATGATTGATACCATCTTGGTCCTGCAAGGAGGAGGAGAAGGAAGATTTTACCCGGATAAACATGCACAGCGCGGGGTTATGGCGCCTGGTATTTAATGATAACTGCATTGTTTAGTTTATTGTTTGCATAATGCATAAAATGGCCTGTTTTTTTATGTCCATAGCCACTTGATACCTGAAGAATCTAATTTGTGACTCAGATATTTAATTTGCAGAGGATTTTATACCCATGCCTATCATTCAGTCAAAGATATTGATGCGGGAGGATTTGTTGGTTTTGAGGTGTTTAGATGGGCGCCAAGAAACCATTCTAACGGGTGTCGAAAGATGGACTGTTGCGACAACTTCCTCCGGAATTAATTATTCAGTCTCCACGCTTGCTGCCTCTCCGCTCCCCCCCTTCAGTACAAGAGATCCTCTCTCTTTCTCTCTCTCTCTCTCTCTCTCTCTCTCTCCAAGTGTTGGATTCTATTCCCCCTTCCAATCTTCAGTATTGTCGTCCACTTCAACCTCACACCCGCACAGCTGGAGGTATTGTTCCTGTTTAGCACGTGGACCCCTGACCCAAATAACGCCCGCCCACCAATCCTAAATCCAAACAAGCTTGTCTTCGCGACTCCTGTTGGCCTGAACGACGTGCTTCTTTCTATCTCCCCTCCCCTCGGGGCCTTGCATGTCCCCCTTTCCCTCTCCATACGCTTCTCGAGCTCCGGTTAGAGTGAAACATGGCGTGAGTTCTGGCGATTCACCGCAACATTGCCCCCCCTTCCCTTCCCCTCCCCTCCCTCCGTCCCGGATAAGGCTGATAGTCTTTTGGAATCACAGGTCATCTGGCTCACACGTCTCCAACACCATTAAGGGTAGGCAGACCCCTTGTCGTACCGCGGTCGCAACAAAGCTAACGGTGTGCCTGTAGTGGTTGCGAGGTTTCGACCCCAAAACAAGGTTGAATTGGCGTCCGGTGGACAGCCGATCGTCGATTTCGAAAATGAGCAGTCATGTTCTATCAACGTGAGTCGAAGTTTTGCGGAACAGTCGATCAAGGTTGCAGGGGATACTAAGTGCGGAACAGTCGAAAGAAGCCGCCGGGAGCTTTACCTTCGATCGGGTCTTTCCCATGGATTCGAAGCAACCCGACATCTTCAACTTTTCGATCCGGCCCACGGTAGACGACATCTTGAATGGATACAACGGAACCGTCTTCGCATACGGTCAAACCGGTGCAGGAAAGTCATACACAATGATGGGTTCGGATATTGACGATGAGGTGGGCAAGGGTATCATCCCACGGATAGTCGAGCAAATCTTCGCCAGCATTCTCACCAGTGCGATTAATATCGAATATACCGTCCGGGTCAGTTATATGGAAATTTATATGGAACGTATTAGGGATCTACTCGTGCCCCACAATGACAATCTGCCCGTCCACGAAGAAAAGTCCAGAGGTGTCTATGTGAAAGGCCTACTCGAGGTTTACGTCTCCAGCGTGCAGGAGGTGTATGAAGTGATGCGTCGCGGTGGCGCAGCAAGAGCCGTCGCTGCGACCAACATGAACCAGGAATCATCCCGATCGCATTCTATCTTCGTCATCACTGTCACCCAGAAGAACCTTGAGACGGGCTCTGCGAAAAGCGGTCAACTCTTCTTGGTCGATTTGGCAGGTAGTGAGAAAGTTGGCAAGACCGGAGCCAGTGGCCAGACGCTCGAGGAAGCCAAGAAGATCAATAAGAGTTTGAGTGCCCTAGGAATGGTCATCAACGCGCTTACAGACGGCAAATCGACGCATATTCCATATCGTGATTCGAAGCTGACCAGAATCCTGCAGGAGAGTTTGGGAGGTAACTCGCGAACCACTCTGATCATCAATTGTTCTCCCAGTAGCTACAACGATGCGGAAACTGTCTCAACCTTGCGCTTCGGAGTGCGAGCCAAGGCGATCAAGAACAAGGCGAAGGTCAATGCCGAACTAAGCCCCGCGGAGTTAAAGCAGTTACTTCGCAAAGCCCAAAGCCAAGTCACCAACTTCGAAAGCTATGTATCCGCACTGGAAACCGAAGTCGGTGTCTGGCGAAGTGGTGAGGCCGTTCCCAAGGACAGGTGGACTCCATCCAGAGGCTCCGAAGCTGTTGGCGCAGCCAGAGCTGAGGCCCGCGCTCCGCGACCTAGCACTCCATCGCGCTTGCATGAGGCCAGAGCCGAGACCCCGCGGCCAGATTCGCGGCTGGGCGACCGATCTAGCACACCTAGCCTCGTTCTTGAGAAAGACGAAAGGGAGGAGTTCCTTCGCCGCGAGAATGAGCTTCAAGATCAAATTGCGGAGAAGGAGACCCACATCGCAAACGTCGAAAGGGGTCTGCTTGAGGCAAGAGAGGAGCTGAAGTCTCTCAAGGAGAACTCTGCCCGCTCCGGCAAAGATAACGAGAAACTCAGCGGCGAAGTAAACGAGCTTCGTATGCAGCTGGAGAAGGTGTCCTACGAGAGCAAAGAAGCTGCGATCACCATGGACAGCCTCCGGGAGGCAAACTCTGAGCTGACTACCGAGTTGGATGATGTGAAACAACAACTCCTCGACGTCCGGATGAAGGCTAAGGAGACCAGTGCTGCGCTCGATGAGAAGGAAAAGAAGAAAGCCGAGAAGATGGCCAAGATGATGGCTGGGTTCGACCTGGGCGGAGACGTGTTCTCCGACAACGAGCGCAAACTTCAGGATCTCATCCGCCGTGTTGATTCGCTGCACAAGGTCAGCGAGCTAGGTGAACCCGTAGCTCCAGACGACATCCTGGAACTCCGAACCAGCCTACTAGAAACCCAAGGGTTCATCCGACAGGCGGAGCTCACTATGAATGATCGAAGCGAACTCAACGTGCTGCAGGACAGCCGCAGAGCGGAACTTGAACAGAAACTGGCTAATCTCGAGCAGGACTATGAGAGTTTTCTGGCACGAACCCTGGGAGAGGGTGACCTGGAAGAGGTCAAGGAACGACTAGAAAAGGTGTACATAACACGGAAGGAGAGCGAGATGGAGGCTGCCTCGGAGCTGCGGCAGGAGATTACCCGCAAGGATGAGGAGTTGAACAAGCTCCGACAGTCCCTGGCAGACTCGCAATCTCGAGTTTCGACGAACGGGGCCGCTGGCAAGAACTTGCAGCAGCAGATTGCGGAATTCGACGCCATGAAGAAATCGCTGATGCGCGACCTTCAGAACCGCTGCGAACGCGTGGTGGAGCTGGAAATCTCCCTGGATGACGCGCGAGAACAGTATAACAACGTGCTTCGGTCATCGAACAATCGCGCTCAGCAGAAGAAGATGGCCTTTTTAGAACGCAACCTTGAGCAGCTGACCCACGTGCAGCGACAACTCGTCGAGCAGAACAGCAGCCTCAAGAAAGAAGTTGCCATCGCAGAGAGGAAGCTCATTGCGCGAAACGAGCGGATAGCAAGCTTGGAAGCCCTGCTCCAGGAGAGTCAGGAGAAGCTGACCCAAGCCAATCACCGGTATGTCCTAACTCTATGTCTTATCCATCCCAAGATATAAGTACCAGCTGCACTAGCAGCAGGAGAGTAAAAATAGTACAGTTAACTAATATGCTTTGTTTTTTCCCCGAACAGCTTCGAAGCTCAACTCACAGCCGTCAAAGAACGGCTCGAGGCCGCCAAGCAAGGTTCGACAAAAGGTCTTCCAAGCATGGATAGCAACGGCGGGTTCAGTTTTGGCGGCTCAAGAATCGCAAAGCCGCTGCGCGGTGGCGGCGGCGCAGGCAATGAAGCAGTTACAACTGTCCAATCGCAGGATTCCGGAAAGCGCACGAGTTGGTTTTTGAATAGACGATGATCTACGATTCTCTTTTACTGTCTCTTTTTATCCCTTCTCTGCAGATCTTTTTAAACAGAAAGCACAAAGACAAACAGACAGACAGACAGACAGACAAACTCCATTTTCAATTCCTTGGAAATGCCAGCCAATATTGTATTCATTTCTTTTGAATTTTGGTTTTTCTCTCTTCTTCTTCTTCTTCTTCTTCTTCTTCCTTCACTCTACATACTCTTCCTATTTACCTTCTCTGGCAGTAAGGGCCCTGGTATGATTATTGGGTTGAATTGAGGAAACACTACCACCTGCACAGGTACCTAGGTAAACATGGGATGGATGGACCTTCTTCTCGTCGTTTTAAGAGAACCTCCACCTTTTTGTATCGATGACTATTCTTTCCTTCTTTCCTTCTTATGCCTTTCTGTTGTGTTCAATAGTTTCATGCACAGTCTCTTGTCTCTTTTTTTTTTTTTCTGTCTTTTGAGAACCTCGTCTCTCTCTCTCTCTGAGGATACGTACCGAGGTATTATTATCCTACAACAGGGTTCTTCGTAACTTCAACGAAGTGAAGAGAGAAAAGGTCCTCGCAGATACCCACCCATGTACATGAGAAGATAAAGCGGTTGTATGGAATGGAATGGAATGAACAGGGATGCGAATACACAGTAGAGGAAACTTGTTGATGATAATCTACTTCCTTTTTTTTTTTTCTTCACTTCTCATGTTAATGTTAAGCAAACTGTATGGAGTGTGGTAAATTCCCGCATAGGTTGGGGTTGGTTGTCCCTAGAGAATAAATGTATATACTCTTATATATATATATATATAAAATAGAAAAAATAGAAAAAATAGAAAAACTACAAGAACTGAACCCCAGATATAACAAGTCAAGACATGCTTGATTGCGACCGAACTGCCTAGGTAGCTATATACATCTGCAATATGATAAAAGAACATCAAATATGTTGCCTGTCCTGTCCCACTCGTACCGTCGTCCCCTTAGGCTTACCTAGCGACAAGATTAACCAACCGATTGAGAACACCGTCACCACTCCGCACAGGGGTATCAAATCAATGAATGAAATAGAGAAATACAGTAATGTTGGAAATGTAAGAGAAAGGTCAACAAAGGGAGTCATTCAGGGGGTTGTCCCATTACATAAAGTGAACACCAAGAAAGCCAGTGTTGAACGATAAGAGGGAGAAAAAAAAAAAAAAAAAACGCCAGCAACAACGCCTGTAGCCATACGCAAGAAAGCAAAACAAGAAAACGAAACAGAGACACTACCTAGTTGATCTATTCAACTAGGCTGACATGGACGGCATGAAGCCCCATGGTCGTCACGATATGGTCCATCCAATCTGTTGTGGGGGGTTGTTTGGTCTCGGGGGTAATTAAAGACCGTATAATCAGACTCGGTCGGCCTGGAGATTTGGGAGGCGTGAGAGGTAGCTTAAAGGTTTTGGCTATTGGGTGTAGATGTGACTGATTGGGCGCCATATTGGCCACAAGTGCAAAGTTCTCAGAATCGATTGTTGTTCGTTGTTTCGGGTCTATGATCGCCACTAGATAGTTGAGAATCAAGAGGCCCAGGCGGAGACCACGGGTAAACAGCGAGGAATACCCGTCAAAGAAGAAATGCGGCAGAGGACCAACAAAGGCATCCCGTTCATCTTGCCCGGCTCGTAACATGGAGATCGACACCCCAAACTCCGTGTATATACCGCGAAGGGCGGCTCGAGTTGCCTGTACGTCTTGCAGCAATGTCGCTTGAAATTTAGCACCTTCCTTTGAGGATAGATCGTGGAGCTGCCGTGTCCGTTTCACATATCCGGGGATTTTGATCACCTCGAGAAATCCGCGTTCCACCACGTCCGTGTATAGCGATGAATTCGGTAATTTGGCATTGTCCGCGGCGATTTGCTCGTTGAGGGCGCGCCATTCGGGTTCCTCCAAAAAGCATGCCTCCCCTTCGACCAGGGCTGCTGTGATAAGGAAGTTGCGGTAGACAATATACATGGCACGACCGAATCCGGTGAGATGGGCCTCCGGGCCGCGGAGTTTCATTAGCGTGCGGATTCCGGATGCATGGCGGATCCAGGCATCTGAGCTGGTACAGTTGTGCTTCTCGAATATGGCTAATGCAATCGCGGATGCTAACACCTTGTCAGACTTTGCAGTTTCCTCGTCCGATAATAGAGTCGCGAGGCCGCGAAGTGCACGGATATATAGCGTCTGGGAGGCGTCCAAGTATCTGGTGTCGTCGTGCAGGAACCCCATGTAGGCGAAGGTGCAGGCGCGAACGGCCCAGTCAAAACAAGAATCCATCGACCCCCGCCTTTGATCGACATATTCGACCCAGTTGATAGGCACTCGGGATTCTGTACAGCGGAAGAAGCAAGGGAAGGAAGCGAGGACATAATTCGTGAAAATCTGGGTTTGTTGGGAGGAGATAGCTCGGACACTCAGCGACGGAGAGATGGCCTCATCGAGGGGGAGTGAAACGGTTTTGTATTCGAATTTAGAGAGAGAAGCGCGAGAAGGGACATCGGTATCTTTATCTGATGGGGGGGAATTGATGGATTTAGCGGGTTTCGCAGGTTGAGGCGGTACGGAGGAGGTCGGGGATTGTGAAGATGGTGGTGTGGACCGATATTGCTGACGCAGAGCAGGAACTTCATCTCGAAACTTGAAAACGCGGATCCTGCTCTGGCAAGGAATATTCTGGGTTTTGCATCGGGTGCAAGGAGATTTACCCGTGCACTAGTGAAGTGAGTTAGATTGCTGAATAAATCGCAGGAGTTGGGAGGTGGAGATGGTGATAAATAAGCTGGGGATTAGGTGAAATACTAGACAGAACTTAAGAGAAACTGTCCTTCAAGAATGCTAGGCGGCTCCACATTTATGCATACTGACAGCCAGTAAGGACCGAGAGGAGTCTGGGGGAAAGGAGGACAAAGCCAGCCCAGAATTGAAGAAGAATTGGAAGGGGAGGGGGGAACGAGAATCACGGTCGGAAGGGAGACAAAGCGCAAGTGGAAGGTAGGCACAGGGCACATCAGTGATGCGGAAGCGGGGGGGAAGAAAGGAAAGAGGGAGATAATCACATTGTGCCGCAGAATCCCAGCGTAGTGGTAACGAACCGCTAGTGAGCGGTGCTTGAAAGAGGGGATAAGAAGGGAACAATAAAACCAGTAAAAATAAGAGTCTAAGAGCAACCAACCTGAAGCTGAGCATCAACGCAGGCCTGACAGCCGCGCGGCACTCTGACCATGCTGGTCACAGATGATGAGGAGAGGAACAGACAGACCAGAGGGCAGAATCAGGAAAGACAGCATCGAGATGCACTTTCTATGAAAGAAAGGCGGAATATGGAGGGGGAAGGAGGAGGGAAATAGAGAGAAGAGGGGAGGTTAAAGAGGGAGAGAGAAAGAGAGAGAAGAAACGGATGGAAGAACGAGGGTCCTAGGGAAGAACAACCAGTAGCAGCAGGGGAAAATAAAGAAGATGAGGTATTGGGTTAACTTAAAGAGAGTGAAAGAGAGAGAGAGAGAAGTGAAGTGAGGGAGTAAGAAAAGATGAGATGGATGGCGATCAATCGGGAATCATCCGAATCTACTCCGGAGTGAGCCAGAGTTAGAGTAGATTCCAGTAGAATTAGAACTGGGAATTTGTGAAAAATAGACCGGCAAAGAGATACCGAAGAGAACCTGCGGAACTGCCTCGCTTACTATCAATCTTAATGGATGAACTGATCCATGGATTCAACAAAGTACCTCTTCCAGTTGCCACAGCGCCGGAAAAAGAAATATATTCCTATGTTCTTCTACCTAGGAATTATTTGCCTTGACAGAGAAGAAAATAACACTCAGATAAAGCATACATCAGATAAACACCCCATGGTGGTGGATCTGGACAGGCCACGCCAGGAATGGTTATGGGGAATCCTACTAAAACACAACAATACAGAGAAGGGGGCAAAAAATTTCAAGTTTCGGAAAATCACAGACATATATGCGCGCCGATTTCGCCAATAGAGAGGAGGAGGGAAACAGAAAGAGGTAGGGTAGATAGAGGTGTAGGTCGGCTGTTCATCATACCAGTCCATCATACAATGACAACGCACTCACAATAGTCTCGTCCCGCTTGCTACCTTCTTTGAACTCCTCCATATCCAGACTCCCATTCTCGTCCTTGTCCATCATGCGGAAGATCTTGCGAACGCGCTTCTCCGGTGTATCCTCGTCCTCGGGGAGTTTCACCATGGACCCCACCTTCGCACCAAACCATTAGAAGGCGACATATAACGGGGGGAGGGGGAGATAAAAACATACCATTTTATAGATCGCTTCCACAATGGCTAGCATCTCATCGTAGGTAATCTTGCCGTCCCCATCAATATCATACAGTTGGAAGGCCCAGTCCAGCTTGTCCTCCATCTTTCCCCGCGAAGTGACGGACAGCGCACAGATGAACTCCTTGAAATCGATCATGCCACTGTTATCCGAATCAAATACTCGAAATACGTAATTGGCAAATGAGGAGGGATCGCCAAAGGGGAAGAACTGTCGGTAGATCTTTTGGAACTCCTCTTTCGTCAATGTCCCTGATGGGCAGTCTTTCAAGAAACCTGAGAAATTGAAACAGCCAAGTCAGTCACCTGGATTTATGTACGTAGACATTGATAGCTTCTTCGTTTTTTGTTTTTCTTTTCTGGTCTTTTCTTTTTTGGTGTGGGTGTGGTTTCCCATTTCGGGGAGGTTATCTGTCTCCTAACTCCGGACGTACCTTTATACCATTGTTGCAGCTCCTTCTTATCGAAATGCGTCGCTTTCTGGAGCTCCTCCAGCTGGGTCGGGGATAACTTTGACTGTCTGGATTGAAGCAAAGAAAAAATAGAACTGTTAGAGACATGAACACTGGCGTCCCGGGTGATGCGGGGAAGAAAAAGAGGACTCGAAGGCTGTCAGTTCCCCACTCAAGACAGGGCCCCAGCAGCGCCATAATATGCATCTCATCCTGTGTAGTTGGCCGGAGAGGTCAAGGTGGGGGAAGTGGGAAAGTGACAGAGTAAAGGGAGAGGAACGCGTAGGGGAAGACAGAGAGAAGAAGAAAGGGAGGAGAGGCGAGGGGGGGAGGAGGGGGAGCAAACATAAAGGGATGCAGACAGAGAGAGAGCAGGGCCAAAAAAAAAAATAAGACAGGAGATGGACATACGATTTACCCATAATTAAAATCAAGCTTCAAGAGGTATGAAGAAATCCCTTTTGGATCTTCACCACAACTCAGTTTTAGACAGTCTATCATGCAGTGACGGGTGGGATTTTTTGGCCAAAGGACGGAAATGCGGAAGCCGCGGGGTAAAACGAGAGGCCAGGATTGATAAGATCGTGTGCCAGCCAGAGTGAGGGTGGGGGAAGAGAAAGTAGGAGGAGGCTTAGTATTACTTTTAACTAGTTGAACAAAATCAGAGAGATTTATTTTCCAGTCAAAATCAGATTCATCTGAAGCCGAGTTGGAGTGGCAAAAGATGATCTGCCAGTCGTTGCAGGTCCAGAACATTGCGAATCACGGCCTGAGGCCATCTTCCCAGTGACCTTTTAGCTCTATTCACCACCACCGCTGGGACTGGACCCTCTCTCTTTATCTCTTCCCCCTTCTCTTACTCTATGTACAAGGGGGACCCTCTCCCTGCCTTGAGAAAAAAAAAAAAAAAACCAACAGGAACGGACGCCAGGATATTAACAACACTCGCTCAAACAAAAAAAAAACCCTATATATCCCGCCCGACAAGGGATGCCATGATTACCGGAGGTGGTTCACCTTGTTCACTATGTTCGCTACTCTGGCTTTACGCTTGGGATGTATATCATTTGACGTAAGAAAAGGAAGTATTCGGCAACGCTCGACCATTTAGTCCACCTTGATGGAGCCGTAGATGCGTTGCACAAACGCCCAGCTGGCAAAGAACCCAATCGATCCTGTAGAGGGTTAGCTAACACTGCCACCGCCCACGTTCAGGGACAAGCGCACTTACCAGTGAGGATAAAGACCACGAATCCAATCAAGGCAGAGTAGCCCACATACAAGACTGCACCCGTAAGACCTCCAAAGCTAACCCGCGTGGCCCAGAACAGCAACGCGTTCAGGAAGACATAGACACCAGTCATTCCTGCTCCGGCAAACGCTCTCCAGTGCCACCGGTAGTTTTCGGCGCAGAGCAAGAAATACACCAACAGTACAGTTGTGGCCGCAGTGGTGATGATCATCAGACCGTAGCACAGGAACAGGAACCCAAACATGTAGTAAATCTTGTTAGTCCACAGAGATGTCATGATAAAGTAAAGCTCCACGAAAATCGCGCCGAAAGGAAGGATGCCGGTCAAAAATAGAGATGGAATGGTGCGCAGGCTACCACTCATAGGAGGGACCTGACGTGGGATCTGATTGACCTTGGTGGGACCTTCGATGGCCTGGGAGAGGGTTAGCGGGGGGGGGGGGAAAGGGCGCGACTGGATATCAAAGAGTGTCTACACATACCTGCTGCTTGAATCCGACCCAGCTACCAGCTACGCTCAGTGGCATACTGATGACGAACCAGATCAATACCAGGGCCAGCATTGTACCAAAAGGAACGGCACCGCTGGAACCCTTAGCCCAAACAAACAGATTGAGTAAGAAAAAAACACCGAAGATGGACCCCGGAACCAGCACGGGAGTCATAATGATGTTGCGCTTCCAGGCTTCGCCACCAAAAGACTTGTACACACGGGCTGAGACATAACCTCCGATAAACCCAAAGACAGTGTATATCAAAAGGATCGCAGTGGCAAGGAAACCTCGGTTCCCCGGAGAAAGAAGGCCAAAGAGGGCGAAGACTAGTTCAAGATTAGCACGAGGCCCACAAGCAAGGTTACTGAATACCACCTACCAACAGTAACACCAGTCATCATAAAGAGCTGAGCACCATTGCCAACAAGGACACTGAGGAGGAGAGGAGACTTGGGGCATCGGAAAACATCTCCATGGACCAACTTCCATCCCGAATCCTCCTGAATGCCGTCCTCGATGGCAGCGGATGTTCCGTCCAAATCCTCCAGGTTGATCATATCTAAGCGGTTGTACCGAGCAATGTCCTTCTTAAGAGCCCGAACAAGGATCATGCTCACCATACCGACTAGGAAGACGACAAAAACGGCCGAATTGATGAGAGAAAACCAGTGGATCTTCGGGTAGTGCACCTGCAGATACTTGTCCCAGCGAGTAGCCCACGGAGTAGGCGACTCCCGCCAGCTGATACTGTATGTCCAGGTCACCGGAGTGTCTCCATCCTCATTTAAATATACCGGACCACCTTCATCGTTACACACGGCAGTTCCATCTTCCAGGACTGTAGAGTCGCGTCGAGAATCGGGCTGAACAAGGACACCAATCACTCGGTACTTCTCCTTATTGCCGACTTGTACCACATGATAGTCAATAACAATATCAAAGTGGTTGTTCAAAATCGACTGTTCGTTCTCATCCAGCATTCCAAGAGCGAATCCGGGATTGTAGGCCTGAGGTTGGGTTCCAAGATGCTGCTGGGCCGCAGGAAGCCCATCCACCAACCAATTAATATTGTAACCCTGAGCTATTCTTCGATTGGTGAACTTGGCATTTCGAGACTCAAACATGACCCCGCCGCAAGCCGCTTTACAGCTCTCGTTCTTGCGCATATTTAACTCGAAGGGCGATGTCTGGATCCGGTCACCGAATAAAATACTGCCCAACGATTCTCGTACATCTTGAGGGCCGCCTTCCGGTACACAGAATTGGAACGCTGAGTGGTAATAGTCGTAGGAGAAGACGGAATGGAGTTGTTCGTCCTGCTGTGCTACTCCCGGCGTGAGGTGGTTCACGTACAGCGGCACCGACTGGCCTTCATCGTATGAAGTGGGTGCTACACCCGGGAGATAAAAGGCTGCTGTAAGGGACGGCGCAGTGAGGAGGAGGCTAACTAGAGGCGAAGTCCGCCTGTCGAGCCGCATGGCGGGAGTTGTTTCTGAATAGCAACGGCGGAAATTAGCTTGGATCTGGGCGACTTGATGCTGGGCCGTTCTAGGGATCAAAGTAGTAATAGCAGCTTGTGGTCAACATACAGTCAACCGGTGCCAATCCAGACAAATTTTTCAAAAGTTCCTTCGAGTCGGACACTTCCTTTAATCAAGATACCACCAGCACGGGATCGAAGCAACGTAAATCAAAAAGTGAATAGAGAACAGAAAAAGAAGGTCTTACTTGTAACCCGCAAACAGGCCAGCTATCCGACAGTGTTCACGTGACTATATATTACTAATCACTACATCACGTGCTGATAAGATATCTAAAATTTTCTTTTTTGCAGATCAAACAGTTCCAGGCTGGAAAATTCCAAGTACTTTGAGATCGAGTCTACAATGGCGATGGCTGCATCCCAACCCGAGCCCTCGGGCCTGGAGAACATTTCGGCTCTACTAGAGGCCTTCACCGCATCACTAGAAACCGCCGGATCATCACTCCCAAGCACCAAGCGCGAGTCCCCAAAAGATGTTTCGATTCTACCACCACAGGAGGGTATTTCGCTGCTTGACACCAAGTGCGATCTGCTTCTCTCCTATCTCCAAAACCTCGTTTTCTTGACGATATTCCAATTAAGGGGGCTATCCGCTTCGGGAGAGGATTCCGAAGACGAGGCAACTCAACCACTTCGAACCCAAGTTACACAGAAACTTATCGAGCTACGTACCTACCTCGACCGTGGTGTCCGACCCTTGGAAGCAAGATTGAAATACCAGATAGATAAGGTTATCAAGGCTGCGGAGGACACTGAAAGATCCGAGAAAGGAGCGCAGGCCGCCACGAAAAAGAGAACGCAAGAAAGCGACAGTGAGCAAGACTCTGGATCTGATGCATCTGGCAGCGAGGAGGAAGAAGATGAAGATGAGATCAACGAAATGGCATACCGACCCAATGTGTCTGCATTTTCGAAGAACGTCGAGCCCCAGACGAAGATCGAAAAATTCTCGCATAGGGATTCCAGCGACGGCATTTATCGACCGCCCAAGATTATGCCTACCGCGATGCCTACGACGGAACGCAAGGAGCGCAAGGAGCGTGGCTCGCGCCGATCCAATGTTATTGATGAGTTCGTCAGTGCCGAGATGTCCTCCGCCCCCGTGGCGGAGGCAAGTATTGGTAGCACCATTGTCTCCGGTGGAAGGTACACGAAGTCTAAAAAGGAACGAGAACATGAGGCAGAGCGTACTAGGTACGAAGAAACCAACTTCATTCGTTTGGCCAAGGAGAGCAAGAAGGAGCTCGCCAAACGAGGAGCCTCTCGCCGGGCCGAAGGCACCTTTGGAGGCGAAGAATGGCGAGGTCTGTCGGAGGGTGCGGATCGGATTACAAAACTTACGAAGAGAGCCAAAGGAAGTGGGGGGGCACTGGAGAGGAGTCGCAAACGAAGACTTACTGAGGATGGACAACGCGGCGATGGGGTTGGAGTTGGTCAGATCTTCGAGAAGCGACGGAAGAAGGTCGAATCCTGGAAGTGATGGCGTATATTTGGAGATACTTTGCATACACTATAGATTCAACACCCGTCAACTAAAAATGTACAACGATGATATCCGATTTTCACATTCCTAATGCAGGGTAGTTCCAAGTTGTTCCTGGAGTCTTGAAGCCTCGGATAATTGGTTTCACAGGCGAGAATCAGCCTTGACATCATCGTCGCCAATACCTCCGCTCCAATATAACATCATCGCCAACACTGCAATCGAGGGACAAGATTTCTAAAATCATGAACACAAAACAAAAGCCAAAATGGAGGACCCAGGTGGGAAGCGGTACATGATGCTGTAGCGAAGACGTAGAATTGACTCTCTGTATAGGGTTAGTATTGCGGCCCTACAATTGAGTATCTACAATACTCACACTCCAAATGCCTCCCAAGCCTTTGTCCTTTGGCCTCGCTTCAAACACCTGTACATCAAAGCCATGACCGACACAATGAGCTGCCGAAGATACACCTGTCAAGCCGGCTCCAATAACGGCCACTCTCTTCTTCGGGGTGTCATCGGCGATGGCGGAAGGGGGAGGAGGGCCCGGTGCGAGAATCCAATTAATGAAATGCTGGAAAATCAGGTAGAAGAAGCTGAATGTCTGAACAAATGGATGTCTAACAAGGTCTGAGAAGGAAGACTTGAGCTCTGGACGAGACATGGCGACCTGACGTGCACGATCCAAGAAGGCTAACTACAGCACGACAAGACACAGCTCTCATGGGAAATAGGAGATATAACGATCAGAGATCAGTGTGCAAGAGGATTCCAAAGCTTTTGTACTGGACTATGTCTTCTTCGTCTTCATCATCATCATCATCTTGATATTCTAGTATGACGTATATTTGTGGATCTCCTGGTAGACATTCTGACCCCAATGTACAGACCAGATGGATGTGAATAACAGAACAGGGAGTGTCTTGGAGGTATTATATTATCTAGACTGGGATCTTTTTTTTGCTTTCTCAGAAATTCGAGGGTCTCTCCTGGGATTGTTAACCGCTGTAATGCCTTGTGTGTATTCTCGAATAATCCTGGTATAATATGTATAGTTTCGCCCTTACCCTCTATACATGATACTGTATTCTAACAACTCACGGGGAAATCATATCGAACATTGGAATACTAGGTCTTGTATTCATTAAGCAGATCAAGGGCCGGGAGGAAATTCTTGGTCTTTTAGATATATGAATGTCGAGGCCGTGATGGGATATTCCCGATTGGGACTAGTCTCCAGAAGCTTTTCGAGCTCCGCCGCCGCGACTCCTGCGGCTCTCTCTCTCTTTCTCACTCTCTATCTATTTACACACAGGTGGCAGCAGTTTCTTATTTGATTCCTCCCGTTGTAAGGCCTGATACAATTATACAGACTCAAATCATCTTCAGTATGCCTGCCCTTCGATGATCGCATCCCTGATGGTCTCTGTGCAACCCCCCAGCTCTTATGACACCCCCACGTCTCTGGCCACGAACTCTCCTCTTCACTCCCTCCTCAGTCTCGTACGGATGAAGCAATGGCCTTCCAAAGCACCCCGGTCCTTGACCGGTTTATCACCGGACTCGCAGATCTAATCAGGAACCGCGATGGCGCCAAACTCCAAGATTTCTTGCAGATCGAACCTCCGCTGCCCGATGTATACCGACAGATGGTAGACGAGCTGCGACAACACTACCCTAGTGGATCTCCAAAGGAAGCAGAGCTGCTGCGGCGGTGCGAAGGACTAGTACCACGCTCGAAAGGTAGCAGCTCATGGACTGCCTTTCCAACATTTATGAAGCTCTATTTTACCTTTCTGCGGGATGTGAATGTGGAAAATCTTTTAGAGACGTACAACTTGCTGAAGGGACTACTGAAGTGAGAATTTGCCTGTCTTCTTCTGATTCATAGTTTTTACCTTTGGATTGCAAATTCCCAAGGATGAATTGCTGACAATTAGCCTCCAAATATAGCCAATGCGTTTTGGCCTTGGGTGATAGCCAATTCGGTATTGTTGTCCTACCGACCGTGCTTTATCTCTCAAAGGTTTTGGCTAAGTTGGCTATGGGCCTTGACCGTCGGCCCGAACTTGTCGCTCATCTGTTAAGAGTTGAAGGCGGCGCTGACCAAGATGAAAGCACCGAGAAAGTTACGCTGGTGGAAAAATCCGCCAATGTGGTACGAGAAGCATTCATCAAGTGCCTTACTGATCGCAGCGGCACACCGGGTGTCCATGGGAAACCTGAGGGCAAAAGGGTCGGGATTTACCTTATGGCCAACTTGTGTCTAAAATTACTTTTCCAGGTACTGGAGTCATATCTACACGCAAACCCTCATGGTTTTAAGTTTGCAATAGCTAACGTCCCCTATTAGTGTGGTAAACTTCGAAATGCGGAACAGATGTTTGCCAGTATTACGGCTCAATCTCCACCCTTGAAATATTTCCCTGCTTCCCAGAGGGTGACGTACCTATACTACCTCGGGCGTTACCTTTTCTCCAACAACCTGTTTTTCCCAGCCCAGATCGCTCTACAGGCTGCTTATGATCAGTGTCATCACCAAGCGATAAACCAAAAACGGGTTATTCTCACCTACCTTATTTCTTGCAACATCATTCTGGGGCGCTTCCCATCGATGAGCTTACTGCAATTGCCGGAATCACAAGGCCTCGCCGATAAATTCATTCCATTGTGTCGATTAATCGTCCGGGGAGATTACATCGCCTTTCGCGAGCACCTGTCAGTAAATTCACCTTCTACCGAGTGGTTTGCGCGGAAAGGTGTCCTTCTCGCCCTGCGCAACAGATGTGAGATCCTTGTCTGGCGGTCCCTTGCGCGCAAGGTTTTTGTTCATGCTGGGTTTCATGGAGACACGACAGGCCAGGCTCAAAGGGGTCCACCTCCGTTCCTGTATTTGACTAAACTTGAGACTGCTGTAAAATGGCTCCGCTCACAACACTTGCAATCAGCCCATACATCCTCTCTCAGCCCGTCGCAGGATATCCACCAAATTGGATCCCAGATTTTGTCCGTAGCGCCAGATCCAGACTTCACTTTACCCACTGATATGAGTGCGAACAACGCTCCGGACCCAGCGATTTTATCAAAATACGAAGACTACCTGTGCCCCGAGAGCTATTTCGACGCATCGGGACAACTACAACAAAACCCAACGAAGAGCTTAGTTGATGGAAACCCCGGGACAGACTACAACGAGTACGAGTTGGATCCATATGCCCATCGAATCAACGAGAATTCCGACCAAAAGGATGGAAAACCCACGCAGTTGATGCGTGAGATTGAATCTATTCTGGCCTCTCTGCTCACACAAGGACTCATGCGTGGATATCTCACGCATCGGAATCCCCGTCTTGCTATTCCTGGTGCTCGACTACGCGGAGCCTTGCCTACAGGGTTCCCTAATGTTTGGCAGACTATTATTGCCCGGGAGGCAGAGGATACAAGTGTTCCTGGTTGGGTTCAGCCGCCACCAACGATAGCGGCGCCGGCTTTGGCGGCGGCGGGAGGAGGAGGTAGGGTCGTGAACCTTTCTGGTGCAAGACCGGTTGGGGTTCAGTGATTATTCGGCTTTGTTTGAAACCACAAAGATATATGCCATTGAATTAATTACGAGACAGTACCTTTACTTCCATGACTAGAACGACCTGCCTATACAGCTCAGAGAAGCTCCCTCTATATCTCTACCAAATTTAAGACAATGACGTATGAACTTAGTCCTGTATCATGACTTGTTCCCATTCCAAAATAGGTGTATATAGATGAAACTATACGGTGTTACTATACTATATTATCCTTCACCCAATAAAATCGCTCGCTGTCTATATAATAAAAAAAAAGTGCCTAATTATCGATCCAAAAAAAAAAATACCAACGAGTCTCATACAGTCATAACCTCGTATCCTGCCAAAAAAAACAACCGCACTAGAGAACCAAATACAAGACTTACCGAATAACTGATTTACGATTGAGTCTCGATCAAAATCCTGCCCTCAATACGGGGGGCAATTCCCGGCGTCCACGTTGGTGTGAATGCATATTCATCACCTGCTTCATCGAGAGAAGAGCAGTGGATACCTGCTTTGCGCATCCATTTCGCTATTGCCCACCGGGCAAGCCGCAGGCGGTTGTCCTCGTCTTCAGATGACCGCGCAGGGAGAGTGACATAGTTTGTTATAGGTTTCGGGGAGGTAAGGATATCTGGGTCGGAGTCGGAATCTGAATCCATGGACTCGTCTTCTTCAGGCTTTGCCCCGTGGTTGTGGTGGTAGTGGTGGTTATTTTCCTGGAGTGGTTCGGCACCGTCAATCTCTGGGAACCGACCATAATAGTAGTGTTTTTTTCGGGGGAGAGGTGGGCGCTGAGGTCGAACCGGGATTTTCTCTGATTCAGGTGAGGGTAAAGCTGAGGCAGGTTTCAGCCGGCCTTCGTTGTGCATTTCTTTATGCACGTCCGCCCAATGACGCGCCATGCTTTCACTCCAATGTTGCCATTTACCGAGCACCTTTAGGCTGAGGAAGTATTGGCGCATTAAGGTGCTGATAAGAATTCCACTTTCTTCATCGACGATCTCTTCGACTTCGCCGCCGGCGGATTGGACAAGAAGAGAGGCAAACCCGTCTTTCCCACGGGCCATGTAGCCTCGTGTAGCAAGGGTGTAGGTGCGGTCATAGTCAACAGGGTGGCCATTTACCTTTGCCCAGTTGATACGGGAATTGGTTGGCGCAGATGGGTTGAAACTATATGTAATATTCGATACCTGCGGGAAGCGACCCTCAAGTGCTGGCAGTTGGCTCACTCCGTTTTCGAGGGCATCTATCAGAGCCTTTCCGCTGACACGGATGAGTACGACCGGATCTTCGAAGGGGAAGCAGTTGAGGACGTCCTTGAGACGAAGTACGCCCGGTGGGTAAATTTGGTCTCCACGGATAGTCCCGCCGGCCATCATGGAGCAGTCTGCGCGGTAGTAAAAGCGCATAAGATCACAAGCGAAATTTCCCAAGTTGGACTCTTGCGCACGTACGGTGGAAAACCGACCATCCAGTGGACGAACGGTGTATCCAATTGGTTTGTCCAGCTTGGCTTTGAGGCTCGAGTTCAGTTTAGCGATGAGTGCCGCCGCCGACGGGTCTTCAGGGATCGATCGGATCATGTCTCGGCGGACGATGTTCAGGTCCCATCCATTCCCGTCTAGTTTACGGAATGCTTCGATATAGCTGAGCTGTTTGAAATCGGTACCAGACCGTAGCACGTGAACGCCGTTGATAAGAGCATGGCCGTAGAAGTGGTCGTGTCCGCCTAGGATGATGTCAATCATGCCATAAGGTACATTCTCTGCCAGTTTATAATCATTTGGTTCGCGCTGGTGTGTAACGGCGATAATGATCTCCGCACCTTGTTCCCGGAGGCGGGGTACGAGTTCGAGAGCAGTCTTCGTAGCAGATTTGTAGACGAGGTTAGGAGGAAGGGAATTGATTGTGCCTAGCCTAGGGGGACGAGCAAGTAAGCACATCGTTTGGTGATAAACGTCGTGTGTAGAACTTACCATTCCCGCTCCCCAAGTCCGATCACTCCCACTTTGATCCCATTCGAAGAGGTCAGCATGCAAGTTTTCTCGCAGTTGGCGATCGGCTCATCATCGCCCAGTGCGGGATCTAGTACATTAGCCAATAGCCATGGGAACCGGCATTGACTTCGTAGATGACGAAATTGTGCGACACCGAAATCAAGATCGTGATTCTATCCATCAACAACAATGGTCAGATTGTTACCCCGCAGCAGCTAACTTTGCTCCAGCTACACTGATAAGAGACATACTCCGACACATGCGACATCTGTGCCTGCCTTATTTAGGAAAGGCACCATATGCCTCCCTTTCGTGACGGTACTTTCGAGACTGGGATTGAAGGCATCGCCAGAGAAGAAGGTGAGGGGGGTGGGTTGCCCGTCGAAGCGGGGATGCGATCGATAGTAATTTACGACGGATTGGAATCGGGGAGCACCGCCAACGGGTTCAGCAGATCCTGGCCTTGATAGATATCAGCGATGGCCAGATCCGGGACGCTATAGCTGAGGATTGCATTGTTTAGACCCATAAGGCGCGGAGTTGACTTACTCGACGTGATACACGTCATTGTAATGAAGGAGGCGGAGATCCGGGGGACCGGACCTGTCGGAGGAATAAGTGAGAGAGTAGCCCTCATTATTTTCAATGGATGCCATTCTGAATTGAAGAATGGCGAATCAATGAGCATTGATGAAGACAGCTTGAGAGCAAGAAAGTAAGACTGAGGGGAAAAGCAGCTTGAAAGAGGGAGCGAGAATCACGAGACAGCTCTGCTGCTCAGGCACCAAGGCATACAGGCACCCAGGCACTCCGACATCCCGAAATTTACCGCCACCAATTGGAAAATTGTTTAGTGCAGAATCACACCATAGTCTAGGAGGATGCCGAGGTTTGGGAGCTTAGGTATATTTAAATGGCTATTGTACACTGTCAGAAGGTAGAGCTTACTGAGGAGAGGAAATGATATATGCTTCATTAATATAACAAGACCCGAAAATGTCATCATCACCACATAAATGCCACTGAATAGGCACCAAAAAAAGAAAAAAAAAAAACTTGACCAGGCGAGGGATATAAAGAAAACACAATCATTCAGAATAATAATGAAACAAGAAGGGCATATACGGGTCATATCAGAGCGGTCTTTCAGTCACTGTCCAGCGTCGATGTGCGTTGGCCGTTCGTTCCTTGTTTAGGGGTGCGCTGCCCCAAAGCCCACGCTGGGAGAGTGTGCGGTGTGGAAGCTGTCTTGGCCAACTGGGATCGTTGGGTTTTGACGAATTTGTGGCAGGAAGAGACGAGGATGGGCACAGTGGACTGCCAAAATTAGGGACGAGATCCTCCACGGCTTCCTCGTCCCCGGAAATCGAATTCCAGAGCCCAGAGGACGGGCGGTTCATTGTCCACGATTGCAGACCTGTTCCCGACTTCGAGGACCCGAGGAGGAAAGGACTCGAGGAGAATGAGGCTCGGGCTGGAAAACGATTGCGGAAGGAAGGGAGGGATGGCGACGTTACACTTCCTGTCGAGGAAGAGCGGACAGACGTGGTTGGACTGGTTCCCGGTCGCAAGTGATCGGTGGATGCTACCTCTACCAGGCGGTAGTTTTCAAGGCCGGATTGTCTGTCCGATGTGTGGCGCTGGTCGAGCGGTTCACCGCTTCGGAACGGTTCTTTCAAGCAATCCTTACGCACGGCGAGAGTAAGAGAAGCCGTACCAATGTCCACCAACGCTGGTTTCCCGGACAATGCACCGATTAACGCGTTGCATCCTGCTCCATGCGTGACTATAATGAGGATGGTATTGCCCATGTCGTCCGTCTCCTCTGGCTCTAGAAATTGTAGCTGAGAACGTCGCCGGCGACGAGATGGTGCTGCCGGTACTTCGTGATTTTCATACCACGACAGCTTACTCACGAGGCTACTCCGGAAGCGCGTATGCATGGTACTCCACTCATCTCCGTACTCGCCTCCGTTGCCCCAATTCTGGGGCTCACGCATACTGTCCCATTGATAGTCAACCAGCACACACGCGTCGCGAGCGTGTGTTACAAAGCCGTCAGGTATTGGATTCGACGGAGAAATAGCATAACTGGGTACTGGTGGGAAATACCCTGAGTCAGGGATTGACGGAAGATTGGTATTGATCTTCAGTATTTTCTGGGCCCATGGAGTATCTACGGACCGTAAGGAATCATAGCTACCAGCGCGGTTCCTCTGTCCTGTTGTGTTTGTGGTAGATGGGGCCGATTCGGCTTCACTCCGTGTGTCGCCCTCCCCATCGCGCTTCTGCGCGCTAAAGTTACCCCAGCCACCAGGGAAGTGGCCCATGGAGGGTCTCTTCTGGGTGACTACCGGCGGAGCGAAGCCTTCATCACGGCGCAGTAGCTCTGTCTTTGCGGTTGCGACCATCTTTTCTGACTTGGGGGGAGGGGCGATATCCTCGAAGTAGTCTGGGTTTAGCCATTCTCCAAGACAGGCATCAACGCGGAGAAGACATCGATAGTTACTCGGAGACGGCGTGGACCCGGGACTTGATAAAGATTCCTGGCCAACAGATGCGGCAGAGGTAGGCGCAGAGGTGAGCTCATTCGACTTGTCTGCTGTGGGGGTGTGTGTCGACCGTCCGGGTTCGATGTCGGTATAGTTCTGACTGATCCCTGAACTGACCGCGATCGAGGTCTGGACACATCGGAGGAATGGAGAGGTATGTATGATTATTCTGCGCTTCTGTTTTCGACGGTGAATGGTCTGGGAAGGTAGCTTCGAGTCCTGTTTCTCTTGGGTCGACCTTTCGAGATGATCATCCAATGACCGAAGCTCCTTTACGATGCGCGCCCCGAGAGCGCGCGACTGAAGCCAGCCGCCATAGGATAATGGCGGGTCATAAGGAGTTGGAGAGGTGAGGTGCCAATCCTTATTGGCCGCATCTAGACGGGCGCCGTGCCTAACAGGGTGAGTGATGAACCCGGGGAAGCTTTCAGAGAAGGGACAGAATGGCGAAGACATACCTAACGATGAAGATGGCTGCAGGAGGTTTTCCCATGATCGAGTTGCGGAGATGCGGTGCAACGCGATTCGATTCGAGTAGCGGAGGACAGGAACAACACAGAAACTTGCAAAGAAGGGAAGGAATTAGGAGACCGTCAGTGGCAGTTTGACAGGCTACCCAAATGACTAGTGACAGGTCGAAGGGGGTGTATGCGGGGTAGCAAATTATTAAAACATCATCCAGGCGGAGTTGAGATGTAGCCACGAAGCTTGCAGTACAAGAGGAGGAGAGAAGAAAACAAGGAGGGATGATAATAGGCTTATGACAGGACAACCACCTGCAGGGGCCTCATATGAGAGTAGTCAAATCAATGTGGCTCCCCCCTTGCCATCTTAATTCCATGGGTAAATCAGAGAAATGCATCCATCTATTATTGCGACAATCAAAAACCTCAAATGATTTTTTTGGTTGCAGCAAGTAGAAGCATGTGATTAGAGCTTATGTCAGCATATGAGGTCATTTTTTTTTTGTTTCTTTCTTGCTGCAGATAAATACTGTCAATAATATCAATCTGAAGAAGAGAGTGAAGAAGAAAGACAAAAGAAAAGGAAAGAAAAGAGAAGAAATTCTTCTAGATACTTATATAGAAATATGACTCTTTCCCCATCTCAAACTCTTGTAAAATACCCAATGGCGCTCATTTTACCTTTTTTTTTTTATTTTTTTTTTATATATCGCTTGGAAATAATAACAAAGTGATGGATGGATGCCTAAGGGGTGAGTTGGTAGCACATGACCCTGATTTCAAATCCTCATCTGATATCAGCCCAATAAGAATCTCAATGGATGAAGAAGAAAGAAAGAAGAAAGAAAGAAAGACTATGCAGGATGGGTTTGCTATTCCAAATTAAGGTATAGAGTACTACGGAGGAGTTAACTCCAACCTCTAGGTGGAATATGCAGAATAACTAGTGCATAATAGTGCACAATAGCGCCATACACGAAGGATCCAACGTTACTCAAAGGCTAAGAGTGGTCCAAGTTGACTCTTCTAGAATTGGGGAAGGGAAGTAAAGAAGTTTGAATAAATCAGTTTTTTTCTCCGGCTAAGCTTTGTTTTTTTGGTTCCACATGTGACAAAGTAAAGCTTTAGAAGTACTCTGTAAAGCTTCAACCCATGATTCCTTGTCTAGATGTCCACCAATTGGAGCTTCATAACCTGCTGTTATTGGCTAAAAGGCTGCCGGAATGATGGATCCTTCACTCTGGTGGTGACTGGTTGATGATATTCTTATACGATATCAAGGATCTTGCTGAAGAATAGGGATTGCTGGATTTGAGATGCTGGCTCCAATCCTACGCTAAGTATGAATATGCAGTCCGAACAAGATGACTTTAAGAAAAAGCCAGTGCAAGGTGAGGAACCTATGCGAATGTGCCTCGGATATGTACAGAGTACCCTGGTGCCCAACGACAACACGAGGTAAATCAAGGAAGAATATTCCAAGACTGTGTTTGGAGCAATGAAAAGTAGCAGGAGAGACGATCGATTCTCTCTCCTCGGGTCCTCTCGGTTTGGATCCCGCGATTCGGGATATCCGCGGTTATACTCTGTAGGTAGACTAACGCTGGGGACTACTGAATTAGTGAAAAAGGGGAACATTCAACATTGTCCCGTTGGCCAGGCAAGCGGATCAGGCCATCAGCTCCCGAAGACCCATATCGAGAGCTAACTACAGAGTGTGGTTCCCCCCAGGGCTGAAGGGATTATAATAATGAGGCACAGTTTTATACCTAATGATGGTCGCGTGGGCAGTTACCGGTTTTCTTTTGTGTATTGCGTTGGTTCTGCGGTTGCTCTATAACCACTCCCGCTTGAAATCTATTCCGGGACCTTTCTTTGCGGCCATCTCTGATACCTGGAGAGTACATGCTCGAAATTCGCCTGGGTATGGGCGGCGTTTGGCTCAACTGCACCAGGGGTATGGGGATGTGGTGCGCATAGGGCCGAATGTTGTCAGTATTTGCGAACACGTCGAAATCGCCAACATTTCTCGCAGACGGCTCTGGGAGGAGGTGAGTCTTCTTTCTATTCTATTCCTATACTAGTGTTTTTACGATATACTGAGAGTAAGTGTTAGTTGGTGCAGAACGGACGGAGGCTCAGCGATTCCTCGGTTACTTCAACAAACCAGATCAGATGGCATTTGCGGGAAATACAAGACTATGAAGGGTCAATCGATGAGTCGCTGAAAAATATCATCAAGTCTATTCGTCGTCACCGAGTTCTTGATCTGCCGAGCTCTCTCCGTTACTTTGCGGAGGACTTCATCAACCGGGTCATGATAAACGACCCTAGCATCAATGACGATAGAACAGCTGGAATGCCCAAGACGAACACCCCTAGTACCCAGTTAAGCACCGCGACAATTCTCTGCTCCATGGAAGATATGGTATTGAAGGGTCCAGTGTCCCTGTTAAAACGCGAACGATTTTCTTGCAGTGGTATCGGAAGCAGCATGTCTAAACTTCCTGAATATGCGACGGAGCTGATCTCAAACCCGATCAGGGCTGCAGCCCAACCATTGACCCCGAGAGATTCCATCCTATCTATAGGAATTGAGAGTATGACAGCGACATTCGTCTCGACATTCTGTTTCCTTCTAAGCAACCCGATCGTCATGGCTACGCTGAAAAGCGAGATTAACACAATGCTCCGCTTTCGAGAGAAGGCTGCTATCCCTAGCTGGAGCGAAATTAGAAGGTATTCCTACCTGGATGCTGTTCAGAAAGAGTCCATGCGACACTTCACCTCGAGAAGTGAAACACAAGAGATCCTTGGGACAGCCTCATCTTGGAACCATTCACGATTACCGCTCCCGCCCAAGACTATTGTAACATGGCACCCTCATGTTCTGCAATTCGATCGTTCGGTTTACGGAGACGACGTGAATACATTCCGCCCGGGGCGATGGCTTGTCACTGATACGACACAGCGAAATCTCATGGAGAAAAGCCTATTACCATTCAATGTTTGTGTCGAGGCATACCCGATAGCCCAGGCTGCCTGGTTAGAACTGAAAAAGGCGGTTGTAGTTCTCTTGAGCAACTTTGATGTGAGCTATGCTACCTCCCTGTTGTACGACTCTGTTGGCTGATCACTGTGTAGCTTGAACTTCTGGATGCTGATGCTGATTCTGAAATTCACTTTCATGGGGACGTACCGATGTATCCTCCTCCATCGATGCTTGTCCGATTCAGGCCCAGGATACCTTGAGCCACACGCGGGATTCTTTGCAGATTGGATTACAGAGATACCCTATGGTTGATATAATGCTTAAATACCCATTCATGATTCTTATATATATATATACCTCTCTCTTTCTTCTTTGAATTATCCTATTGTACTCGTATTACAGGCAACGACTATTTGAGAGTAAGTCGGGGCCGACACTAGTAGAATTACTTCGAGCAGTAAAGTGGCTTCAACATACTTAAGTATACACCGTGTGTATTTCAATACCAAAGTTCTATTCCCTAGCATTGTATTTAAAGAACATCATATTGTAAAAAATCCCATTATAACTAAGCGCAGCCATTTTATACTCCGTCAACCTGGTTTCCATAATTCATGATTGGTATTGGTCTTGACCGGCGATCATGCTCGAGACGGCAGAGACATTATCACTGGATATATCGTGTTAGACATGTGTTTCTTGCTCCGGTCTAGACCGAAGATACTTACTATAACGAGTGTCGTCAAGATCCAGCTCTTTGGAGGACCTCGGAGGCTCTTCTCGAAATTTCTTGTCCGTTTTCTTTAGAGATTGGGGAACTAGGGTTTCGGCACTGGAGACAGAACTGGAATCATCGCCGAGAATCTTTTTGGCATCGGGTTGAGACGGGGTTTTCTTTGCGAATGAGCCTTTCCAGGCGTTTTTGATGGTCTGCTTGGAAGGCATGTGAGGCATCTTGATAACGACAATGGTAATGATGATGGGTGAACTGGTCAATGTTCGCGAAGTACGGAGTAATGCTAGACAGATGAGAAAAGGCAATTGTGGTCTCCTGTAAGAAATGGAATCAAGGCGTCTTGAATATTTCTTTAGTTTAGGCAGCTTGGTTTTGAAAAATAAAAATATAGACGCCTTAAAGGTCTATATAGATTGACAGTCGGACCTCGGAGCTCAACCCATAGGATCGGACCAAAATTGAAGCTATCTCGACTAGCGCAGCTCCGACCTCAACATCTGGATTGGGATGCTGCCTCGCCATCCGGCGGACTAAATTTTCACTGACTCACTTCCTGTCCCGTCATTCGGAAGAAATGATGTCTACTCCGCGCCGCAATGGCCAACTCTCATCGTGTGAGCCCTGTCGCAAATCTAAGTTACGCTGTGACCATGGTAGTCCGATTTGCAGGCGATGCGTTGCCCGCGGTCGATCGGAGTTGTGTATCTACCATCCAGCTCCGTTGACGAACATACTGGCGCCAAAACGGGCGAGGAAGAAAGGGTCGTCCAATCCCCCGACGAAAGGTTTCCAGGCAGCACCGTATCCGGATATCTTCGATTGGATGAATTTAACGCAATCGACCTGTCCGGGATCAGAAGTGTCTTCAAATCAGGGCAAGGTGTCTTTGCGCAGACCTGGTTTCTTTGGTGCGACAAGCCATTCAGAGACCCTGTTTAAAGATTCTTCGGACATCGGACTGCCCCAGGATCCTGCGATTGACCCAGCCGCACCTGTCAATGCTCGACAGGTTGAGGTAGGAGCACAGATACTCTCGTTGCTAAAGCACCTCCCGTTCTTCACTGAGCTAGTCGAGGTTCGGTACAAGTTCTTTGTAGGCTGGGTTTTCCCCCCACAAGTGATCAGGTCCAGTCTCAAGCAACTCGACGAGGAGTATCGAAATCATGTACAAGGCTTGAGTGATGCCGATGCCCATCTTCGCCTGTTGGAGTGGTCGCGAACTATCTTCCGTCGCACGGGGTCAACCATCAAGACACATCCCTCCATGACATTGTCAGAATATGCCGATCTAATCATCCATCGCTGGGAATTAATCGGAGTAATATTTGCCTTGGTGGGCGCGGCAAGCTACCAGATCGCAGCGGAGGAACCGGTGTTTCGCCGCGAGGACATACCAGGCCAACACAAACAGGGCCTGCGCAAAATTACGGTCGCTGCTAGTGAAATGTGCATCCAATTCTGTAGTAGCCTAGGAACAATCACTGATATGTTGAGCTGGCTGTTGATACAGCATACCATCTATCTTTGCGAAATGTACGGAATTAGTGGTGAGTGTTGCCTTTCTCTGAGTCCAGGACAGGCCTTGATTAGGAAACTGACGGCCCTGCAAGATTATCGCCCCTGGCAAAGCCATGGGAATGTCACCAGCCTGGTCTTCGCCCTTGGACTGCACCAGTATCAGCCTGACCCTACTGTGCCGTTCTTCCTGGAAGAGATCCGAAAGAGGTTCATGGTTGCAGCATATGCCATGGATAAGGAAATCGCTACGTTTTTGGGTCGTCCTCCTCGCATTTGCGCACGTTACTGCGACCTCCAGGTTCCTTTAGATATAAGTTGGGATGAGCTAGCATCTGAGACTGGAGAACGGGAAAGAGCGCTCCAGCGATTAAACTCTGAGGGATGGAACATAGATGGGGACCTGGAGAAGGGCTCGCAACCGCGGGTCATGCTTTTAACCAGCCTGATCAGAGAGAAGATCCTAGAGGTATCTCTTAGCCGCGAAACCGCCAATTTCGAGGAGAGGGTGAAGTTCGTTCCCCCGTGGCCCTTGTTCTCCCATCGAGATTGCCGATATTGTCTAACAGCTTCTCTTTTGCAGTGAAATATGTCGTGAATCGAACGAAAGGCGTCTCAAACTTCCACCATTCCTGCAATGGACGCCCCAGACAGAAGCACCATATGTCGCCTCCTTGCAGTTGGAGTTTTTATATCAGGAGTTTCTGCTCTGGCAATCCCTGGTTAAACGCACCGGGAATAGATATGAAGCTCTAATTGGCACCTCGCGAGAGATCATGGGCTTACTCCTGGATCGCATATCACGAGACATAAGAATAGGAAAGATTTCGCATTTTTCCATCAACGACGTAAGCTCCTTTACTTCATTTCCCATCTACTAATGACAACCCCTGAGGCCTCCTGACAACAATTAGCTATGTTTTGTCGGACTTCCTGTGGCTGGGATCCTATCTACTGAATTACTCCGTCAATCCCAGGCTGCTTTCGCAGACACATCATCATGTACAGCATCCGCGACAACATTCCCTCGCGCGGAAATTATCCAGAAACTCAGTGTCTTTGCATCACACTTGGAGACCTTCTTCTTAAACCGAGAGGGCGACTATGACGACTGCATGAAGGGACTAATGTATATCCGCAAGGTCCTAGACCGGGTTCTTTCTCCTCATGGGGGGTCGGTTCTTGAGCCCATATCCGAGAGTACGCAAGGTGCTCCGGGTGCTAATGATGGAATCATGGATGACATGGATCTAATGGCACTTCTGGAGAACTTTGACTGGGAGCAGGAGATTAGGCTATGCTTTAGTTGAGCCTTGTACCAGCTTGATTCGGGCCCGAAATATAGAAGAACTCGGGGCCCGAACCCACCCACTAACAAGTATCTAACCTCTCGAGCAGCAACACGACGATGACTTTCCTGTCCGGCAAACAAACTAAGACAGACTTCAACAATATACGACAATTCCCTTTTGAATTGTTCAAGATGAGCATCACTTCACTAACCCCCGTCATTGTAGTAGGTGCCAGTCTTGTCGCCCTTTCAACCGCTCTCTGCCTATCTAAACACAACATTCCAACCATTGTGCTGGAGCGCCACGCCGATATCTCCAAACACCCACGCGCAATCGGATTTACATCCCGGACTCTTGAAATATACAAAAACCTAGGTATCGCCCATCATATGCCCGAAATCCCCAAGGGATTTCACCTGCTGCGCGCCCGGGTCGAGAGTCTCACTGGAAAATGGTACGAGAGTACATCCTGGTCAGACCCGAAGCCCAGCGAGAAGGAACCATCCAATCCTGAGGAGAAGAAAGAATTTTCGGCCTTTCCTGGTTCTGCAATACCCCAGGACAAGCTCGAAGCTATCCTTCAGACGGCTGCCCTCACTCGCGGAGTGGATATTCGTCGTCAACACACCCTGCAAGATGTCTGCGAAGACGAAAACGGTATTACGGCTATAGTGATCAATACGAAAGGTGAAACAGTCGAGATTCGCGGATCATACCTCATCGCAGCAGACGGGAACAGAAGTCTTGTCCGTGAGAAACTGGGTATCGCGCGTTCTGGACGCGGACACATGCAGACAATGCGTAGCGTGCTTTTCCGTGCTCTGACACCGCTTGAAGATTTCATGAAGGGTGTGTCCCAGTTTAACATCGATCAGCCCGGTCTACAGGCATTTATGACAACCTACATGGATGGTCGGTGGGTTCTTATGTTCCACGACGCACGACGACATTGAACGGGACGAACAAGCCCTCGTGGATGTGATCCACGCCGCGATTGGCAATCAAAATATCGGGATTGAAATCATCACAACCGGGAGATGGGAGCTTTCTGCCCCTGTTGCAGACAGGTTTCAATCCGCTGGAGGGAGGATCTTTCTTGCGGGCGATGCAGCCCATACCCTCCGAACCGAGGCGGATACGGTGCGAACACAGGGATCCCATATGCAGATAACATTGCTTGGAAAATTGCAGCTGTGCTCAGAGGCCAAAATCGATTTACTTGATCCAAAAAAAAAGAATTTCCAAAAGAGAGTATACAATTATCGACCTGCAGTAAGATAATTCTTCTCCATCGTTGTGTGAATATTCTGCCCCGTAGAACTCCATGCTCTACCAACAGGAAACCGGCAGAGACTCAATAATCCAGATTCATCATGACGTCTGGAGAATGGTATACTCCAGAAAAAATACGAAAGATGATTCGAGGTTCGTTTTGTATTAAAGTTGTTGCTTCTACGGTACAGGCAGCGCGCGGAGAACCAGTCAGATTTCTTGCATATCAAATTGTACGGCCGCGAATCTCGTCATGACATTCAGCAGGTTTTGTCATAAGTGAGCTTGCAAACTGATCTTACTTTTTTCTTTTTTAGCAGTTTTGAATCGCTGCCGGTTCCGAAGAAGACTCTCAACATATTAGAATTAGGGCTGTCGGACTAGAACTTAGCTAGCTAGCAACGATCACAATGGCCCCGCGTATCGCCGAAAGTGTCAAGCAAGACCACCGGGAAATCGAAGCTTGTTACATTCGCATGGTGAACACCTCCGACAAGGACGAACAAACCCGATTCAAAAACCTGTTCACGTGGGAACTGGCGCGGAATCTGGTTGCGGAAGAGATCGTGGTGTACCCTGCGCTCGAAAAGCATGTCCAGGGAGGCACGACTCTTGCGAATAAAAACCGCGAGCAACATCAAAAGGTGTGCATGGGTTTCCTTTGGTTGTTTGATTACTGATCGATCAAAACTAACCCCACAAAGATCAAAGAGCAACTGAAAACGTTTCAGAGCCTGGGTCCGTCTGACCAAGGGTTTATCCCGACGCTCGACGCCCTGATGCAGGATTTGAGGCAGCATATGAGGGAGGAAGAAATAAACGATCTGGGGATTCTGGAGGAGGCGATGTCGAGCCACGACAGCCAAAATCTTTCCAAGTGGTTCAACCGGGCGAAGATATTTCTTCCCTCGCGTGCTCATCCCAGTGCTCCTAGCAAACCGCCCTTTGAAACCGCAGTGGGACTGCTGACAGCACCGGTTGATCAGGTGGGGGATTTGTTCCGGAAGTGGCCTCACAAAAGCCAGGTTGCGGTGTAAATCAATGGCATATAGGGCTATGGGATAGGATTGATAGGAAAAAGGTCAGAACAGGAGCTTTCGGGCCAGCCTTTGCCCCGCTTGACGGGTTGAACGATTTCCCTTCAAATACATAGCTTTGCATCCTCGACTTTTGACTACATTATTGTTAGCTATGTACGCGGAATGCTCGGATGCTGGTTACATAGCTTACCCCCTTCGAGGGTTACCGATGAAAGATTGATCTAGCCAGTCAATAGGAAAGGCGGAGCATATTGAACCTATGGTTTTCTAAGATGCAGGTACTCCAAATAGACAATAACACAGCACTGGAGAACATGCTCCCGGAGTTTTCGGGTTTGTCCAAGGGGACACATTGGAGAGGAAAAACGTAGCATATCATGGGGTAGGAACTCAAAAGGTACGTATGAGGGGAACCAATTGCCCACGGTGAAGAGCTCCTCGCAACGAATACGTCGAAGAATAGATACGGAAAAGCCTACCGGACGTCAAATACCCCTATTCTCAAGCTCTAAGCCACATGGGAGAGTCTAGAAGCTCCTGAACAGTTGAACTTCGTGGGTACGGGAGTTTAAGTGTCGATCACTGTGATAGTGCGCGTCAGGAGACTTTCCTTCTCCATGCTTTCTGTAGCATATTGACTAACTACTCCGGAACACCTGGGTTGTGGCTATGAGGATGAGTCTTATTTGGGTAAATGAGGATATCACCAATCAAGTCTAGCTCGGCCTGAAGAAATGCTGCGCCCTAACGCGCGGCAGGAGTGGAGCACCATATATACTCCGTACGGCAGAGGCGTTTCCAAGTCTAGAGCTATTGAAGTGGCTGATTTCTGACAGTGGTGGAGATCTTACTGGCTAACTCTCCGGCCATCGTGAAGAGGTTAGCAAGAAAGATGCAGAAACGACACGCGGCGCCAAGGAGTCCATCTGCACCAGGAATCACAAGCCCTATTCTAGCAAGCACCTATGGCTGTCCTGGGATTACGCATACCTTCATTCAGATCTTCTATCTTGTACTTCTTCGTGGGGGAGGTGACGCGGCTTCCTCTCAGCATCCTTCTGGGAGTCGACTGGTATAAAGATGCCCCAGGGTGGCAAGCAGAGGAGGGGAGTGAACATTCCCCCATCAACTACTTCAGTCTATCTGCCTTGAAAGCACTGTCACCATGCACTTCTCTCAATTGTTTGTTCTCACTGCGGCCACCTTGGTCCTGGCCCATCCTGGCGAGAAGCATGATCCTGCCGCATTGAAGCGGGAAATCCATGCCCGTGATGTCCAGGCCATCAGGGCAAAGCGCGCCTTGGATGCGTGCTCCAGCTCTAGCCATGCTGTGCAGTTGAATCAGCGCAATGTCGCTCGTCGCGCTCATACAGCCCGTGAACTTCGCAAGGCTCGAGGCATTACAGCTAGTATGTTGCCCATCTGATGTCTGTCTGTCAACGGGGGGGGAAGAGAACTAACCGAATAGATCCTCGCAAGTGGCGCAGAGACCTTGCTGCTCTCGAGGAATGGGAGGCCATCGATCACAACAAGACCGACATCTACAACTATGGCCCTAACACTTCTCCTGATGTTATCTTCGGCGGCAATACGAGTGCCATCCTTGCCCCTACCATCACTGATGGGCCGTACTACGTCTGGGGTGAAATTATGCGTGAGGACGTGAGGGAGGACCAGTACTCGGACGGTGTGGATGTCTTCCTGGAGGTGCAGTATATCGATGTCAATACCTGCCGGCCTCTTCAGGGTGCCGTTGTTGATATCTGGAATGCCAATGCTACGGGTGTCTACAGGTTCGTCCGCCATTTTTCACTCAAAAAAAAAAAAAAAAGAAAAAGAAAAAAGAAAAAAGAAGAAAGATTCTAATGTAAACAGTGGTATCGTGGCTACCGGTAATGACGCCGCTGATGGTTGGGATTCGACCTACCTCCGTGGCATTCAGCAGTCCAACGAAGATGGAATCGTTACTTTCCAAACCATTTTCCCCGGCCACTACGAGGGTCGTGCAACACATACCCATTTGCTGACCCATCTCAACGCCACTATTAACCGGAACAACGGTACCCTGGAGGTTGGAACGGGCACTGTCACCCATATTGGCCAGTTGTTCTGGAACGAGGTGCTCCGCTCTGCTGTTGAGGACACTTCCCCCTACAACACCAACACCCAGGCTGTCACCTCGAACGCTGAGGATATGTGGAGTGTCTTGCAGGCCAGCGACGAGTACGACCCATTCCCGGAGTACATCTACCTGGGCCAGGGGCTGGACGATGGACTGTTTGCCTGGATTCAGATTGGTGTCAATGCCTCGGCCGATTACACCGATAACAGCTACTACAATATCGCCGCTTATTACTATGAAGACGGCGGTGTTGAGAACTCTTCTGGCTCCATGGGCGGTGGCAGTGCTCCATCTGGATCTATGCCATCGGGCGCAATGCCCTCTGGGACTCCTATGCCCTCCAGTGCTTGAGCGTTTTCCTACAACTGACAAGAGGTCTTGTCTTGTCTTTTGAAGGAGGGATACGACCAACATCCATAGATATGGATGCAACATTCAGAGCGGTATCTTTCCAATATTTCTTTTCGTGCTAGATGTAGATACAGACTATGAATTAACTTCAGACTGCGGGGTCGTTCTTTATTTGCCCTGGAGATGTTTCTTGCAAAGGTTCCAACTTTCCCGAATGTAGGTAATAGAAAAAGATCCCTTGTAAGGGCAACTGTCCAGGGGAACCTGCTTACAAGGAATGAAGCACACACACCCCTTGGTATAACGTGGAGAGAGTGAGATGTGTAGAACCCACCTTTGAAGTGGTTGGGTTAGGAGCTCATTTTTGTAGGTGAATAGTGAAAGATGACAATAATAGAATTTTCAGATATATATTTCTCATAAGGTACGTTCTACACATGGTTCCGACGGGCCAAGTTCAGAGGGACTTCGACAAGACCACAGTATAGTTAATCAACGCCTTTATAGCCTTTTGAAACCGGATGACGTTAAGATTAGCTTGCGCCTATACATAGAGCAGGGAAGATCATCTCGTTTAGCGCAAGGCCATCCCGCAAAATGACGCTGGGGATTGCTCTCTGGAACGGATAACACCGGATTGGATCATTGCCAATCACTCGGAAAAGAGACTCCTGCTACGGTCTCGATCCTCCTCAGGGTTACATAGCGAGGCGACGGTTCGCGGGGTCTGGGGAGACTGTCACTCATGGGATAACAAGCTGGTATAAATCCGAACCACCCAGTCCAGGGAAGCATCAAACGATGATGTATGAACACCTGATAACACCCGGACACCAGGCCCAATCACATATATCCTCAAATCTTAATGGAGGGCGAACCGTCCAGCACAAGCGTTTGGGGGGGGGGGGGGGGGCGGGGTACGAGCGGAGAGGGATAAAGTATCCAGTATAAGCAACCAGCCCTGAACGCTAAACGCCATGGGAGGGACCGCGATGCGAGGGTTATATTCCCCGGATGACGCCACAAGCTGTGCCCACGGGGAAATGATAGGTTGGAACGGAGGTTGGGGACCCCAGACTTTGGTTGGAGCCGAGCCTTCGTTGCTTCTGGTAGATGCCACGGGATGATCTCTCCGCATCCAAATACGACATGACATTTCCTGTCATTTGCGTATCGTCGTGTTTATCGTTGTCCGTGGTGGGGTCTTCATTATCCTAGGCGCGGGGAGAATTGAAAAACCATGTCGTTCCCCCGGCTGCCGGCGGCGGATTCTCTCTATTTTATGGCATTGGAACGCTCCTCTTTATGATTGCACCTGAATAATATGGACGGTATCTCTGAAATCACTCCTGGTAACCACAAGGAGGGTGCTAGGGCTAGCGTTGAGCACTCTGAGAAGGGACAGACCCGTGGCATTTATGATATTGAAGAAACCAATCGCCACAGGCCCAATGCAATATTTGACAACCCGCTGGCGGGGGTCCCTCGCGAACAGCTTCTAGAGGACGTGGAGCGCTTTTGCAAGCAGCATGGCCTCGAGGAACATGTGCAGCTCTTCCGCAAGGGAGCGTTGGTGTCCCAAAACCCAGCAAGCGCACAGAGTCTTCCTGAACTATCGGAAGTTGATAAAGAAGCTCTGCGTCGCGAACAAACCCATAAATGGGATCAACCGTGGATGCTGTATTTCATGGCTTGTAGGTCACTCCCCCGACCCTCTCGCGTGCTATGGAGATGTCAGAGACTGATGTACGAAGCGATGTGTTCCATGGCTGCTGCTGTTCAAGGAATGGATGAAACCGCCAACAATGGTGCGGTTGTGATTTATCCCAAAGTATGGTGGCTTCATTTTTCAACCTATCCTACTAGTCTTCAGGTACTAACGGGAACAGCTCCTTGGGATCCAAGCGGATCGCTTTTCCCCCCAGAGGCAGGACTATATCACCGGGTTGGTTGTCGGGGCCCCGTACCTAGCCTGTGCTATTATCGGTTGCTGGCTAACTGAACCCTTGAACCGCTACTTCGCTCGACGCGGTACGATCTTTATTTCTTGTCTGATCGCGGCTATTGCCTCGATATGGGAGGGGGTTGCAAACTCATGGGTGAACCTGTTCATGGCTCGGTTTGTCTTGGGCCTGGGCATTGGTTCAAAGTCATCCACTGTCCCGGTATACGCCGCCGAGTGCTCCCCGGCTCCCATCCGGGGCGCCCTCGTCATGATGTGGCAGATGTGGACGGCGTTCGGTATCATGCTGGGCAACATCATGGGTGTGGCATTCATGAATGTTAGAGAAGACCTTTCATGGCGTCTCATGCTTGGCTCGACTGTGGTGCTCCCACTCATTGTCTGCTCACAGGTTTACTTCTGTCCTGAATCTCCGCGCTGGCTGATCGAACACAACAAGATCGATCAAGCCTTTCGGTCATTTCGCACTCTCCGACCTACCGACCTGCAGGCTGCCCGGGACCTCTACTACGCCTATGTGGGTGTCCAGATGGAGCGGGAGATCAACCAGGGGAAGAACTTCTTCACCATGTTCCTCGAGCTGTTTACCATCCCACGGAACCGCCGAGCGACACTTGCGACTTGGATCGTCATGTTCCTCCAGCAGTTCTGTGGAGTTAATGTCATCGCCTACTACTCGACGACTATCTTCAAGGACTCCGGGTACAGTGTCCAACAGGCGCTCCTGGCATCGATGGGGACGGGGATTTTGAACTGGGTGTTTGCGATCCCGGCCTTCCTCACGATCGATACCTGGGGCCGGCGCAATCTACTTCTCTTCACCTTGCCGTGGCTTGCGGTTTGTCTCCTGTGGTCTGGGTTCTCCTTCTGGATAGACGAAGGCATCAAGGATAGCAAGACACGGGTGGCCATGGTCACGACAGGAATGTATCTTTTCGAGGTGTTCTACTCCCCCGGCGAGGGCCCAGTGCCTTTCACATACTCAGCCGAGGCTTTCCCATTACACGTTCGTGAGGTCGGCATGTCATGGGCAACCGCCACGACGTGGTGCTTCAACTTTATCCTATCGTTTACATGGCCAATGCTACTGCGCGTATTCAAGCCCCAGGGCGCATTTGGTTGGTATGCCGCCTGGTGCTTGATTGGATGGGGTTTGGTTTTGCTGTTGGTCCCCGAAACCAAAGGTATTTTACTTCCCCCCCGGTGGATTTGTCGCAGCCAATACTGACCAGGATAGAACTTACCCTGGAGGAGCTCGATCAAGTATTCTCCGTTCCAACCCGCAAACATGCTGCCTATCAGCTGCACAACGCGATCTGGCATTTCCGGGTCTGGGTCCTACGACAGAAACTGGAGCCGATGCCCAAGCTATACGAGCGAACCGAGCAGGTAGTAGAAAGGGAGAAGCACTGACCTAATGAAGAGCTCTGGTTTGATAATAGCATTCTTTTTTTATGGTTATGTAGGTTCTTACAGACTGTCATTATGGTCGTCATGGGTGAGAGTACCTTGCGATCTCTGGAATGTATTCTGGTTGAATGGTTTCTCGTCGAACCCTGTAATGAGGGCTATATTTCCTCGTTGAAGGGAGAGCGTCGCATTTAGTATGTTAGCCTGTGGGTTGCGTCTATTGTAAATTGTTGGAGTGCTGCACTCAGTGAATGCAACCAGCACCACCATAAAGAAGAAGATAGCGACACGTGACTACTCTGTGTATTTAAGCCACCATTTCCTTCCAGATCTCCATGCTTCTTCCAAGCATCTCCTTCTCTCTATTTCCTAGTTAGACCAATTGAATCCATTTCGGTCAACTTTCTACTGTCATCATTTGACGACCTCTCATCATAAATCACAAGGACCTGTAAAGTTCTTGAGATTGATGAGCTCGCGATGCACATTGTCACTCCAGCTCTCGGAACACGCTTAGGAAATACAAGTAGTATCCAATAACCATATGAATACTGTGTCAGAATGGGGAAAAATTGCTTAAAAATAGGATATCAGTCCCGGCAGTCCAAGAGGCTCTCCGCCAATCGGAAACCCTGGAGACTTCCAACACTAGGTAATTCCCCAGTCGAAACTGATGGAAAAATAGAAATCATAATTCACGAGTAGTTTTGATAGTATTTAAGAATGCGATCTGCTCAATTTCATTTCGGCATCCGAGTCTTCAGTTCCTACACTACACCATGTCACACAACATCCTCCTCACCGGTGCGTCAGGATACCTTGGAGGCACTCTTCTGGCACGATGGACCAGCGCCAGACTACCACCCTACCGGAAACTATACGCTTTAGTTAGGAATGACAAGCAGAGTGAAGCGGTTAAACAATATGGTGCTGAGCCTGTCAATCTTGATATATCCGATCATGCCGCGTTGCACGAAACCATCGTCCACCACGAGATTACCATCGTTTATTTCCTCATTGACGCTCTCGATTCCACACACCAAGTCCCTATGATCAAAGCCTTGGGACAAGTGAAGGCAAAGACGGGGAAAGAGGTTCATTTTCTCCACACAACCGGGGCGAAGCTGTTCAGCCGCCACGCCGGAATTCCAACAGATCGGCCTTTGCTTGACACCGACCCAATGCTGTATGAGCTTCTCAAGAACGCAAAGTCCCCGCACAGCATTTTTGACAGGGTGAGTGGCGTGGCTGGCTATGCTCCTGGACCTCCTTCTCCTCCGTGCCGCTAATGATCCTGAACTTAACTTGAAGCCCGCTCGCGCGAATCTCACGGTAATTGATACAGCGGACGCGTTTGGTGTCAAAAGCTATGTCTTTGCGCCCTGTTTAGTCTACGGTCAAGGCGAAGGGTTTGGGAACAAGATTTCCATCCAAGATGTTGCGATCGTTAAAGCAGCTCTTAAGCTTGGGAATGTTTACAAGGTGGACACCGATAATCCGGTATGTTTACAAATCCATATCAGATGGGGGCTCCACTAACTACGGGCATAGATCTGGCCGGTCTGCCACGTCGTGGACACTATAGAACTATACTTGCAAATACTGCGCAAAATCCTATCCGGATCAGAGATTGGTTGGGGAAAGAACGGCTTCTTCCTCGCTGCATCGGGCAGCATCCATTGGAATGACGTTTACGAGGCTATGGCTACCGCACTCGCCAAACGAGGAGTGATTAACAGCCGACGAATCGCGCAGGCCGATGATGAAGTCCTTGCCAAAATGGGAGAGGCACTGCAAGTCCCACCTGCGATAGTCCAAGTGCACCTAGGCGGAAAGTAGGTTCTCAATCCGCAAACTTTCGAATAGTTAAGCAAGTCCGTCACTAATACTCCGTCTAGGTGTCTCTTTACGGCAGAGCATGGGAGAGTTCTAGGGTGGAAGCCTCATTATCCTCCTGAGCATATTTTGGATGCCGCCGATGCTGAAGTGGATTTGATCCTTCGGAATCTTTAAAGTCTATGGATGATCAGGGGATACACTTTACATTATTATCCGAATCGCTGATTGAATGAAGTGTCGTTGTGTAATATATATCACAGAATTCCGGATGTGACTTGTGGAGTTATCTGGACGAGCTTGATAATACGGACTTTATATACTTACTATATACTCTCTTTAGACTACGTCACCGTACAAATTGAGATCGATGCAATTCAATATCCACAATCCCCTTTTGGCCAATTCCGGATATTCCTGTTGGACTTTCACCTTCGCAGGTGAAGAAGCGCCTCCTGCAAATATTCTGGACAAGACATTAAGCGTTCAGATTCCTGTCCTTCGGCAGGAGGACCTGGAACAGCCCGAGTCCGAGTCGAGCGAGGGCGCCTCTCCCGGCCATACTGCTATGACCAATGCAGGGATTGCATATACGCTTCAGTACGTCTTCTATTCAGGTCTACCCTCCCGACTCCTCGGACTCCAGTGGGCTGTTTTTGCGCGGAAGGTGGGAGTCGCGACCAAGCAATCGGGATGCCGTCAAGTGTTGCTGCATAATGGTAATGTACTCGATACTGCGTTCAATTTGGTCGGAATCGGAATACGCATGGCGCAATCTCTCAATCTCGAGCAGAACCCAGCAGCCCCGGGAGAGTCCAACGCACAGGAAATCGCCTTGTCGTCCCGGATTTGGTGGACTTTTGATCCACCTGGATGCTCGCTGCTCCCGACACTTGGGGAAGCCGTACAAGACGGGGATTGCTTTTACGCAGGGCTCGTCATCGGCTGCCTGGCCACTACCCCCCGCCTATCCCGGGAGTAGGCGATTTTCCATATCATAGCCCGGTGGTCGGCTTAACCAGGGCAGCAATTGCCGGTATCGATGGAGTTGCGCGAGCGGAGGGCTCCGGTCAAGACGGCGATGTGGAGGTTCACGCACGCACAGATGCCGTCACACAATTTACATTACCTTCCTGAATGGCGCGACGGACGGCTCCAGGATGACAATTTCAAGCACATACAGACAGATGAGTTGTCAAAGCTGTTGCTGCTTTACGGCTGCAGTCGCAGTCTTGACGAGTCTCATACGCGTACCGAAAACAAGGTCAATATTGCGGTACCTGTACCCAGCACCACAGTGCAACAACTTGGTGTATTACCTGCAACTTCCATACCACGACGTTGTCATAGCTTTGCATCGCAGATTCATCCAATTTCCTGGGCATATTACCCTACCCACACTTCCGACAGAGTGGCCCTGTAGGTGCAAGGAAAAGAACAAGCAGACACAGCATTGTGCACTCCAGTGGCGGACGAGGAACCGCTTTGGTCGGACCTGGATCTAATAGATAAAGATATGTGGCCGAGTTATTGGAGCGAGGTTAATGATGCCTTTGCCGACCAAGAAACTGTCGCGGATATGGTAAATAATCTTTGAGAGAGATGTATAAAAGCCATTAACTTGGCACAATGAGGTTGAAATATATCGTCTACGAGCACAGGAAGACTAGCTACAAGTTCACGAAGATATATCCAGAAAGATGCAACATGTTTACTCGAGTATCAGATCAGGTACACGATCTCCCTGAGAATATCATGCTAGTGTTTTGACAAAAGAGGCCCAGAAACTTGCCCACACCTCCCGTTTATGATTCCAAGATATCCGAACCCGGTCTAGATTGTTGAAACAAATGCAGTCAAGTCAAGAACAAGAAGAAAAAAAAAAAAGGGAAAACCAAAGTCTATGCCCACTTCCCAATAAGAGCCATGATACCTGCTCCGGCCAACGTACACACGACCATGAAAGCGATGCGCTTGCGATTCTTCGTCCGCTTGGGGTCGAAGATGAAGTCACTGGCCAGGAGTTCCACGAGACCCGTATAGATTAAAATGCCGGCGGACGTGGCATCGAGGACTCCGGCGATGATGTTGGCAGTGTTGGAGTTCGGGTTGTAGGTGGTGCGCACGCCTAAGCCGATGGCGATGGAGATGGGGGTGGTCAGTCCGTACGCCAGACACATCAGCCAGGGCATCCAGCTGCCGCGCTTGAAGGGGATCGTCGACATGCGAACGCCGATGCCGAGTCCCTCGAAGCTCTGGTGGAAGACCAGCACGGGGTACAAGGTGGTGAATTCGTCTCCGACGACGCCGAGGTTGAGGCCGATAATCACGGAGTGGAAGATGACGCCGAACTCGAGGATGAGGAAGGCGGCGATCTGCTGTTCGAAGGACCGTTCGGCGGCTTCGGGGTCCAAGTGGACCACGTCGAAGGTGCGCTTCTCGTCCAGGGTCGGCGGGGGGGTTTGCTCCGCGGTCGTCAGGTTCTCGACGATAACGTTGGCGGTGTCCATTTTGGCGATGCCGAACTTGGACTCGACGTACAGGTCGGCTCCGAGGTCCAGCAGGAACACGCACATGGCCGAGGTGAGGGCGATGGCAGGGGGCCAGGAGTAGAGCGCCCAGTTCCCGGTCATCCCCACGCAGGTGTTTGGTCCGATTTCTGCGTAGGCAGGGTCGAGCAGGTGGACGAAGGCCGTGGCAATGATGACGCCCGTCCCGAAGTATCGAGCAAACATGTAGACGTACAGCGGGATTTTCAACTTCGGAGACCGCAGCGCGAGCACGGGGAAGAAAGTGACCGCCGTCGAGACGAATAAGATAACGAAGATGGAAGAAATGCGAGCCCCAAGTCTGCCATCGTAGTCATTGCCGGATGCATTGATGAAGCAGACCACCTCGGCAGGGTCTGCCTCGTAAAGATTGACATTGGAGGGATCAAACGATGCCATGATGGTGACCAAAACCAAGACGGGGGATACTGGGGATACTATACTACAGTATCAAGCTCATGGTGCGTTGAGCCCTCCTTGTTATACTGGCCGCAGGGAGTACCTTGGCAGCGAGACCGTGTGATGTTTTTTTCTTTTTTTTTTCTCTTTTGCCTTGACGAGGACCTTGGAGACAAATTAAATTGGGGTGATTGGGAATACTACTACTGGGATATAGAAAATACGTGCTGGGGACTAAACCCAGCAGATGAGTATCATTGGTACAGATTCATCCCGGCGTGGAGTTCGCTAAAAAAATGCTTGGTATAATCGGCACAAACCTGGCCCACCTGCCCCCGGGAGGGGATTATAAGCAATAAGAAGAGCAGTTATTGGTACATTTGCTGGGATTATTGAACAGGAGGGGGCGAATCGCATGATAATATGAGACTTGAGGTCTCATATACGCTCCAATCCCAGAATAAGTTACTCGGCATGGTGATTGACGGCCACACATGCAACAATATAGCAAGGTATATAAAAGTAAAGAGAAAGGGTAGATAGAAGGACCAGGATTCCTCCAAACTCTCCAAGATACCAGCAGTAAATGAGATCATGCATATAGACTTGACTAAATCGCCAGCCGTCTCAACCCTTGTTCCTACCACCGATTGCAGGAGAGTTAGCGACAGTAGAACCCGCATATCAAGATCAATCGTACATGCCCTCACATTAGGGTTTATGATCTTTGAGTATATTCAGTAGGGGTATCCCCGCTCGAGTTGCCCGGGGGTTGTGGTCGCATACACTATCGGTGCCGGTTTCTGGACTATATGGGACTCGGGCACCCACTGTACGAGAGGAGGCGGCTGGAATGCATTCTGGGATTGCAACTCCTTTTCTTTTTTGTCTTTTCGATATTTCACCATGAGGACTATAACAATGGCAATGACGATCAGGATAACAATTGGAGCGATGATTATCTTGAGGAGTGCTTTAACAAGACCCATGACGACGGCGGAGGGAAGGATCACGGAGTCAACAAGCGAGGAGGGTGCTGAATGGTAGGTTAGCGAGAAAGTACGGTTCCATCCATGGGAAGACTTGCGCTTTTATGCCAAAGTAACTGTGACCTAGGAATGGTGACTTCCAGTCTAGCAAAGGCCATCACACTGCATCATCTTGTACCAAGGAGACATATATATATCTGCCCCACCACGGCGCCTGCTGAGGGTCATCCTCAATTCTCTTGGAGGCAGTTCTTGGTGCAGTATAGCACTATTCAGATGGCAATAGGCTAGTCGTGTTTTGCGTGCCATTCATCAGGAAACCGGCAAATCCCAAGGCTGAGGATCACCATGATACCCTGTGAGAGGAGACAGGAGACAGGGTCCAAATGTCTACCAGGTAATAGAGATTGTATAAAAATCGTAGGTCTGTTGAAGGCGTATACGAGAGAGGAGGCCAGGCAAAACCCCCCAAGCTAAAGCTCTGAATAGCGCTTATACTCGACGTCTGGTTGGATGGTGCGAGTGCCTGAATGTTCCATCATGCGCCAAACTGAATCATGGGATAAAGCGTGCATTATCCACTCAGGTTCCCGGCATCAACCCTTCAGTTTAGTGAGAACTGCAGAGGATTAACCTGAAAGATGAAAATCCCCTATTACCCAGCATATTTCTGCCTAGCCTTCCTCCGTACTAAGTAAGTGCTTATAGTCTCTAGTACTCCGTAGTCTCTACTCTCTAGTGGTCGTTAGCGCAAGGAATTCAGCCCTGTAAAGGCCTGTCTGTAAAGGCAATTCCTGTTACAATCCGTGAAGCCTAGGCAACCATGAAAGAACAGTATCCAATGAGCAGGCTTACTCCGGTCTTGGAGCTTCTTAAAAGGAAGCGCGAGCAAGAATCCGAGACGTGGCTGAATCTTAGAAAGGACTGTCCAATCCTGTACCCTATCCTATATGTATCCCTACGTATGACAACTACGGGAAACTTGACATTCATTGACTAGCCCTGCTATAACCCTGAACCCTCGCGATCAGCCGATCTACGAATCTTGACATGCATTACCCGCAATCTGCCTAAATGTAGATGAAGGGTCTATCGGATGCAGTGATCTAACTCTCTACTTTCTCCCGAAGCTCTGACAAACTCTGACAAACTCTGGAATGCGACGAATTTTTGCACGAGGTGGCGTTCTCTGTTCCCTCTTCCACGGCACGAATAACGCGGCCGGTGGGGATAGACAGTCCTTCGGTAGCTAACCTGTGTAATAAGATATGTCGAATTGGACTCGGAACCCGCTTGATGGAGGAGAAAGAGGTCCAAAGTAGGTTTGTCTTCTGCCGATTTCTGAGCACAACGAACTTGTCCCATGCAGCCTTACATACAGGGCGAGCACCAGCGCGTCAATAATCGACTCCTGCCCACATCATTTTCCGCACACGAGACCCCCCTTCCACAAATATAAATACAGGAGCCGTGGAAAAAGACAGGCACGGAGAGTGGGAGACCACCCAACTTTTTTTCTTTGGTGTCCAAATGGATACCACTGCTTCGGAGATTACGGTGTCCCTTGAAATGGGGTCCGCTGACAGGCTCCCCAAGCATTCGTCGCATTCTCCATTCTCATCGAACCTTGACTCGATGACATTTATTCGGCATCGACGTCGTTGGATCCCGTCGAGACAGTGTATGCTACGGAACAGTTTACTTGCTGGCGTCGGGTACCTGGAGCTCGCCAATGCGGGAGACTTTGCGGCCAATGTGTGGAACGAGACTCCGGTTCCGGTATACGCGACAGTCCTGATGGCAATAGGGGGCACTGCTGCTCTGGCGATGTCGGTCGTCACCGTTAAGGATGCGCACCTGAGTTGGGAGAATATTCGCCTGCTCCGGGAAGAGCGACACTTTCTGCGCTCCCACCGCGTCACGGAGTCGGAAAAAGACGACGCAGTCGATGTTGACATCGACAGCCACCTGGACGTCAATTCCCGGGAATTGGGCACGGAACTCGTCGATCGGATTGTCATGGACGTTTTCCTGGGGATCGGAGCCGTCCTCGTGGGCATCGGTGCGCTCCTGGCGATCGGAGGCGCCAACCACAAAGTGTGGCTCGCGAGCAACCTCTTGTCCGGATATCTTGGGAATTCGCCGGCCGCGCTGTACGGGCTCCTGAACGCCGTGTGGTCGAGCTGTCTCTGGGCTCGCGCCGATCACCACGGTCTCGCCGGCGCGAAGGAGCTCGACCGCGAAATTGTCCGGGGCCATCTACAGCCGCGGCTGCGCTCGATTAAACTGCACGCCTGCACCAACGGAATCTCCGGGCTGGTTGCGGGAGTTGCGTCGATGATCACTGCCACGCACTGGTGGGGGTATGTGCTGTTGCTGCCATGTATTATAGGCTCGATATGGTGTAATTACTACTGGAGGCATGCCGTCGGATACGAGCGTCCGTGTTGTCGCCTGCATCTGACCAGTCTATCAAAGGACTCTCTGCTCCAGGCGCTTCAAACCTTTTCCTTTGCGCGGCAGGCCCTCGAAACCCCGCCGACGACGACTCGCGCGTCTCCGTCGTCTGAGACGGCCATGCAGCCCCCCCTTGGCGATCTCATCGAGGATCCAGGGTCACTGCAATCGGTTCTCGACTTCATCATCGCAAATGATCTCTTCGAGCATCTTTGTGTGGACCTGCTCCAGCGCGAACAACTGGCGGCCGATCTTTTCAACGTATCCGACACGGGAGCAGTGACGATAACCTCTTCGCAGCTGCTGGAAGCTGACACCTATACGTCTCAAATCTTAGAGATTGCCCGACAGTGTATTCTGCGGGTCGGACGGAAGCACTTTTTATATAGAGAGCGGTTTTTGATAGAACTTCTCGGGTGTTATTTGGCCCGGGCCAACGCACCTCGAAGGTCTGCTGCTGTATGATAAAAATGAACCTCATCATGATGATGATGATGATGATCCGGCTCCAGAATAAAGTAGAGATGAAAGTATTAGACCTCTTGAGAACGATAAGCATACACCGTCCGCAGGGTACATAGTGTATAGCAGTCTGACACGTCTTGCTGAAATTCATCAGCCCGGAAAAGCCACTCGCAATCCAAAGCACGACAGCGAGATCTTCCACGGTTCAAACCCCCCAGCGCCCACCGCGAGAATCGGCTGAAGCTATCGGACAGAACAAGAGGTTAGGAAATCTCAGATTCTGCACCCTGGACGATTCACCCGCACAAGGATAACTTATCATCCAACCCTGACTAGAGTAGAGTTGACAACGTGATCCTGGCAAGGATCGAGAGAACCTCATCACATGCGAACTATCAGGAGCAGCAGATGCCAGACAGGATCCTCTCGAACGGTGAGAGTTTAGGCAACACAATTTCATTCATGCGGCTAATATGTATGTGACCAACACAACAATATCGAGGGCTCAGCATGATTGGTACATACATAGTGGTGGGTCTGTTCTGTTCCACCGCAAACTCAGTACGGACTCACGGAGTACGGAGCATGTGGCGCTGGCGCTTGGATTGTCGAGCTGCCCTGGGGGAGGTGAACTGAGCCTCTAAAAGCTAAGCATGGCCGACTTATACCAGAAGCATATAATGAATGAATGTCCTGTGTCAAGGCAGAGCAGCCAACAACCCGAGCAGTCAAACGACGCAAGATTCCCACATCCTCCTCCTATCTTGCTATTCCCGTTTGGAGTGCCAGCGGAGGTCCAGTCCGGCGCGCGAAGTGACTCGACGCCTAGACTAAGGATACCCTCCCCAGCGATTTAGATAGGCACGCACAATGGTAAATCAACGGTTAAGGAAGAGACAGATGAGGTTCAAATAAAGTCGGGATTTAAACGTCTGTCCTGACATCCGCCAGATTGCACAGCCCCCTTACCAAGACTGGATTCGTTCGATGTTGATTCGATATTTAGCTACGGATACAGTATCGACCTCTGAGTAGAAGCCATTCAGATCACAAAGGCCCGAAAGAAGCGTATGATCTTAGTGCGGAGTAAAGTGGCCAGAAACCTATAGAAGAAGGCGTTTAGAAATTCAGCAAGTGAGGAACTCTATAATTCATATTAAAATGGCTAGAACTATACGTCTAGAGTTGCGGCAAAGTCAAGTATCGACCGAGCTTAATACCGTGGAACTCAAGGCAAGAGAAAGCAAGGTCGTCTAGATCGGCTCATCTCTAGGTTCAATGAGAATCTCATTCACAGCCACATGTGCGGGCTGGCGCAGGGCGTAGATGATGGAGTTTGCGACGTCTGTGGGATCGAGAATCTGCGCCCCGGAAGGCTCTCCATACTTCTTGATAGCTTCAGCATCGGTCGACATTCCTGGCAGGTCTGTGGCCGTGTTTCCTGGCTGGATACTTGTCACACGCAGGCCAGTTCCCGCGGTCTCCAGCCGCAGAGATTGCAGAGTAGCTTCGATGAAGAATTTACTGCCCGAGTAAACCCCAAGGCCAGGAAAGACCTTGCGACCCGCATCGGATGAGATGGCAACGATGTGACCTCTGCCTCTGGCTAGCATGCCCGGCACGGTAGACGCCAGAGAATACATAATACCCTTGCAGTTCACATCAACGGTGCGTTCCCACTCGTCCATGTTTATATTAGCCATCATCGTATAGTACATGACGCCAGCGCACGCAACTAGGATATCTACTGGACCAAGCTGCTCACTGGCTGCATTGACGAGACCTTCCACCTGCGATCTGTCTGTAACGTCTGTCTGGTGGAGAAGGACTTGGCCCTCATAACCAGAGATGCTAGATTTGACCGCTTCGAGGGCATCTAGACGCCGAGCTCCCAAGGCAACATGGCAGCCCTCACGCGTCAAAGCAGCAGCAACGGCAGCGCCGATGCCAGAAGAGGCGCCCGTGACTACCGCAACCTTTCCGCTTAAAGGACCCCGACTGATGGCGTTCTTTGGTCTGCCGACACCATTTTGCCTAGTCGGGGCCTTGGATAGCCATCCTCTGGCAAACCAGTGTCGGGTGTAAGTCTCGAGCAAAAATCGGTCGACCTTGGGACGTTCGACTTCTGCGCGGAAGGGTCGGGTAGCCGCATTGTCGAGAACGACAATTCCGCGAAGGAACTCAATTGTCGGCATTCCACTACGGAGAATATCGACTGTAAATGCCCCGTCACCCCCCTTAACGGATCCGCGCTTCTCCGTCCAGAGCGCAACCCATTCGTCCCACGCAAGCGGCTTGGTGGGGTATCCGAGCACTTTCAAGTCTTCAAAGACAGATCGCGTATTCACAGGAGCGGGGTCACCAAGATGAAAGACCGTTTGCTCGGCTTGGGTGTGCGTAGATAGATGGACGATGGCTTTGCTCACAAAGTCAACCGGGGTCATCTCTGCACGCCAGCCCGCCACATCGGGAGAATATCCTAGCTTGATTGACTCGACAATCAACGCAGATAGAAGATCCCAGGCGTTGCCGGCACCAGTCTGGCTGTGGCCGCTGATCGTACCGGCTCTGTGGATCTTCACCGGCAGTCCGCGACGTCCAGCCTCGAGGACGAGCTGCTCAGCCACCCACTTAGTCTGTCCGTATCCATCCAGAAGTTTCTCTGGGACATCGTCAACAGCAAGCATGGTGTTCTCGGGCCAACCCTTGTCGGGTGACGGAGGCAGCACGCCGTTAGTTGAGACGTATTGCACGGTTGCACCGCCCTGACAGGCCAGGCGTAGAATCTCCCGTGTACCGCCGACATTGGGCCCTCTCAGCGCAGCATAGGGGTATACCAGATTAACAGTCGCTGCAGCATGAATGATAACATCCACGCGGGCGGCAAGTTCGGTGAATGCCTCTGGTGAAAGTCCGAACCGGCCACGAGCCAAGTTACCTGGAAGGATTTCCACACGCTCCATGATAGAATCGCCCCAAAGACCAAGATCAAGGAGGTTCCGACGGATTCTTGCGACACCGCTGGGCTGATCATCGTCTTCTGGTTCATTGAATCGGACCAAACAGATGATGTGGGCCGAGGTACTGTCCACGAGGTCCTTAAGCAGGAAAGCACCTAGGAATCCGGTCACACCTGTGAGAAGAACCGTTTCGGCATCGCTAATGGAACAGATATTCGCGTTTGAGGGTTTGATGTCCTCGTCAAGGGTGGCATCTGCGCGTAGCACCGCAGGGAGCTCAGCCTGCACCGCAGCAGTGTGGCCATCCCTAACAGCACGGACTGTCTCAAGATGCCCAGTGAGCGTGGAGTTGTCCGCAAGTCGTGCGATGGGGACACGGCATCCAAACTTCCTTGAAAGTCGGGAGGAGAGATCCGCAATTGAAAGAGAGTGGCCGCCGAGGTCGAAGAAATTATCCTCCGCCTTCAGGATAGACTTAGGGACCTTCAACGCGGCGGCCCATATCGTGGCAATGTCGTCAATGCCGATTGGATCGGCCTCAACTTTTTGACCATTGCCATTCACGGCATCAACAATATGAGGTGAGGGGAGGCGTTTCAGATCGATCTTTCCGGAGACCGCGTTTGTTGGGAGCTCTTCCATTTCAACCCACAATGCTGGGATCATATACGGGGCAAGGTACGGTAACAAGACTCGTCGTGCGCTAGGGCTATGTCCAGACTCGTTAATCTCAACCGCTGGGCGCTCAGCAGATTGGTCCTTGTCGACAACAATATACGCAACCAGCTGACGCTCCAGGCCCTCGCCATGTGCAATCACAGCGCAGTGACGGACAGCCAAGTACTTTCCGATGTCATTTTCAACCTTACCGGGCACGATAGAATATCCGCGCAGTTTAATCATCAACCCCAAGCGGCCCGTGATCTCGAGCGTACCTGAGGGGAGCAGCCGGGCCATATCTCCGGTGCGGTAAATGAGAGATCCCGGAGCTCTGTCAAAGGGGTTCGGTTTAAAGGCCTCGCGAGTTTTCTCCGGAAGGTTGAGGTATTCTCGAGCAAGCAGAGAACCGCCGACTAGCAGCTCTCCACTTGTTCCAGGTTCTACCTGCCGTCCGTCCTCATCGACAATGTATATTCTCTCTGGGTCCAAGGGAGGACCAACGGGGCAGTATTGTGATTCTTCATCTAGTATTTCTCGAATATCCCCGCAGGCAACTTCGTGTGTTTCGCAAGTACTGTAGCAATTGAGCAGGCGCGTGTTGGGAAGAGCCTTGATCGCGCGACGGGCAAGGTCAGTGGTCACGACCTCGCCATTCAGCCAGAGTGTGCGCAAATCCGGAAGGCGAGCGCCAATATGCGGATGTCTGGAGAGGACGGTTGCCAGGAGCGTGGGGGTCATCAGAGTTTCGGTGATTCTCTTGGAAGCAAGAAGGTCAACCAGCGTAGCCGGGTCGTAGCTGGCGTCATCAGGCACCGCGACGACGGTCGCTCCACGCAGCAGTGGGCGGATGATCTCCCAAATAAAGAAGACATTACAGGCGACACGATCTCCAGGGTGGAGGTCCTGCACGCCAAAGCGAAGATTATATGAGAGCACCGGGGCTCTATGGGGGTTCGCAATGCCCTTCGGCTTCCCCGTTGTACCGGACGAATACGAGACAAATGCAAGCCGCTCCAAATCATCCTCAGCAGGCAGAGGTCCCGGCTCTTTAGCGTGACCGTCGACCTCGGTAGCAGGGATATCGAGAGCAATTACGGGCACACCAGCCTTGATCTTGCGAACCTCACCACTAATGGTAACCACCACAGCGGGGTTGGAGTCATCGATCACATCTGCCAGCAGATCCGGCGGATAGGCCAGCTCGAGAACGAGGAAAGCGCCGCCAGCACGGAGGGCCGCGAGACAGGCAATTACATAGTGAGCGCTTCGTGGGAGAAGCACCCCCACCAGACTGTCTCGGCTAACTCCATAGCTCCGCAGGCGGCAGGAAAGGGTCTCAACCTCCTTATCTAATTCCGCATATGTGTATTTGGCCGTGTCGTCTTCTAAGGCAAGGGCATCGGGGGTAGCACGGACTTGGTGGGTGAAGAGTGCCGAAAGATCCTTGGTGGTATCAATAATGGACATTGTTCGGTTATATATAGAGGGCGAGGGGGAGGTGGGCTGTTCACTACAGAGCGCAGCCAGGACCACCTTCGGAAGGAATTGCGGGATCGGGGAAGCTCAAGGCGAAGGTGACTGGCCGTGAAAGCAATTTATTTTATTTATTTTATCTCATCAGCAAGATCCAAACAGGGCACTGGATGGTGGACTCATTGGCTGCCTCAAAACTCACGGAATAGAACGAAGGCGTCAAGAAGAAGAAGCAGCAAAGAAGATGGTGGGATCCGGAGAGAAAAGAGACATTGCAAAATCACCTGGAGCTCGATAAACTCGTTATCACTCTCGCCTGTCCAGGTGGGGTTCACATGTTATTTTATTTGATTTTTCTCTTTACATTTCCTTCGTTATCCGTAGTGCGAACTACGAAGGCGCTAGGGGGGTTGGTTCCTATTTTAGACTGTGGCTGCTCAACGCACAAGTCAGCATATATCAAGGCTTCTTCCCCGTGGAGTATAAGTCGATGGCTTCATGAAATCATACACGCGGAGCAAGGCACCGTGTTGGTTGACTCTGACGGCGGCAAATGTCAATGCTCCCGGTCTAATGATACTATCGTCGTCCTGAAGGATATCCGACCTGACCCAACCAGTGAGGAGCGCAGATTGACTCCAGTGTACCACCAGATTTTCCGGGCTAGATCTGTTGAAAAGGCCTCGTGTTTGCTTCTTCAATTTCCAATCCCATGTGTCTACCGAAATCACAACAGATCTCCAGAAAATGCCTCAATACCTGCAGTCTCATCCTCGACGGATCAGGATACTGATGAGAACCATGGTTGGACGTGCGAGTTACCCCGACTCTTTCCGGTCGCGCAGTTCTCTCTCAAAGCGAGATCCGATCGTATCTCGGACACCCAAGCGTTGGCTGAGCAATCGCCATCCCAAAATCAAGGATGAGTGAGGTCTGTGTCGGTTGAGCTCCAGTGGGGTCGAATCGGCTGCATCTCCCGCCCAACAAAGTAAAAAAGTCCCGAAGATTGGCACCCAACCAAAGTAATTCCGGACCGCTCCGTATGAGATGAAGAAAGGCTCGATGAAGTTATTCCATTCGAGCTGGATGCCCTGCGTTCACTCCGTGATGTCACCTGACCTACCCCAGCCCTCAAGATATGACCTTTTGCGGTGTCTAACCTCCCATTCTACATTGAAAACCATCAATGAGACCGAGGTTAGTCAGGGTTTAAAGATTGGATAACCCCTTCCAGTGTAAAACTGTGGATGAATAAATAGACCTGGCTATACACAGCCACCTAGAACTGGGGAATACTTTGGCAGCTAAATGCAACTATAGTCGTCTCTCCAAGAGCCTTGATGACGATAGTTTTTCGACTAGGTTAGACACGCTGCATGCATTTATGTCTTGGTCGGCTATATTAAGATGACCTCTGAGTAATTATTCGTTCGATAATTATCTGTTTGGTTTGACAGTGCCTAACATAATCCAGGAGAATATTCACTAGAAAATGTCAAAACACACAAGCCCAATATATATATAGAAACAGAGGAACCGAGATGTTCTATTTACCACCGTAGAGGCCGAACTAGATATGTATGTATACCAGTAAATGAGGGACAATAACTTAAACTAGGAACCGCCAATAAAACCCCGTCCATCAAACAGCAACATCAATAACAACCCGCACAGCAGATCTCTTGAAATGGAATTCAAACTTATTTCCCGGACCTCTGTCAACCGGATACATCTAGCCCTATGGTTGGGCACCATCCGCAGTGGACGTTGTATATCAGGCGAGAGACCAGTTTGTCCGCTCCCGCACAACTGGTAATCTACCACCATCCACTTGGAGAAGGCGTGGCGGAGCAAGAAACTGGGGTGGAAGAAGGAGTCGGCGTAGACGGGAACGATGGAGATGGCCACGGCATGGGCCAGTCGTACTGCCGGCGTTGCCTGTATTTAGCAACGTAGACCTGGTCTCCTTCCGCAGCGGCGCCACCGTGGTGTTCGTGCACCTCAGGCGTGGGGGTAGGAGTGGTACAGGGGGTTGAGCTGGGAGTTGGCGTTGGGCTCAGGGAGTAGGACGAGGAAGCGGTGATTGAGTAGTAAGGCACAGCGGCAACGTAGCCGATGAAGCCTGCTAGGGCTAAGGCGCCGAGCTTCATTTTCAACGAATTGGGGTGCTAATGAGGGATGGATAGATTGCAGCAAGCGTGGATATAGATGAATTTGTGGGTGAAGTGGGAACAGGGTGAGGGCCGCTGGGGAAACGGCTTTTTATATGTAGTATGGGGCAGAGATTTCTATGAGCCGGAAATTGACCGCTAGACTTTCCATTGTATGGCGGGGGGGGGGGGGGGGGGTGTATATACTACTAACAGAGGGATCTACTGGGATAAAGCAATGATATGCGGTTGTAGGTGGTCGGTCTGTCTCAAGGGACTTTCTGTGCTTCATCCTGCGACTGCATAGACTGAGAATGTGCCGATCAATGGGTTATACCAGATGATCGGCGCTGTAGGAACTGGTGATAGACTGAAAAACAGAAAGGAATAGGCCTAATCAGAAAGAACTTGTCCTGCCTTGCGGGTCCCGGTTTACTCACGGACTGAGGGAGCCATTTATATGATTTGAGGCCGATGATGGACACATTTTTTGCTCTTGCCTCGGCAAGGGTCCGCTACCTGATCACCGCAGTAGATGGGGATGTTCCGTATGGCTTTGCTCCGTGAAGATTATGCAGGGCACGGAGTCCGTGAATGGAGGGTTGCTAACTACTAGGAGAAATGATTAACGCGGAGCAGTTCCAAGTAGATATAACATAGTCAAACAATGTTACATTTACAATTCACGGGAAGATATGTGTGGATATCATTGTTCTGGAGCAAAATGCAAACTAGCAAGTATATACATGAGCCGTAGTACCTAGTAGTGGTATGTTCAGGACTGGGGCTTCAGTTGATATTGCACTATGATATGATACCCAGCCATTCCTTGTATTAGAACATCATCACTCATGTTGAAAGGAAAAAGATTTTGACGGTGGGATCGAGGGTTCAACCGGTCTGGAGACTTTTTGAAACACGCAATCGGCTCGGGAATGCCTATGCTTGATCAACAGTGTATTTTTCAACCGAATTGAGGACCATTAGCTGACTAGGCTAAAGGTGAGGATGCCTCCCTGCTCGCTCAATTGGTCTTATTATCGCTATCTGCTCAAATTCCATGACTGCTCAGAAACTTCAGGATCAGCGCACTGATTTCCGCCGTCTCTGTCTCGACAGCAAAATGGCCAGCATCTAAAAGATGGACCTCTGCTTTGGGTAAGTCACGCTTGAACGCTCCCGCTCCGGGTGGGATAAATATTGGGTCATTTTTACCCCAAACCGCGAGAAGAGGCACCTGGGACTTGCGGAAATATTCATGGAACTTAGGATACAGTTTGATATTATTCCGATAGTCCCAGAAGAGGTCGAGTTGGATATCTGCATTTCCTCGACCCTGAAGCAGTGCATAGTCGAGGGTGTATGACTCTGGAGCGACAAATCGAGAGCTCGATGTACCTTCCTCGTACTGCCACTTGGTGGCTTCAAAGCTCAGCAGACCAGCTGCTAACTCAGATCGGATCTTCGGGTCATTGTTGCTAGTCCACAGCTGTCGTACTTTATCCCAGAACTCACCCAAGCCATCTTCATACGCGTTGCCGTTTTGCGTGATAATGCTCTGCACTGCTTCCGGTCGCTGAAGGGCGATTCTGAGGCCAGTCGGGGCGCCGTAATCAAATATAAACATGGAGAACTTGTTGATGGATAGCGCATCGAGAAACTCTAGGATGACCCTCGTGAGATTGTCAAATATGTAATCAAACCCGCTTGCAACCTCTGTGAAGCCAAACCCAGGGAGGTCCGGTGCGACAACACGATACTTCGACGCCAGCAGTGGGATCAAATTACGATATTGATGAGACGAAGACGGGAAACCGTGCAGGAGAAGCACCACTGGGGCAGACTGTGGTCCAGCATGCCGGTAGAAGACTTTTGCCTTGGAAGCTGGAAGCTCTACACGGTTCAACCTAACAGAGGACATTGTGCGTGTGTTCAAGAGGAAAACTTTTGCTTGTAGATTGGAGGTTGTATGGAGCAAAGTAAATGGGTGAGCAACTAACGCGGATTGCCTGCAGGACTGATGAGCAGCTTATATCTCAATCGTTAGGGCTCAAGAGAGGACACCTTTCTTACACCTCTCTCGCCAATGGCGTGCCATATGCTCCGCGGCTCGAATGTCATGCAAAGCTCCATCTAGACCGTGGATCAGTTGCACAGTCGGGATCTGGTGTGTATATAATTAGGTTGGAGATTAGTGATGACGCGGGAATTCCAGGCCAACCATAAACTAATACGTGTTTTCCAGATCAATATTAACATTTCAACAGTCCTAAGACTAGTCATGCAGCCTCCAAGGTTTGCTTAGATATGAGGAACCTTAGTAACAGTCCGGGCATTCGCATGATTGCAGGCGAGTTGTGATATCATTCTCCTCGTACTAAATCTTCCCATAGATAAGGTTGTGAGGAAACCAAGCTTCTGGGACCGAAAGCGAAACTCTTCCCTAGTTCTTAGACTCCATAAATAGATGTGGAACAGTTGGACATTACGTTAATCGGAAGTGATAACTGAAGAGGCCAATTTAATGAGTGGTGTGATACTATGAATGTAGATAGCTAACCCCAACCGACCTAATTCAATTTCCCAAATATTTACCAGCAGCAGGAAAATATTTGGGAAATTGATGCTGCTGGTAAATATTTGGGAAGGGCACAAGCTATAATACTGACAGAATGTCTGTGATGACTTGGACTGGCTTTACTTTTACTATACTGTTATTTCTGCGGATAGAGTTTGATTTAGGGCATCTCATCTTACTCTGTATAATACGGCAGCTGTTGCTTCCCCGTGAGCTGTCAGATATTACATTTAACATATGAAACTTCCACGTAGATTCTCAACCCTGCCTTCTATGCAACAGTGCATACTGTACTTTGCGTATGGGTCCAGGCAAGGTAATTTAATCTGTGGAAACGCGCTATTAAACGTTGAGAGTCATGCAAACCAACGCGATCTCCACTAATAATACCCATCTAATGAAGATGATTTCCTATATTATTCTCAATGCAAGAGAACATCTTAAAGAACAGTAGTCATTCTGGCTACTATCCAGCATATGGAACCAGGTTCAATCACAACACGTTTGAGCGGTGGCCTTTATACGTTCCTGTTGGTCCTAGACATTCTCCCCAGCAGCTCGTCGGATGGCTCCTGCCATCTGAGATGGCACTGTATAAAACGGACTATGCGAGGCATCTACCGTCTCCGTCATTATTCCAAATCCCTTGCCGGTTTCCTCTACCATCATCCTTTGCGCAGATATGGGAATTGCTTGGTCTCGGAGACAGTAAAGATACGTGGTTGGTACCGTTTTCCAAGCTGCAAATGTACATCTGCTTTTGAACGTCTGATAGCTATGTGGCTTCAGAGCTGCAACGGCATGATTGATATCGTCTTCGGTCATGTCGTTGTAAAAAGTCTCAACGGGGTTTTTGGAACTGGTCTCAAGTTTATCCTCAGAAACATCAAGCCATGAGGGATCAGTGTCTCCGATGGCACCTAGCAGCGATGATCCTTCTGAAACCACAAAGGAGCAACAGAGGAATAGATGTGAGACACCCCCTTCGAGCCCGCGACTCTGTCTTGTTTTGAGATCAAGATCCTTTATGGCTTCGTTTCCCGGGAGGCCTCCGTAGGAGTGGACAACCACCACAACCTTCTGGCCGGCGTTTACGGCCTTTTCGATGTATTTTCGTACGTGGGCCACATCGGCTGAAAAGTCGGTATAATGTTCTGGTGGGCCAACAGAAGGGAGATGCACTTTTTCGGTCTTGTAGCCTGCTTCATGGAGATATTCAATAACCCGATCATAGCAGTCTGGACTATGCCAAGCACCAGGAACAAGGATTATGGTAGGTTTGGAAGCCATGGTTGGTGCAACGGAGGAAAATATGGAAGTAGATGGCAAATGCCAGGAGAGATCCTACTGTGTGCTTTGCAACTCTTTATATACTCCCTCCCCTCCCAAGGAACCCCGGACACGGATTTAGGCAGATGGGTAAATTCTGATGGAACTAAGAAAAGAGAGATAGCTGAATTATCCCCGAAATAGTGGGTTCGTTCTCCAAGGGTGTCCTATTCTTATTGCTTCTTTCGTTTGCTAAAGTGGAGAATACTGGTGGGGTTTAAAATAACGTACTCCGTAGCTCTTCCTTCTCTCTGCCATACATATCTTGATCAATCAAAGCTAGGAGAGCGGGAGGTATATAATTTTTCTTCTGATAAAAGTGGAACGAAGTCGCTGTTAGCATGACACTAGCCAATTCATGTTGGAGTATCCATAGTAAAATGCATATACTAGTTCATTGCCCGGTCCAAGACAAGCAACATCCGGTCTATGTAATCCATGACTCGCAGTTAGTTGACTAACTAACTAGTTGGTAGCTTACGGAGTGGGATATGCCAGTCAAACCCCTTCTGGAGCCCTTCCCCCAGCCGCTCCCCAAGATAAAGAACCTGTGATCGGAGTAAAGGGAATGGCCCCAAAAGCCATTGTATCGAAGTCCATTGTGGATGGTCATTTCCAGTTTCATGTGGGTGTTTTGGTTGTCTTTAACCAGGTCCAGTACGACAAAAGGCGTGTTAAGCAGTTGTATAGATGTGTTGTTGTTGTTGTATTGCTTAACACCACGTGGCATCCTTAGGCGTGAGCCCGAGGCTCCTGACCTCCCTAGGGGTATAAGGGCGTGCTAAGCTAGTAGGTATATCTATCTATCTATCTATCTAAGCAGATATAGTATATATTTTTGCTATCCTAGAAGGTAATTCTAGTATAAGTAGGGGCTTCTACCTTTATATAGGAGGGGGAGGCCTTTATCCCTATATTATTCTAATATATAGCTGCTACTATAGGGAAATCTTTATTAGGGGTTACTAGAACTATTCTAGGTATCTTCAGGTGCTGGGCCCTTCTTTATATATAAGAGTATAGGATAAGACTAGTTAGTCTAGAAAGAAGAACTTAATATAGTAAGAATAAAAAAAAGGATTAAAAAATATAAATATTAATTTAATATTTATTAGAAAAGATTATAGAATTCTAGGTCTTATATTTTATTTTATTCTAGATTAGTTTCTAGCTTAAGATATCTTAGTCCTAAATTATTTTAGTATAAGTATATATTCTTATAAAATCCTATAATAGCTAGGAATATAATAAAATTCTTAAATTTTAATTACTTTAAATATTTAATTATTTTATATTTAGTTATTAGGGGCTATAGAGGTTATTAGGGCTATTAAATAAAGAGTTATTTATTATAATAATAAAGAACTAGATATTTAGAGCTCTTATTTCTATTATAAGAATATATAAGTTAGGTATCTTTATATTAAAAGTATTTATAATACTAGCTAAAGTTTCTATATAAAAATTTAATTACTAGCTAGTAATAAAGATTTAGATATTAAAGATATAATTTTAAAAATAAGATTATCTTATATATTTTTATCTTATTTATTTATTATTACTAGTACTAGTTTAATAACTTTAAAGATATCTTTACTTACTAATTAATTTATATTTTTTAGTAAAATTAATAGCCTATTATTTTAATTCTACTAGTAATAGGCATAGCCTTTAGGGAGCCCTATTCTAGGCCCCTAGCCTTAAAGAAGGCCCCTTAATTAGCTAGTTAATCTATCTTTTTATTACCTTTAATCTCTTTATAGCCTAGGGCCTAGTAGAGCTTTATCTTATATTACCTAACTAGATAGTATAGTACTTAAAAGGCCTAGTAAGAAAAGATTATAATTTTTCTTTTATTATATTATATTATTAAGGTACTATTTATATATAGCTAATAATAGCTAGTATTTAATAATTTTTTAATAATTATTTCTAGATTCTAGAGAGCTTTTATAGTCTTTATATTAAATATATATAATTATAGATTAATAACTATCTTCTTATATATAATTTTCTTATATCTAATATATATTATATATCTATAATTTATATAATACTAGCCCTAGTAACTTCTCTTAAATTTATTATTAAAAATAACTATATTTTTTACTAGTAATATTCCCTATTATATCTTAAAGGCTTCTACTACCTCCTTCTTTCTAATCCTCCCTATAAGATCTATTATATATTCTAGAATATAGTATAGTTAATTTAGGATTAGCTAGAGAATAGCTAGAAGAAGGGCCTTTATTATCTAGAGCTTAGTCTTTAATTTCTAAAGCAAGCCTGCCCTATAGTTTTTCTATATATATAGAGGCTTGATCCTCTTAACTAGAGAGTTATTTTTATTTACTAGTTAGAAATAAAGTATAAATTACAGGCATGCTTTCTCTAGAGCTACTATTACTAATAGTAAACTAGTATTCTTAAAGAGGGTTATTATTAGTATAGTTCTAAAAATTAAAAGAATTCTTTTAATAGCTAGGGCTAAAATCTTTTCTAGTATATTTATATACTAGTCTAAGTAGGTACTAATCTTTATATTCTAAATATATTATTCTAGCTTTATATAATCTTTATACTATATTTCTATATTATAAAGTATATTAAATAAGATATAAATAATAATTATTTTTTATAATAAGGCTACTAGTAGATTATAGACTATTCTTACTAGATTTTATATATATTATACTATTATTCTTACTTTAATTATTCTTTTTATTATATATCTTCTCTAGAAGAGCTACCTATTAAAGTAAATCTTTAATTATTTAAGTACTAGTTACTTTTATTCTAGTATCTTTATAATAGGCTATATTATTAAATAATTATTAATTTTTAGGCTAGGTATCTTATTATATTATTTTCTTATAATATAGATTATCTCTAGCTTTTCTAGTATAAAGTGTCAGGGGGCAGAGTTGGATTCAGATATTCATTGACTAGGAGCTAACCAGACAGAACAGCAGAATAGTAGGTGTCAGGTAATAGATAGGATGTAGCTTGAAGAGCTATAACAGGATCAAGGATAATATGGCTTAAATATAGGAATAAGGGTAGATAGTTAAGGTAGAATCTAATTAGATAGGTACTATAACTTTATACCATAATAATATCCCCCTCCTTAGGGTTAAGCTCTATTAAGACTAGGGAGGAATTAACTAGGGTTTCTTAAGATAATAAAGGTAGTAATTATTTACTAGTTAGTAGGTATTTTCTAAATATTTAGCAGGCTCTTTAATTAGCTTATTATATTTAATTTATTTAATAGTATATTATAACTTAAATTTGCTATAGTCTTAATAAATTTATTAAAAATTAAGGATTTCCTTAACTTCTTATTTTTCTAATCCTTCTACTTTAATAAGTAGTAGTAGATTAGGATATTAATTAGGTAGAGGATTATTAGTAGTAGGGTAGAGTAAAAATATATTAAATATAGAATAGATTCTTATATTTTTAGATAGTTTAAGTTTATAAATATATAGACTAATAATCTTCTTAATATAATATAGCTTAAAATTCTTCTAGTCTAATTTTTTTTATAAATAGAGTATTTAGATATTATAGGTATCTAGCTAGACTTCTTATCTTATAATATAGTAATATATAGATTATCTTTAATAATTAGCTTATATTTTATAATAGGCTTAAATAGATAGAATTTTAATATAGATAAATTTATAAATTTTATATATAATATTAGTAAATTTCTTAGTATCTTTCTTAATAGGGTAGATAGTAAGGTAGCTTAATTTAAATTCTAATATTAGATAAAATCTATAATTAGCTATAAATAATAATACTCCTATAAACTTAGAATAAATAGAGTTAGTAATAAATTTAATTATTAGTAGTTATTTAGATTAATTATCTTACAGGTATAATATATATACTTATAAGTATTATTCTAAGATAATATTAGTATATTTAATTTAATTATTAATCTTAGAATAATAAATAATAAATAGTAGGTTATAAATCTTTAAGTAAGATATTAAGTATTTCTAGAAGGTAATAATAAACTAGACTCTATAATTTAATATAATTATTTTAGAAATATTATAAAGCTTCTAAATATACTTAAGAAATAGATTAGTTATTTCTTTAGTATTAATTATTCTAATATAAGAGAGGAAGTACTTTATCTTTATTAAATAATTAATTATAATTAGAATAATATTATAGCTATTATTTAATAATAAATATATAATAAAGTCTATACTTATATCTTACCAGGCATGTTTAAAAATTAATAAAGACCTTAATACTTCTTACTTTATTTCTTAGAAAGGAATAATTTAGTAGTAGAAATAATAATTCTAGACCTATTAATTAATATACTTATAGATCTCAGGCTAGAAATATTTATATAATATTAGTTTATATATCTTAGTCTTTTTAGAATATCTAGTAGCAGGATTTTTATAATAAAGTCTTAATATTTTAGCTTTTATCTTATTATAATTAGGTATATAAAGTTAATCTTAATATTTTAAGTATAGATTAATATATCTATAATTAGCTAGTATAATATTAGGGTATCTTAGTAAACTATTCTTTAGAATATTTAAAATAAACTAGAACTTCTTATCTTATAGATAAGCTTTATTAAATAGTAATTATAATATTAGTAGTAGGGAGATTAGTTTATTAGTAGTAGGTTATTTAGTAAAGTATACTTAGTATTAGCTATTAATATTTAGTCTTAAATTAGTAATAGTCTTAGGTAGTAGGTTTTTAGATTTTAGAATAGTCTAGCTCTAGTAAAGAAGTTATTTATCCCCCTTCTTAGATAAGTTCTCTAATCTCCTAGTTAATATATTAGGTTTAGTATCTAACTTCCTAAAATAGTAATATATTTGGAAATTAAATTTTAATAGAAATTCAGACTAGTAGGCTTATTAATAATTTAGTAGCTTAGTTAATATAAAATATTTTAAATTCTAGTAATCTAT